CATTCTTTCATAATTTGAAGATGGCTGTATATTTTTGCTGATAGATCTTAGGCTCGCTTAGCTAACCTTCAAATTGTATTTCTTTAGGTGCCATTGTCGTATATGACATGAAGTGGTACAAGTTTAGTCCCACTCAAAGGTCACTGTTTTTTTGGAGACTTAACCGAAATAAAAAATCCCTAATGGAAAAACCTGAACAGTATAAACGAAAACCGAACACAAAGGCCCGAGAACATGGAGAATACTGAACAGGAAAAAACCGCTAGGGATTTTAGCCGAAGTTCCGCGCCCTGGGGGGGGACCCATGTATATAATAAATAAACTTTACATAACTTTGAAACGATGCAAAACGCAAAAAAAATAAAAGAAGCCGTCAAACGTTTTCAAAACGCAAGTCCAAAATTTTTTTAGTCTTTTTAAAGATATACTACAGTTTCGAAAGTAATTCGCCATTTTAACGCACATATAATTCGCCATTTTAACGCACATATAATTCGCCATTTTAACGCACATATAATTCGCCATTTTAACGCACATATAATTCGCCATTTTAACGCACATATAATTCGCCATTTTAACGCACATATAATTCGCCATTTTAACGCACATATAATTCGCCATTTTAACGCACATATAATTCGCCATTTCAACGTACACCGATCACCGAACTGGACAATTTTCTTCTTTGCACGAGAAAATTGTATATTTGATGGGAATTTCTTAAAACGTGTGCTTTGCTTATCAAATCCACATCGGAATCAGTCGCACCTAGGCGCCACCTAAGCGTCCCTATTTCGCACCGTTTGATTCAGTGCTTTGCGCGCCCGGTGCCACTAACGCCTAAAATTAGAGCAAGCGCTGACTGTATGACATGGATTAGATTACAGTACTTCAAGATAGTTTTGTACAGTCAGACGAAATTCAATGTTTTTAGAAATCACTTGAAGAAGCACACGTTAAGTTTGGTTTACCAAGAGAATGGTGATAGTTTAACCAAACAACCGGCAGCGTTAGATTTAAATTATGTTTTAGTTTGACAATTATCACATAGTTGACTTTCAAAGAAACGCGACTGGTGAACATGGAAACCTTCAAGTAACTTTAAAATGAAATATGTGACAACGTCTGCGGTTTGTCTTCATAGTAACCATTATATAAAAAAGCAAAAACAATGTAATTTTATTAAAACCGTGTTTTCTTTGAGGTTATTATGAAGACATTCCACATACTTAGACCTGGTGTACTAATTTATTTTTATGCATGCTTTCGCTGTGGCTTGCAGCATTGAAATTCCCAGGAATAAAGTTTTCTTTACCAGAAAACAACATGTCCTTTTTACACATTTACAGTAATTGCCACGCCGCCCTAAACTGTAAATGTCCTAACAAATTAAATACTCTTTTGAGTATCTATTTGTCGATTTAGGAATGAGTGACAAGATTGGAAGTTTTCTTCCAAGCATTAAAAATTCACTCATTTCTCTTGATAGTGGGATTCATCCTTTAAAGGTACTAAACCCCACAATCGTTATCTGTGCGTCGCAACTACCCGCTAAAGCGCACGCCTAAGCTATCTAAGCTTCCTACCTGCGCATGACACCGGAATTCCGCCCTGAAAAGGAATGCCCCTTGAAGGAGGTAACCCATCATGCCCTTAACTTAACCTAACCTAGTGCATGTTGCACCTACGGGTGACCTCCAACCGGGGTGGGTTGAACTACTCATGCATTATAGGGGATCCATGCAAGAGTGCCTTAATAGTCACTGTAGAAAGCCGTTCATGAAATTGGCCAACTACAACGACTGCATGCATTTACCGTACTAGGGGAGAGATATTGTTCTTTCCACCAAATCCATCTTTCCTTGGTCTTGCTCGCTTGATCCAGTCTTCTAAGGTCTTCTTACAGATGCCGTTTGCATCCTCTACGCTAAGGTACCATTTGTACCCACTAACCCCAAGTTGAAGTTGCCTTCCTTTGGCCAAACTTCACTTGCATTTCCGATTCTAAGCTATGGTCCTGTCTATCCTTCTGCGAGGCAACAAGCGCTGCGAACATGCGTAGCTCCTTAAAGCAGTATATTCACACAGAGGTTTTCGTAGAAAATTATAGAGAACAAACACAATTGCATGTCAGTCACAAACTTAAAATAGTTGGTACAACTTCAAGCTTACAAATATATAAATTTTAAAAATAATTAAAGCAGCACGGAAAAACACAATTGGATTATTTCAATCGAAAGAACACTTTTATCACCTCTTAATCAAGCCTATTTTTGAAAATGCAGATGTAAATTTCTTTAAATATGTTTATTTGCATTCCTGCATTAAAAAAAATAGCCTCATGTGGAATATACTGAGCACCAGGATTTATTGTGGCTACTGCCCGATTTATATCAAAGATTTGACCTGTTAGCAGGCCTAACTAAGTAAAAGGTTTATTATTATTACACTCACGGTTTTCGACGAATCCTTGGAAGTTAGACGAATGACTACGATTGACGACGACTCCTTGCCAATTACGAAGTTGAGATGATCGGATGCTGGGCACGGACAGCCACAAAAAATCCCAAAACAATTTTTTTCAAAAATTCAGAACATTGATGGTGAAACCATCGTATCCAATTCTCAGGCCACCTGACAAACATTCCCGCTTTTATGTCGACGACGGCAAGTACAGAAGCAAGATTGGCCATTTCTTGCAACTGTGCATGTCGCCTACGGCATTAAATCGGAAATATCGACAGTCAGTCGGAAAATTAGGATTTTTAGGTTTTATATTTTCATGCAAAGAAATTCCATGTTTTTATTACGAACAATTTTCAATTAAATAATGTTGAAATTTGGGCGTTTGATAGTGGCGTGGCTTTATTCATCATTGCGATTGATTGACCAGTCGTGATCTTAGCAGGAATATGCCCACGAAAAATGTTTTAGTAAAGGTATTAATATTGACTTGTCCATGGAAATCGGCGTTAGGCTGATGGATGCATTGCTCAAGAATAGTGTTTAGTGTTTGCGTTCTTTGTGGAGATGGCCTTTAGTACCTTAGAAGTCACGTGTTTTTCAATTCCATCAAAGTATGTTGTTCATTCTTGATCATTGTTCAGAGGTTATTCGTTAAAGTATGTTGTTCATTTTTGATCATTGTTCAGAGGTTCTTCATTGAAGTATATTGTTCATTCTTGATCACTGTTCAGAGGTTCTTCATTTAAGTATATTGTTCATTCTTGATGATTGTTCAGAGGTTCTTCATTAAAGTATATTGTTCATTCTTGATGACTGTTCAGAGGGTTTCTAAATAAAGTAATTGAAGCTGGTGTCAGTTCACGATTTACTTTTATCAATAAAAAACGTAAATATACAATACTTACATTTTATATTTGAATCATTTGCAGAGCAGTCTGGCAAAGGAGTATACTTTCAACTAAAGTTATTGTAGCTGCAAGGACAATTTGTTCATTTTATGCCGGTAGGTCAGCCTTAATGAAACGATCAGCAAGTGTCTGCCTTGAACAATTAACGCATTCTTCAGATACACGAGTCTGCTATCATCACCAACATTTGTCTGTTGTTTTTCTATCTCATTTGTAGACCATTTGCCGTTCAACAGACAGTTTTCAAGTCTAAAATCAAGCATAAAACAAGCATTAGTTACGAAAAGGAAAATTTTACAGAAACGCGTATTGCATTTCGCATTAATGAACATCCATGTGCCGTTCGTATTTTGCACATCAATCAAAGAACACTCTCTTTGAACGGACAATAAAAACTCATTTACCTGAACTACGTTTTAAAGAACTCAAAGAGATTTTTCAACGAGCAATAATTTCGACTTTCGCTATAACCATTCATCTTGCACGTACGGACTATCACACTGTAATGGCACATGTTCACTCTGAGTTAGTCTTAAAATATGACAAATTTCATAAACGTGTGACATTCTGATTGGTCAGTTCCTAGGTGTGTCTTTCATTTACTTGGTGCCTATTGGTTGTAAATTGCATCTAATTTTCTTATTGTATGCTTTAGCTAATGTTAAACGGTTTGAATTTTTTACAGGGGCATCTATAAAAAAAGAAATTAATTTATTGTAAAATTTCAATATCTAATGACTATGCTAATGCTACTGGTGAATTACAGTGCGTTTTTGCTGTTAGAGGTTATTTCAAATTCCCAGGAGCAGAAGAGTTTCTGTGCTAGTGACAAAGATATGATGGCAGCTGATAATATTTATGCACCCGTGGGTTTAGTTAAGTGATAGTCATTGAAATTATCACAATAGGTGAATTCTTAGGTTCTTCTTTTCATAATCCCTGTATATTTAGCATTGTACAAGGTGTGTTGAAAAACTTTAGAAATCAAACAAAACCTTAAGAAATTAAATCTATTGTTGAATTTCATACAATACTTGTTCCCTATTCTAATCCTACTAGTGCAATACTTTGCATACTTCACTGTTAGATGTTTTGTCAAATTCCCAGGAGCAGAAATGATTTTGATAAACTGAATTTGAGAATAATTAGACTCACTCATTTTTTCTCACATTTGATACCTTAGTCGAAGATGCCCACCAACTCCCAATCATTTCGTCTATGTTTACTTTGTATGAGTCGTTTGACTGTAAGACAACAGTGAACAGTTACACTGCATGATTGTCATTTTTTACTAACATTTTCATAAAATTAGGACATATTACCAAACACGCCTAAAGGACATATCTAATCCTACTAAGCCACGTACTGCACCTATACCAACTTTATAAATACGGTAGAAAGTGACATCACATTCGGAACAAAGCTAGAGATGAAAGAATAGTGCAATTTGTTTATCATTCGTAATTTGAATTAACCACAGAATCAACAAACGATTCTTGTGCTGTACACAAGAATTATTATTTTATTAAACTATAAACTATAACTACAATAAATAAAAGAGGTATAAGATACTTAAAAGAGAAATTTTGGACAAAGATTGAAAATTACATGAATAAATTTTACATTTTCTCAAAAGTTACTAATACAATAATAATTAATAATCATACATAACAAGATGATTTCAATTTAAAATAATAAAAGACTTGCAAAGAATACTATTTTAAGTCATTGTCCTTAACAGTCAGGAGCAACCTGTACAGCAAAACAGATAAAAATCTGTCCATCGGATCCATAGCTCCTCGCTGAACCCATTTAGGAATAGTCAAATCCGCATGTTTAAATCCCAACTTCTCTAGAACCCAGTCAATATTCACTCCTTGCATACCTGTCCAAGAGAGAAAGCGCACTGTGGGCTCAAGTTTCCACGACTTACATCGAAATTGGCGAATTTTCTTTCGTTGATCCAGAGTTGTGGAGCTTTCAGCGTTAGTTGAAACATTTCCTGGTACATCAGTTGCTATAGAAGACAAAAACAAGATAAATAAAACGATGCGAAAGAGAAACTTAAGCATGGAACTGATGAAAGTTTTCAAGAACATGTTTTTTGGAGAAGTAGTTTTTGAAGTCTTACTTTAGAGCATTAAAAATTTTCACTCCATAAAGCTGATTGGTTAACTACGTAGCCTAGTCAATAATCTACGGCTGTTCTTTCTTACAAATAATCCTTACGACGAGTTAAAAATTCTTAAAAACTCATTCTAAGCAATGTTTTACAAAAAACATAAAAATATACCAGTTGGTTCAACAGAAGAGCGAGCTTGAGCACTTTCATTCTCCTTCATGTAAGCTTGTATCATTTCATGTAAGTAAAATATCAATCCAACATCCATGGTCACATAAAGACTATCATAGAAATGTGAATCCAAACTGCACTCGACAATATGAGGACTGCTTGGCGCATGCGTAGACCAAGTTTCAGAGTGATTATTTGATGAGACGGACACTCTGATTGGCTGATCATGATCAGTGCTCATATCAACCTTAAAGCTGGGCAGACCAAATATAGCTTCCGATTCATGCTCAAATTTGTTGGCTGAGCTGATTGATTTGTTGCGTCTTCGAGGAAAAGCAGAGAATCCATCGTTTTCAGATTTTAACCTTGGTAAAAGTGGTTGAGTTGGAGGGGGCGAAATATCCCCAGAAGTTGTCTGAGATATCTCATCAACAGATGAAACGTATAACAACCATTCCGATACAGAACTTCCCATTGATGGTGGATTACGACGACCTCTTTGAACTTTACATATCATTCCCATATGAGCTAAATGAAAAATAAGAAAATGCCTTAAAATAAACAACTTTATAATAATTGAGAGTAAAACATACTGAAAGAAATGAGTAAAATAATGTTTATACGGCTCAATAGCAAATTCATACGTTTACTTAAAAAGTGAAAAGTTATCAGTATAGAAAATATAATGTTTATAAAACCAACTTGTTTCTTGTTGTTCAATATTCTTCACTCGAGAGCCAAGTTGAAAGACAAGTTTCTGTAACGATCGGGCTCTATGCACTTGACAGCTTTTCTCGACAGAAGCTACTTTAGTGTAGTAAGAGGCACTAGGTTCAGTGATCGAAAATAATGCCCAGGTTTGAGACCGAAAGTTTAAACCATGAAAACAAGCTAGTAATACTTCCCAACATGATATTTGTAATGTTCCACCAACTACTATTCCTTTAAGAGGCAATGGAGAGAGAAGAGCGTCAGATTTGAAACCAGGTATTCTGCATAAAACTTTACTCCAATGTTGATATTTTAAACCTATGGATGAATAAATGTGAGGTAATTTTGCAATCATTGATTTATAAATAAATATAACAATATCGTGTAACTTTGATTTTTCCATGACATATTAATATTGGTAAAATTATACTTACCATCTTTATGCCCTTTATTTGCATTATTGTTTGAAGACTTTGTCCTATCAATTGGATTAGATAAGGAAGACACTGCATCACCATCGGTCGGAGGATAATAGTTAACACAGGACAACATCCTTGTACTGCTACTGACTTGTTCGGTAAAAAATGTTATAATTTTGTTCGCCATTTTGATAAAATCACTGGTAGTTGAACGACAAATAGCTAAGCCCATATTCTTCCAATGTATTGTACCATGAAGAAAAACACTTGCTTTTGTTTTCTCTGTGCCACATGTGCTATCTTTAAACAAATCATCTAAATCATATACAAGTACAAAGTTAAAACATTTTTGTTCCTGACTAAAAATGTTTCATCTATACAAAGGCGACAATGTTCTTTAGAGAGGACAATGCATACTTAAGTAATGAAGATGTTGTTGTTAGGAAATTTCTTACCAGTAGAAGATGATTTACTGAGGTTAGTTTTCCATTCATCATTAAAAGCAATGCGAAATGACGACATATTTCCCATGAGGATGCATGTTCCCATATAGTCAATTCTTGTTTCACAGTAACGGAATCTCAGATTGCATAAATGTTCCAACTCGCAGCGTAAACTTTCATTCACGTTCACTGTAATTATACAAAAAAATTTCAAAATTAAAGAATCAACTATTAAAGTGATAACAGCAAAAAAGCATTGTTGTTCAAAGGTATTTTTGCCATTACTTTTATACCATAGATGTTTTTGTGTTAGTTGTACATTTTGATTTGAAAAATGCAGATAGAAAACTTAACGTTTTATAAATGTTGTCAAAAGAGAAGTGTTGATTAGAGAATATCAATGCAATCAATTGTTGAGTTGTTTTATGGAAAGAATAATAACATATACGTACAATATGATGTTATATCTTGTAATTCAACGTGACCTGCAGCAATGCCTCCACGTGATTCCCATCTGGACTGTCGAATACTTAGCTTTGACCGTAGTGTTCGTTCGCCAAAATTGGTGAGACGAAGATTCCCAGATGCCCGTATGTCGCTCGTGCTCCAACTGTAATGAATATGACATTTACATATTATTAATCACTATGAAGTAAACATATAATTTACTACTAAACATTAGTATGACATAATATAATTTACATACATTAGTATGATTTAATATAATTTACACAACTGTAATGAGTAAACATTTACATAAAACTCCCATTGTGAAATGTACCTCAAAAACAAACTAGCACACGCGATAATATATTAAACTCAACTGCGTTGCATTGCATTGTGTTGCATTGCATTCTATTGTGTTCTATTGCATTTATTGTATAAAATAAAAATTTAAGGATAACTTTAAAATTATGAGAAATTCATACAACTCAATGGAAAAAAAAGGAAATGTACAAACATTTACCTGGTTTTACCCATGACATTTGCCATGTTTGTAGATATATCAAGCCTTGAAAGACTCACAGCCAGCAAAACAACAGTCTCCCATTTAGCGAAAGTTGGTGATGACTGACTTTTACCTGGACCGTCAATCTCATCAAATGCAAATACGTCACGACCATCAGGTGTACTGGTTATTGCAGCAGCTATAATGATGACATATCAACCACGTGACTTGTGGGTCAAGGAATTTGATAATTTTTGAAAAAAACACACAATTGCTATTAAGTTTAATATCTGTGCTTAAGTTTAAGTGAAATATAAAAACTTCTATATTCATAACGAAAACGTGAAAAATTTATGAAAAACTATATATTTTCCGATCATAAAACTCACATTTAACATCTACTCTGTGATATGAAGAATTTTTCTTTGGCAAATTTCCTAACAAACCCGGGATGAAAAAAATGGTAAAATTCCAGGTAAAGGTGTTGACATGTTTCGTCGATGACCTGAAAGAAAATATTTTCAAGAAAAGTGTAATGTACAAATTTTTCATCATATGTGCTGTTACATGACGTACCACGACGACGTGGTGTAGGCACATCAAGGCTGTCTTTTGATTGGCTGAAAGGAAAATCAAACAAGTTAATGTCAGCAAAAAAGGTCCAACACTAATGAAGACATCCACTTTTCATAATGAAGACTAGTAGGTATATTTCTACGTAGATCATTTAAAATTTGAAAGAATAAAAAGCTAATTTACTTCGCAATTGACAACAATTCAACATCATTGTTTACCTAGACTGTACATCCTTGACGCCAGTAGACGGAGTAGCCACTCCAGATTTTGTTGCATATTTTCCTTCTCTTCCCAGAAACAGTCGACTTACAAGTCCACGTTTGTACCAGCACTTTGGAAAATCCATAATTTCTTGCAACCTTCGCATGTCATATGTAAATGTTGCAGAGCCAAAATCACAAATTCCTAAAATAGAGAAAGAAAAGTATATAAGTATCCAGTGTTGGATTGTATAAAACCTCAATTTTCAACCATTAAATCGCTTAGAAAAACGACAAGTCTCTTATAAAAATAAACATTTAATCAACACCAGCAATAAAATGTAAAGTCGTGTTGTATTGCTAGCTACTCACCTGTAAGACAAATAAAAATAATTTTAAGAGCCAAATACCTGAAACTTTAACCTTTGTGGAAGGATCCATTCGACTCTCACTTTGTAATCCATGCTGATCCTGACACGTGCTCATTACGTCACCAACACGTCTTCGAGATAAATTGAACTTCATGTACTCCAAACATAGACTAAGTGCATCTTTCTTGCCAGATATAGTTTGAGGTTGAGTAATACGTATTTTGGCTTTTGGAGAAAAATGATCATAATCTTCGGGTGCTGACACGGTCTTCGATGCAACTGTATGTTGCTTGCCATAAGGATGATAAATAGAAAGTGAGAATCTGGATAAACACATTGTAAAAATAATCCCACCGCTATCGTAAGAACGACCTCCTTCACTAGATGATCCATTCATTTTTGTATCAACGGGAATACTTGATCTATTCAGTGATTTATTATGATTTGCCTTCGATGAGAATGCGATGTCAAGTGAAGGAATTGTCATAAGACATTCGATACGTGATGTTGGTAAACAACTGATACGAATACTGGATGGTTGAACACGAACAACGACAACTATGTCCACAGGGAAAGAACTGTATTCCGTAGCCGATGAAGATACAAATGAACTCGTAGTATGTTCGACTTCGCTATACGTGCTTTTAGAATCGACCTGTTCCTCCCCGAGATCATTTGATTCTGAAACAATCGGATTTATTGCTTTATCGATGAAATCCAAAATAGCTGGACGTAAAAGCATTTCATCGGGAAAAGGTTGAACTACAACAGAGATGTACAATGATGCATGCTTATCAAGTGCTTTCTTCACAGATGACAATGAAGAGTCTTGAGGCGAAGAGCTATCAGTAACAGAAGAATAATGTACTCGAGCGTCAACACCTGGTAACAATATGACTGAGCTGTCAGCATATCCGTCTTGTCTTTTTATACCGGGTCCACTTCGACTACGATGACCAGAGCTGTTGGAAGTCTTGAGAATATCATGAATACGAACAGGGTTAGTCCTAGAAAAACGAATAGGATAGGTCCTAGAAAACAAAACAATCCTCACACTTAACTTAGTCAATTCCATCGATAAAAATATTTCTACTAATCTTATTCTTGCCTTGTCAACAATCTCAACGCTTATTCCACAAGAAATTAAATTAAATTCGTATACCTTGGTTCATTGGTCTCGTCATAAGGATGAAAAATACATTTTCCACTATCGATATTTATAACAACTTCAAGATCAAAATCCAAGTCCTGTTGTACGACAGTCGATTTTTGAGAGACATACGATGCTGTATGATCATCCGTACTTTCTCCTCGTTCTATGTCAACAGCAGAATCAACTACTGCAACAAATGCGCGGCTACCTACAGTGTGTGACTGTACTTTCTCTTCAGGATAATGTAACGACGAAGATGTTGATGGATGTCCCAACGAAACACCTTCTAAACTAGACTGTACAGGAAGCACTTCATTACTTTTACCAAAATCCACTTCATCCTTTCCATAACTATCCGCGGAATGATGACGCTGCAATCTCTTTTTTCTTAAAGACATGGAGTCATGTTTAACATGGAGTCTTGGGCTTTCATTAATGGAAAACAACGACCTTTGGGATTGTTTTTCAATTTTTCTAAACATATCACGACGAAATTCTTTGAAAGCAGCACTCTCGAGTTCCTGAAGTGTTTCAGTTTCTGCCTCAAGGATCTTCGTATCAACATTCGCTTCTCTCCTAAAAATTTTAATCGGTATAAACTATATTGAAAGAACGATGAAACTTCATAATGAAGTTTATGAAGTAATTTACCTCAATAAATTGACTTTACGACCTTGTTTCCACATTTCTTTTCAAGATTTTGTGGTTTTTCAGATGTTACTTGTCGCTGACAACAATCAGTTTCATCGATACCCTCATCATTTGCAGCTATATCTGACGTTATCTCAACACCACTCGTTAACATTTCATCAGGTTCATCAGCAACCGACTCCAGATTTGCGATATCGTCATCACCAGTAACAGACGTCAATGTCTGAGCTAAAGCTTTAAAACGTCTACCTATTTCCGTATCACAATGCATATCAACACCACACATCTGCCACATAAAAGACATCACCATTTTGCCAGCCTTTGTCAGGTCTATGTACAAACAACACAAAAATCTAAGTTTCATCTAGAAGACCAACAACTTAAACGCTTTTTAAAATTTCTGATAACAAAAATAGGGCGATGTATAATTATATAATGATACGATGTCCTTAATTATCATGCAAGTTTAAGAAGTTATCACACGATTAGTGAACAACTGCACAAAAAAGTCAAGTTTAAGAAGTTATCACAAGATTAGTGAACAACTGCACAAAAAAGTGAAGTTTAAGAAGTTATCACACGATTAGTGAACAACTGCACAAAAAAGTCAAGTTTAAGAAGTTATCACACGATTAGTGAGCAACTGCACAAAAAGTCAAGTTTAAGAAGTTATCACACGATTAGTGAACAACTGCACAAAAAAGTCAAGTTTAAGAAGTTATCACACGATTAGTGAACAACTGCACAAAAGTCAAGTTTAAGAAGTTATCACACGATTAGTGAACAACTGCACAAAAGTCAAGTTTAAGAAGTTATCACACGATTAGTGAACAACTGCACAAAAAGTCAAGTTTAAGAAGTTATCACACGATTAGTGAACAACTGCACAAAAAAGTGAAGTTTAAGAAGTTATCACACGATTAGTGTACAACTGCACAAAAGTCAAGTTTAGAAGTTATCACACGATTAGTGTACAACTGCACAAAAAGTCAAGTTTAAGAAGTTATCACACGATTAGTGAACAACTGCACAAAAAAGTCAAGTTTAAGAAGTTATCACACGATTAGTGAACAACTGCACAAAAAAGTGAAGTTTAAGAAGTTATCACACGATTAGTGAACAACTGCACAAAAAAGTGAAGTTTAAGAAGTTATCACACGATTAGTGTACAACTGCACAAAAAGTCAAGTTTAAGTTATCACACGATTAGTGTACAACTGCACAAAAGTCAAGTTTAAGAAGTTATCACACGATTAGTGTACAACTGCACAAAAAAGTCAAGTTTAAGAAGTTATCACACGATTAGTGAACAACTGCACAAAGAAGTCAAGTTTAAGAAGTTATCACACGATTAGTGAACAACTGCACAAAAAAGTCAAGTTTAAGAAGTTATCACACGATTAGTGAACAACTGCACAAAAAAGTCAAGTTTAAGAAGTTATCACACGATTAGTGAACAACTGCACAAAGAAGTCAAGTTTAAGAAGTTATCACACGATTAGTGAACAACTGCACAAAAAAGTCAAGTTTAAGAAGTTATCACACGATTAGTGAACAACTGCACAAAAGTCAAGTTTAAGAAGTTATCACACGATTAGTGAACAACTGCACAAAGAAGTCAAGTTTAAGAAGTTATCACACGATTAGTGAACAACTGCACAAAAAAGTCAAGTTTAAGAAGTTATCACACGATTAGTGAACAACTGCACAAAAGTCAAGTTTAAGAAGTTATCACACGATTAGTGAACAACTGCACAAAGAAGTCAAGTTTAAGAAGTTATCACACGATTAGTGAACAACTGCACAAAAAAGTCAAGTTTAAGAAGTTATCACACGATTAGTGAACAACTGCACAAAAAAGTCAAGTTTAAGAAGTTATCACAAGATTAGTGAACAACTGCACAAAAAGTCAAGTTTAAGAAGTTATCACACGATTAGTGAACAACTGCACAAAAAAGTCAAGTTTAAGAAGTTATCACACGATTAGTGAACAACTGCACAAAAAGTCAAGTTTAGAAGTTATCACCCGATTAGTGAACAACTGCACAAAAAAGTCAAGTTTAAGAAGTTATCACACGATTAGTGAACAACTGCACAAAGAAGTCAAGTTTAAGAAGTTATCACACGATTAGTGAACAACTGCACAAAGAAGTCAAGTTTAAGAAGTTATCACACGATTAGTGAACAACTGCACAAAGAAGTCAAGTTTAAGAAGTTATCACACGATTAGTGAACAACTGCACAAAAAAGTCAAGTTTAAGAAGTTATCACACGATTAGTGTACAACTGCACAAAAAAGTCAAGTTTAAGAAGTTATCACACGATTAGTGTACAACTGCACAAAAAAGTCAAGTTTAAGAAGTTATCACACGATTAGTGTCAAGTTTAAGAAGTTATCACACGATTAGTGAACAACTGCACAAAGAAGTCAAGTTTAAGAAGTTATCACACGATTAGTGAACAACTGCACAAAAGTCAAGTTTAAGAAGTTATCACACGATTAGTGAACAACTGCACAAAAAAGTCAAGTTTAAGAAGTTATCACACGATTAGTGAACAACTGCACAAAAAAGTCAAGTTTAAGAAGTTATCACACGATTAGTGAACAACTGCACAAAGAAGCCAAGTTTAAGAAGTTATCACACGATTAGTGTACAACTGCACAAAAGTCAAGTTTAAGAAGTTATCACACGATTAGTGAACAACTGCACAAAAGTCAAGTTTAAGAAGTTATCACACGATTAGTGAACAACTGCACAAAAGTCAAGTTTAAGAAGTTATCACACGATTAGTGAACAACTGCACAAAAAAGTCAAGTTTAAGAAGTTATCACACGATTAGTGAACAACTGCACAAAAGTCAAGTTTAAGAAGTTATCACACGATTAGTGAACAACTGCACAAAGAAGTCAAGTTTAAGAAGTTATCACACGATTAGTGAACAACTGCACAAAAAAGTCAAGTTTAAGAAGTTATCACACGATTAGTGAACAACTGCACAAAAAAGTCAAGTTTAAGAAGTTATCACACGATTAGTGAACAACTGCACAAAGAAGTCAAGTTTAAGAAGTTATCACACGATTAGTGAACAACTGCACAAAAAAGTCAAGTTTAAGAAGTTATCACACGATTAGTGTACAACTGCACAAAAAAGTCAAGTTTAAGAAGTTATCACACGATTAGTGAACAACTGCACAAAAAAGTCAAGTTTAAGAAGTTATCACACGATTAGTGAACAACTGCACAAAAAAGTCAAGCAATGGCTGTAAAGCATAAATATTATTTACCACATACCGTTAGCATAAGGTGCCCGTATTGTACGAGAACAAACTTCATAAGTCCCATTTGATACCTTACCTAAAATAAAAAATGTTAACATTAACCTTTTACGTACAAGTAACGATTCACGTGAAGTCCATATTCAAATTATTCATACTTTTGAGGAACACTGCCCGTTAACGTCATGCCTGTAGCAAACCGTGACTCAAAAGCAACGTTTACATGACCCTGCCTTTATTTTTAAAATGATTCGCAAGTTAAACACGTGTCATTTACACAAGAAAGTTTCGTACAAATTTTATTATAAAATAACACCGCATTGTTGAAATAAGAGTTTTTAATGAGAAATCATCCTGTTGTTCAATTCAATAACAAACAATTAGTTCGTGTTTGTCAATATTTTCATTGGTTGTTATTGAGATACACTTCCTTACATGAATTCATCAAACAAACATTTCGTTCGTCTGGTCTCCATTCCGTCTGTTTAACATCAAACTTTTCAGCAAATCGAAGACAGAAATGGGTGAAATTTCCTTTGCTAACAAACGAGGCACTCGAACAGCACGTCAACAACATTTTCTCCATTGTTAATAAAAGCGCCAAGTTAATCTCTTAAAAATGAAAAGTAATCAAAGGACAGATTTAACATAACTGAAATGTTTCATTATCGTCTAACCAACGAATATAAAAAGTTTCATGATTTCTATACTTTCAATTGACAAAACCACATGTTACTCAAAGGATAGATTTAACACAACTGAAATGTTTCATTATCGTCCAACCAACGAATATAAAAAGTTTCATGATTTCTATACTTTCAATTGACAAAACCACATGTTACTCAAAGGATAGATTTAACACAACTGAAATGTATCATTATCGTCCAACCAACGAATATAAAAAGTTTCATGATTTCTATACTTTCAATTTACAAAACCACATGTTACTGTCACGGATTCAAAAGTTTGGCTTGGAATGCTATTTATATATCAAGCAGACGAGTATCATTTTCTCTAACATTAAAATAACATCTGACCAACAGAATTTTAGCGTTTTTCCCTGCTTTTGCATTTATATTCCTGCTTTTGAATAAGTATGATCATTGCAATCAGTCTTGTGAAAACAAAATGTTGCATTTAAATTCATTTTTTCGGAGAACAACCAACAAAAAAATTGAAACAACAATTTACCTCCGGGGCCTTGTGAAGTTATTAGAGGTTGATCCTAAAGAATTAGAACATAGAAATATCGTAATTAATGGTTTAATGTTAAAAATTAGAGCACTGATGATCATTATTATTAATAATTGATCCTGAAGAATTAGAGCACTGATGATCATTACTATCAATAAATGATCCTGAAGAATTAGAACACTGATAATCATAATTATTAATAATTGATCCTGAAGAATTAGAACACTGATGATCATTAAAATTAATGATTGATCGTGAAGAATTAGAACACTGATAATCATTATTATTAATAATTGATCCTGAAGAATTAGAACACTGATGATCATTAAAATTAATGATTGATCGTGAAGAATTAGAACACTGATGATCATTATTACTAATAAACTGATCAGGCAATGAGAAAACATCGTGTTCAAAAGACAATATAAAGAGAAATGAATACATTGGACATACTTGGTAAGGTGTGTGTAATGGCAAACAGATTCCCAAGTCACTAACTGTAAGTTGCAGAAATAAAAAGCCAGAAAGTTGCACTGTCGCTTGGTTGGGCTGGGGAAGCTTTTCAAAGACAGCTTGTGTAGCAAATTGCACCTGACAAAAAGATTGAAAAAAAAAACAATGAAATGAAAGAACATGCATACGTTATGATGCTATAAAATAAAGTATAAATAACATACATCTTCGGTGAGGGACATTCTCTGTTCATTCCAGTAAGTATATGCATTTTTATAGTTCATATACAACAACACAGCTGCAAAATAAAGAAAGCTTCAAACAAAGGTTTCTAATCCGATATTTGTAAATGATCTGCCGAAATTATACCTTTATCAAAAGCAACAGGTTGGACATATACTAAAGGCTTGACAACAGAAATGAGTAAAGTCTCTTTTTCTTCTGAATTTTCTTTTCCCTATTTACAAAGCACAAACTGTTTATGATACAGTACATTTAACTAAGTATCGATCACGTACAAAACATCAATTAAGCTTGAACAAATGTAAACCGTAAAATCATGGATTGATTTTCATATTTTTTGCAGGGGTGGTGCTAAAAATTTTAGGGAGGTGAGTTAGTAAGGAAGTGACGTAAGACAATGTAAGGATGTAGACTTTAGAGTGATCTAGTAGTGCAGCCATCAAAGGTTGTATAAAAAGTTGAAATTTCGCCGCGATAAACTCAATTCAACCGTACTACGTTTTTGTTCTGCTAAAAATTGAGAGGAGGGGGTAATATGTTTCTTGGAGGGATGAACGATACATTTAGGCGGTGAAATCTGATGTTTGTGGGGTGTTACCCCCTACATCCCCAGAAAATTTGTCAATGCGTAAAATTAGTAAAAACGTAATCATAAAAAATATTATTGAAAACATATTTCCAAAATAATGAAAACGTTAACGGAGAATATAAAATTACACGGAAAGAGAAACCTGTAAACAGTTGCGTAATCCAACATGAGTTGTGAAAAATGCAAGTTGCTGAGAATCATCGCTGCTTTCAACAACAGATTGATCCTGAAAATAAACCAAACAGACATTTTGAGAAGTGAAGATAGAAATGAAAAAATGAAACAAGGTGAAAGACGGTCGTAAATCACACATTTGAAGAAAGAAATATCCTCATAAATACCAATGCGTCCTACAACAACAAATGCCCAACTATAATTTCAATTCTGAGAATAATCGAATGTACCTTCAAAAACTGAAGAAGTGAAAGGGTAAGATCCACGTCCGCTTTAATAAATATTTTCGCTTTTCTTTGTTCGCCTTCTAAAAAGATAATAGTGTTAAAAAATTGGAAGATAAATAAAAAAAATTACAGCATTTATAAGTTTCCAAAACTTTATTTTCTCTATAAAATCATTATAACATTTCAGAGAATAACACCTCGCATTTTTTCACTATTAAATATCGGGGCGATTGAATACAGAAATTTATTGTGTGTTAACTTACTTTCTAAAATTACGTCTGTTTTTATTTCCTCGTTATTTGACACTTCAAGATTAACAGATCCAGTTTGTAAACAAACAGCAGTGGATGAAGGAGTTGTGGCAGTTATCTTTATTCCCTGAAAAAAACCCCAGCAATTCCATTACTTTAAAATCAAATTATGAATATAAATATCAATAAATCAGCAATACACAAAGGACTACAATATTAAAAAATACAATCAATAAGTAATAAAAAATTTGGTTACCTTAAGTTTAAGAGCAAATGTGAAGATAAAGGACTTTCTATTTTCGTCTTCCACATCAACAACGTCAGTAGACGCAGTTCGCCACAGAGGAACAGGTTGACTTTCTCCTGACACCCTTTGAAGAACATCATTGACTTCCTGAAAGAAAATATTGTTTATCATCAGTGAGTATTCATGTATCGTGAGTAAAAGTTGTCTTACAAGTTTCAGCAAAAATCTCCCAAATTTTTTAAACTTAAGTAACACAGATAACAAGTATGAATACAATGCTTGTTCCTCGTGATCAACAAGATCCTCGTAAACTTAGTTACCATGGTGACCTTAGTGATCATGTTAACCTTAATGACCGTGAAAACCTTAGTGATCATGCTAACCTTAATGACCGTGATGACCTTAGAGTGAAGAACCTCAGTGATTATGGTTACTAAGGTGAACCATTCTCCCTTTAGGGAAAGATTTCAAATACCTTCATAAAACCTTTCTGAATAAATATAAGATGATTAAGCAAATCAGTTGAGAGATTTTGATTAAAAGCTCCAATATCGGCAACAATCCTTAAATGGTTCTTGTCAATAAAGAACGTGGCGTCTTTATCAGAACTGGCCAATCGCAGAACACCGGACAAATCAACACGCGGAAGATGAATGGAGGTTGAAGCTGGTATGCTGCTGTCAAAAGATTTAACCTACATATGAATGATAAATAATCTTTGTAAATATATGATATGAAAGAGAATAATAAGACAAGACCTACATTATAGCATACAGTAACATTTCATTCCTACCTTTGAAGTGAAGCTAAGTTGATGTTCTGGCATGTCAAGTTTAAACGAATTCTCTTTACCAGTCTTCCCAAAAGATGAAACTGCACCGATCTACAAAATATCAAAAGATATTTTATAATTAGCTTTAAATACAGGACAAGCGGTAAAACATTCTCGTATTGTACAACAGGAAACAGTTCATTCTGACAAAATAGCAATTTTGTCTTTTGAAACACTTCATCCACCATACAATACCTTATATTCAACTTTCAGAGAAGGAAGTAAAGACGCTCCAATAGAGAAACCTTGCAAACGAACAGTGATTGAAATTTGTGGAAAATCTTTCGAAGACTGGGTACGAAAGTATGGATGACGACCATCCGTTTCATCGAGATCATCTTTAGGAATTTGAACCAATGGAATGTCGCCAAGTTCACTCGAATCTTTGTCATGTGGTAAATCAACAAGAGAAGATCGTTCAAGACTGCTAAACGTTCTAAAACATTACAATACAAACGTTAAAATATTAGTGAAATTAAAAGAAATGGCGCACATGTCTGGATGACTTTATTTCGTGAACTTTTTTCAAACATTAAAACAACAATTACTTTGATGGTAAAATAATGGATAAAGAAATCGTCGTACAACACACATTTCTCTACTTTGCAAATGTTTCTGTTAATAGTGGAGAAACAAAAAAGAAATCATATGAACTCAATTTTCTTTTCACATTGTACATGCTAAACTGTGTGAAAGCGCCACTGGTTTGTGAAAGAAAAGCAATATTTTTATTGAGACACGTCAAAAGCACGAGTGAGTAAAAAAAGCGCGAACAAAACTATCTGTGCGGACATTTCTTAAATAAAACAGTGACGTCATAAGACGTCATTTTCAAAAGCAGAACAATGTTTTCAGCGCATGAAAATAGCTACCTCACAACGCTTCTTTGACTTTGGATTTCAGAAATTTGTTTTGAAAGCGTTTTAGAGCTTCGAGTCATCATGCAATGAAGAGCAACGGGATGTTGAGGAATGTCGACATCAACTTTACCAAGTGAAACAACGACACTTTTCTTCAAATCTTCCCGTTGGGTCGCAAATGAATACATACCATTGGATGAATTTAAAACACAGCTAACAACCGTACTGAAAAATATGTAATATTGAAATTAAACACTGAAGTGGACAATAATACATCGAAACATGTAACATTGGAATGAAAGATATCAATTCACATTAAAACGTCGTATACTGATAATGATTTAAAGACACCATTATAGTTGGGAAGGTAACAGACTGTAGAGAGATGAACACTAACTCGCTTTGATGTCCAATCTCGTAGAGAACAAGACGAGCATTCTCCACATGACCAGAGAAAGTAAACAATTTCTTAGTAGAATGAGCTTCTACATTAAAAGATTTAAAAAGGAGAAGAACGAGTTTATTAATGTACATGATAAACATTTTTACTGCCGTAGTAACACATACCATTGGATGTTTTTTTATTTAATGTGTGTTTTTCCACTTTGTGACAAGCACAAAGGTTGATGCTATTGATTTCAGTCTTCAGACAGAGTTCTCCAAATGTCGCAACACATTTCATTCTTTGTAACAAAAGCACAACAACAACGTTCAGTTGTGGTCGGTCACGTGGTGTTCTTCCCATGGAAATAACCTTTTTGTCTTTGGGAGGCATGGCAACACTCGGGTTGTCACGTGAGAACGTTTTTCTCGAATTAAACCTGAAATCTTTGGAAGCGTTTAGTGAAACACGAGGTGCTCGACGATTTACTGCACTGGAAAAATCTTCCATATCAATCTTATGTTCTGGAATTTTAGCTAAAAATACGAGAAAGTTCATTCAATAACAGGTATATTAGGACACGTGCATATACTAGGAGATAGACAGGACACGTGAATATACTAGGAGGTAGATAGGACACGTGCGTATACTAGGAGATAGACAGGACACGCGTATATACTAGGCGATAGACAGGACACGTGAATATACTAGGAGATAGACAGGACACGCGTATATGCTAGGAGATAGACAGGACACGTGAATATACTAGGAGATAGACAGGACACGTGAATATACTAGGAGATAGACAGGACACGTGAATATACTAGGAGATAGACAGGACACGCGTATATGCTAGGAGATAGACAGGACACGCGTATATGCTAGGAGATAGACAGGACACGCGTATATACTAGGAGATAGACAGGACATGCGTATATGCTAGGAGATAGACAGGACACGCGTATATGCTAGGAGATTGACAGGACATGCGTATATGCTAGGAGATAGACAGGACACGTGAATATCCTAGGAGATAGAAAGGACACGTGAATATACTAGGAGATAGACAGGACACGTGAATATACTAGGAGATAGACAGGACACGCGTATGTATATCAGTAATTAGTAACATAGTATATTTAAGTTGTTAAAGTACGTAAGGGAACTAAAAATATCGCCTACCACTATACATGCTGACGAAATACCGTTTCAATCTCGGAAAACTCAAAGTCAAATCAAATTATGAGTTTTGCTGAAGTTTATTACTAGAATTGTTGCGGAAATTGTAAAAGTCGCAAAGTTATACCATACATATTGCGTTCACCTGACTTATTATTTGTGACTCCTGATGGCAATATTGAATAAAGATCAGAAACTTGTGACATAATTCTCCAGCATTTTTGATTCTCCGAGATAGTTTTTCTTTTTTGTTCTTCAATTTTCTGCACATTTTCCAGGTGAAAAAGCTTGCCAGATTTTATTCCATCATACGTTTCGCCAAGAATATCAACAATATCAGCAACTTGAAGCACAAGTCTGATCAAAGACAAGTTTATACTCTGAGTAGCATATTGACAGTTTATGTTCACGTGAGCAGAACGTGTCAAAGTTGTTGGTTTCGGTGTTTCAAAAAAATGCAGTTTACTTTTAGACCTCTCGTCGGCTTTCTCGCTAAACACATTTAGCAAAGGTTTGCTGTTGAAATTGACTTTATTTTGAAGATTTTGGAGCATAAACAATGGTGTTTTAGTTTGTGAGTCTGTCGTAACAATTTGAGGAGGTTTGACCTTGACTCTTAGTAAACAATCTAGTTTTCCTTCAGATATATCAACACGTACACATTTTAATGTAACCAGCAATGAAAAGGTTTTATCTGAACAAGATGACATCTCCTCTGACGATAGAAGGAAACCCATTCCAAGGAAAAACTCTTTAAAAATAACTTTTTCATCAGCTATTTGTTTTCCACTTGTTGGTTGACTAACCATTTGTCCAAATAAATCATCTTCGTTCTTATCAAGAGTACCCCAGGTCACTAAACAAAAAAGATAGTTCTCTAATAAATCAAGTTATTTGTGAAGGAAACACAAAATAGTCGCCATATAGGAATGTAGTCTAAAACGCATGAAAAATGCATAAATTATTTAAAATTGAAAAACGAGCATCACCTTTATAGCATTCGTGACATAATGTAGAACAATATAATTTTAAAGAAACCGCTTGTTATGAAATTTAAATTATTGTTCTACACTAAGCTGACTTTTAAGCATAAACGCAACTAAAAACACGTTGGACGGAGAAAAGTGACTTGAATCATGTGAAAATAATTAATGTATTCTTTACGAGAACGAAAAAAATTTTTCACTATTCATTTAACTTAAAAACTTCGACAACAATCATAATGAAAAAATTAAATGGCAAAGTTTGTTGGTGCTTTGTAAATATGAGAGATCATTACTCATTTTGTAGCTACAGATCTATTGCTTTCACACACTGACATAACAGGAGCTACAGGACAAAATATGCATGCGGGCTAGCAAAACCATTGCAAAATAAAGTTATCTTCAAAAAAGAAATTCATAAAACGACACATGATATAAAGATAAGTCGTTAACTAGAGAGCAAATCTATAAAATCTTAAACTATTTTCTTTGTTACCTTTTGGTTGAGTTTGATATTTATCGTAAATGCTTGTGCTGTGTTTACTGGATCTTGGTGAGGAGACTGGGGAAGAAAAGAAACTATATAAAGTTGGCTCAACTTCTTTCTGCTGTATCTTCTTTTTCGCTCGATATTTATAGGTCAATGGTAAATTTTCACTATCAGTTGACGACATTGACGATATAAGAGACGATGATTTAGGCGATGGTGGATTATTCATTTTTACATTGATATTTACATCATTAGATGCAATTTGAGTCATTTGATTGGTAGATTCTAACTCTATAAAAAATATAAATGTATAGATATGGGTCTCTGTTTGTTAATTGCATATGAGTTAATTCCATAGATATAATAAATTAAAAGAACATGCACATCTTTGATTCCCTTTCCCAGGGTTTTCCTGGAATATTCTAAACAACCAGCTACATTGTAAACATAGCTATTTCTCTAAAAAACTTCTCCGTGCCACGTGATAATGTTATAAACGATTCATGCTTATCACGTGGTACTGACATAAACGTCTACGGCAAACTTTTCATTACTTATCCAATTTACAATTATATGAGTTCTCAAACTTCCAAGATTTCGGGAGAAAAAATAAATGGAAAGTCTTAAAATTTAAAATAAACACCGAGTTCTATGATAAATAATATGAAATTACCTGCATGAATCATGTCATCATCTTGTGATTTTCTAAATTTAACGTTTTTAAGAATTGCTCGGTCACGCTCTGTTAGAACACCCCGACCAACGACAAGACGCTTGTGAGGACCAGCAGAACGAAATTCTTCATCCTTTTCACCGAGCAAACATTTCCATTGACGAGAAAGCGCCATTATCCCACGATTAAGATCATCTGTAGGAGGAACAGCATCTACATCGGATAAAGCAGTGAGAACTGCCAGCTTTCTTTTACCAACTGCTTGACGACGAAGATGAAAAATCAACTGACTGGAATATTCTTTTTGAAGAAATTTTGATTCATCATTTAGCTTACTAACAATCTTATGCTAAAAAATAAATACGAAATAATTGAACGATTACTTTCCTGCATTTCAGATTTTTACAATGACGTAAAATTATTTTCAGTCGCCTATAGGTACATCAGAAATAGCACCATAAAATACCATATAACCATTGAAAAGACTACTATATAATCAACCTACCGTTCCAAGCATTTTATTTTTCTCAGGAAGACCAAGAGCCATTATACAAGATGCTACCATTAAAAATCGTCTACGATGACTTTCACTAAGTACTTGAAGATTTTTTCGAAGATTCTCAACACCAGGCATCCAGCCTGAGACAGCTGGTATTCCAGTGGTAAGCAAATTGTTATGAAGATGATAATTCTCAGGAACTGGTTTGACAGACGACGGCGACGCACAGTTAAACCAAATGTATTGAAAATTTACAACCATATCGTTTTCATGATGAAGCATACAAATGGATCCCTGCGTTGTCTGATCTTCCGCTACAATTGACGATACAAGTGGTTTTCCTATCCTGGCGATATCTTCAGAATGACGCATGAGCAAAGGTTGATCAGTAACATCGTCCTCTCCTTCACTCTCATTGTCAGTTAGTCTTCCAGTACTATCACTGCGAGCACTTAAAGATGATGTAATAGAACTACAGGAATCTTTATGAGAGGAAATAGGAACATTAAAAGCAGATACAGATACAGCACGAGGTGAAACAGAAAGACCAGGTTGTTTTTCTACGATAACACTCTCTAGCATTTGTTCTTTTTGGTTTTCGTGAAGCGTCGGTTGATGTGATGCTGATGTATTAGTGACATCATTTTGAGCTAACTTTGATAAAAGTTGCGCAGGAGCACTTTGGCTACGGTTGTGACCGGCCTTCTTCATTGACGAAGCGTTTTCTAAGTTTCTATAAGTTTTTAACTTCACACAACTTCCAAATTTAAGCGAGATATTATCAATTCCAGATTCCAACATGACAAAATTTACAATATCTTTTTTTGTTAATAGTTTCAAATCGAGATTCTTGGAAAACTGAACTATATTTGAGCTTGAATAAACGAAGTCAACCTTGCTGCAACTTTGAGATATTGCCGTTGTGTAACTGTTCTCCACGTCACTTTTATTACATAAGCGACTAAACTGCATTTGAACTTTCGCCAAGTTAAAATTGCCCACCATGTTATTGCCTACATCTTCAACACCATCCTTCTCACATAAAAATGAAGGAGGAAGCAAAGTTTGGTTGGACGTTACGTTATCTTCTTCATCATGTTTTTCGTGCATGTATTTTGCCAGTAATGCATTTTTTTGTCTCTTTACATTCATTGTTCCTGAAAAATTTTTAAATCTTACAGCGAGCAATGAAAGAGTGGGATTTGGATGAAAATTTTGGTTGAGATGATCAGTCAGATCACTGTCAGTACTGCTGATTGTAGACATTGAAATCTTTGAAATTTGCCTTTCTCTTGTAAAAGCTTGTAAGAAACAAACATTCACTCCAGGAATTGATACATGGAAGCTTTCACACTCGTATGTGTCTTTGTACAGTTCTGGAAAATTCATACCGACTTTCTTTTGAGCGAGACTTAGACTTCTAACATGGATTGTATCAAGAACGGCAAATGGATGAAAATTTTTCACGTGTTCAGACAGTGCTTTTGAGTACCTAAAAATAGAGAGTTTGAAAAACACACGTCGCTAAATGCCCCAAAAACCGTAAACTTCACTATACGGAGTAACATCACTAACAACATCAAAGGATATTGCAAAATTTTAAAGAAACACTGTCTTTTTGACTCACAATTTGAAGCAAACTAAAATATGTTTTGCAGATTTATTTAATTTCGCTTCCAAGTAATATTAATTAATGTATCATGCGAGGAGCATTCTTCTGGTAAATAACAACATTTTTCATAAAAACTTTTACCTGCTTCTGTAAGTAGTACAGTAAACTAATTATTACGAGCGATAAAGTTTTCACTAATATTTAAATAACGATAGTCTTCAAATGTTTAAATGTCCGTATAGTTGCCTTGTTGCCCGCGGTTTACATAATAAAGATTGTCTTATTGTCGAAGGATTAAATGTCCGATGTCCATATTAGTTGCAGTATGCACATTGATATAGTCAGTGTTATGGTTTTTCTTAAATGTTAAATGTAAAACTTCTTACCTATCAAAAGCATCAAGCATTAAAGGAGACAACATGATATTGACGAAGTTTTCAATCTTCAAAATTGAGGTTTGTTGATTTGACGGCGAGGAAACTTGTTCTTGACCAGCATTAAAATGACTCCAAAACGATTCATGATTTTGAGAAGTCTTTTCCGAACTACACAAACGAGAAACCTAATATAATAAAGTCTTTTCCTTCACCACAATAAGAACAATAAAGTTGAGGTATATACGTATATATATAAATAACCACATAAAAGATAAAAGTTTCTCCAGATTTTAAGTGATTTTTATTGAGCTTTCGACTCGTTGCTTCGAGCCTTCATCAGAATGAGGATATTTATTTACACGTGCTTTTAGCTTGGAGACGTCCTTCTGATGAAGGCTCGAAGCAACGGGTCGAAAGCTCAATAAAAATCACTTAAAATCCGGAGAAACTTTTATCTTTTATGTATTAAATGCCTGGATTACAAATTTTCAAACTTATAAATAACCACATACATATTGTTGAAATTGAGTTTGATGTCTTCCATAAACGGATTTCTTGATGGCCCATTCCATTTTTCATCACTATTCTTTCCGATAAGAGTATGAAATTGACGTGGAGTGTTTGAACTAAACACATGTCGCTTTGGAGTGATTTTCGGCACTTGTTCAACAACCTGTAAATGAAGATTAACCCTAATCCACCTTTCAATTTTTCCACTAAAAAATTTTATCTGATTGCCAAATAAATACCTTGACGTTTTGCACCATATTAAGTTTTCTGTTGGTGAACGAAGTCGATTCTTCAATTTCCAGCCAAACATCGCAGTGCATCTCTGAAAGATGACTTCTGTATTGCGAAAATAAAACAGAAGGTAATAAAATACAGCTATCTTGAAAGTCCTTCCTCTGGTTTTCAATGTTCTCAACAGCTGATGAGAAACTTTCCAATGATAAGGTTGATGGCGATCGTGATGTACTTCTGTCTCTGCAAAATAATGTCAAAACAATTAACACAAAACTTAAACCACTTTAACACTAACATATAGACAATTATGTGTGATCAAATTAACACAAAACTTAAACCACTTTAACACTAACATATAGACAATTATGTGTGATCAAATCAACACAAGTAGCTACTGAGGATCTGGGCTCACTTTCTAACAAAACACTGCATGCAAAACAATTCCCACTTGAACATCAAAGGAATCAGACTCCAACTCATTTAATATGCTTCAAATCATAGAAAATATCAACGTATAAAGTCACTGTACATAATCAATGAATTACTCACAGGTCGCTCTTGCATGAATAATAAGAAGCATCGCTGGCTAATCTTTGACGAACGTTTTCAGAATTTTCAACGCTATTCTTACGTATACTTCCAAGATAGTTCTCACCAATGCTGCCAGAATTTGGGATGAAAATATTAGAAGTGGTCGAACCTGAAACTACAAATTAAATACGGCGTAAACTATTTCATGTCAGGGAAAGAAACATTCTTACTTTTTTCATAACAGTAAGCACCATTAAGTACATGAGCAGATTGAACAATTAGTGGATAAATCAAACATGTACTTTTTATTATAATGGTCATGAAAAGATAACTGTTTAAAATGAAAGTCACGTCGTCGTAAATAAATTAAGAAAAAATGTGCACGAATACAACGCACATGAATGTTAAACATGCAGAGATGCAACTTTGCTTCTCTCGTTCATAAATAATTCAATTTCATTAGAAGAAACAGTCTTACATTTTACCTTTAGTTGAGCTGAACCGAGCAGATCCCTGAAAATAATTTCTTTGAATCTTTGGTGAGTGACCGCTCCCAGACCAGCTGTTATGACGTTGAAGTCTTTTAGAATGAGATTCATTATAAAAATGAATTATTGTCATCTTCTTCCAACTCCATACTCTGCCATCCGTCGGGACTTCTGAATAAACCATTTTTTTGTTCTTCTTGCGCAGCATCAAGTCGATCAGTTTTGAAAAATATTGGTCCATTGACATTCTTTCCGAAGAAATTACACCCCCCAACACATCCGCATCGCGTTGCAAAATCACTGGACGAAGTATAACGTGACTTACTATGTTTCCATAGAAACCAAAGACGTCGACTTTTATCGTCATGTTTTTTTAAAAATTCTCTCTGTTGTGAAGGATGTTGCAGACCCTCGTTGAGAAGAATATCAGAAATAACAGGACCAGCCCGAAAAGAGCCGGCTTCAAGCCAACATGATTCTTTCTGCCCAGGAGGATTTTTGAGTTTATTAACAGGCAGAAGAAGAACATACTGGGAAATGTCAATTTTGTGAATTATTAAACTCATACCAGTCTTTGAGCCAAGTGTGTGAAGGTTGCACGATGCCATACGAACAGGCGAAATCTAAATAAAAATTACATAATTTCTTTCTCGTGCAAGCTTTTCAACTCCACTAAAAATTGCATATACTGAACAAATATCGATTCATAGTACCTTCACATTACAGCAGCAACTTGTCTCCACAATACAAACATCGATTTCTTCAACAGACAAACGAGTTATTTTGTAAATCAAATCATCTTCAGTAACACGCAGCGAATTGACGTCACCAATGGAAGCATTCATCGTTTCGCGTTTCTCCACCTGTTCGCTTTCATAACGAGAAATTTTTTTCGCATTTGGATGTTTCATAACGTTTTCTTTGTTCAAAAAATGGAAGGCAAACAATTCAGCCCAATTATATACTGCCGCCAACTGAAAATGTGGAATACAACAATCAAAATTTAAACATTTAAGAAAGGAGTTTTAATGTAAGATTCGAGCAGTAAACCTTCAAGGTAAAAACAACGTAAAGATCTATAATAAAACACGATCTATAAGAATTATAAAATACAAAAACCTGAGAAATGGTCACATTTCCAAAAAATGTCCCAAGCTGCATTTCAAGCAACCAAGCATATTCTTTGCTGTCTGCATCATCATCAGGCTGGTCTTCATTAGAAAACATAGCATGACCACGCAGCTGTATTCCTGAGAGATGAAGAGAACCATGGTTCAAATTGCTATTGCAATTCGTTCTCTGTAAAAAACAACAAAATAAACAAGATATGACGACATATATACTGTAAATATAAAGTTGATCTGTCATAAGCCATACAAGTACCTGAGGTATATACAAAATTCAATTATAATAATATATATATTAAAGTCAGTCTATGTGTGAAGTCAACGGCTATTCATAGTTCAAAGTTATTTTATGATTAGATTTGAACAGAATAAAGTAAAGTTATCATACATGAAGTATAAGCAGTACTGTAAACAAATGGTATTGATGTTTTACTATCCTCTTAACTATAACAAATCTTAAAGTATTTCTCTAGCAAAACTAAATCACCTTCATAGCATCATTCACTTTTATTGTTATAGGCATCAGATTAAGTTGCAATCGTGTTTCAAAGAGATTTCTGTGCATTTCAAACGAAAGGCCATCGGTAAGGAGTAAAGGAGCGATTACATCCGAGTTACAATGCTGAAAATTATAATGAAAGTCAATAGAAATAGCAAAAAAAAACTCGTTTCGTGAACAAAAATAAACTTCACAACTAAACAGATACTTAGACCAACGTTATCTCTCCATTTTTGAACTGCGCCAATTCGATAAGTTTAGTTAATTATACGTTGGAATACATTGTTACTCTATTTTTGTGTAAAAATACGTAAAACATGTCGCTATTATGAGATGGATATTCGCCATGCACCAAATGCGAAAAGTTCGGCACGTGTGTTTGCGTAAAATTCTATCATACATGTGTGTAAAATTCTATCATACATGTGTGTAAAATTCTATCATACATGTGTGTAAAATTCTATCATACATGTGTGTAAAATTCTATCATACATGTGTGTAAATTTCTATCATACATGTGTGTAAAATTCTATCATACATGTGTGTAAATTTCTATCATACATGTGTGTAAAATTCTATCATATATCTGTGTAAAATTCTATCATACATGTGTGTAAAATTCTATCATATATCTGTGTAAAATTCTATCATACATGTGTGTAAAATTCTATCATACATGTGTAAATTTCTATCATACATGTGTGTAAATTTCTATCATACATGTGTAAAATTCTATCATACATGTGTGTAAATTTCTATCATACATGTGTGTAAAATTCTATCATACATGTGTGTAAATTCTATCATACATGTGTGTAAAATTCTATCATATATCTGTGTAAAATTCTATCATACATGTGTGTAAAATTCTATCATATATCTGTGTAAAATTCTATCATACATGTGTGTAAAATTCTATCATACATGTGTGTAAATTTCTATCATATATCTGTGTAAAATTCTATCATACATGTGTGTAAAATTCTATCATACATGTGTGTAAAATTCTATCATATATCTGTGTAAAATTCTATCATACATGTGTGTAAATTTCTATCATACATGTGTGTAAAATTCTATCATATATCTGTGTAAAATTCTATCATACATGTGTGTAAAATTCTATCATACATGTGTAAAATTCTATCATATATCTGTGTAAAATTCTATCATACATGTGTGTAAAATTCTATCATACATGTGTGTAAAATTCTATCATACATGTGTGTAAAATTCTATCATACATGTGTGTAAATTCAGACACACATGTGCAAGGGCGTAGGAAGATTGATAATTGGGGGGCAGGCTCCTATTCACATATTCACGTCATGATCCTTTGAAAACAATGGATTTCAAAGGAACTTAACTCTGTATATCATGAATATGAGCCCCAAAATTATCGATCTTCCTACGCCATTGCACCTGTGCATAAAAATTAGAAATACCTGTCTGTAAAATTCAGAGACGCTTGAGGGTAAAATTTAGAGCTGTGTAAAATTTAGACATACCTGTGTGAGTTCAGCTTTAATATAGTTCAAATTGACAAGAATATTCAAGTCGACCGGTCGAAACATCAGCAGATTGGACTCCTTTGCACTAAAGTCGTGAAGATGTAATTCATATGACATAACTGAACGTTCAAAATGCGATACACTTCGAGGATTGTATTCGCAATACATCTGATGGGCACCAAAATAATTTTCCTGTAACAAGTTAAAATATTGTCAGTCATTACAACATGCTACATATCGATAGCTGTCATATGTATGTTTAAAGTTGCTGTTAATATGAACAATTACACGAGTACAAAAACATACACTTTTTCTTTCATCATTTATAAAGAATGCAAATAAAGAGCAAAACGGATAAAGTAGAATCACTAAGAACAAAAATGGCGTTCCACGTACCTTTATATTAATCAGGGATTTAAGAAGCATTCCCACAAGTTTGAAAGCACACGAGTTTGCATTGAGTTCCACGCTTATAGCATCAGGTTCAAGTTCAGTGGGCTTTTGTGGTACTTCTACACCATTAGAGCGAAGTCTTTGCTGCACATGTTCAAATGTTTCACCATGCATGATTGGATGATAAAGATAACTTATAATGAATGAAAGTGTTGGCGTGGAAAATATATCAACCCATCCTTTTTCTAATTTTGTATGTCGTCTCCAGCCTGAACTAAGTCCGCTCTCATCGTAACAAGTATTATGCTCTTCTCCACTATCGTTTTCCTCTTGATTAACATTTCCCGTTGTCACCAAACCAGGAATGAACTTACGTTCTTCATCACGAACAAGTGACAGCAAGCTACGGCGAAGTGTATTTGATTCAGGAACATTTAACCTTCCAACAAGTTGCTCAACCTATACAAACAAAAACATTCACAACCCAGTACATAAACATGTTGTAGTCGAAACAAATGTAAACATTCACAACCCAGTACATAAACATGTTGTAGTCGAAACAAATGTAAACATTCACAACCCAGCACATAGACATGTTGTAGTCGAAACAAATGTAAACATTCACAACCCAGCACATAGACATGTTGTAGTCGAAACAAATGTAAACATTCACAACCCAGTACATAAACATGTTGTGGTCGAAACAAATGTAAACATTAACAACCCAGTACATAGACATGTTGTGGTCGAAACAAATGTAAACATTCACAACCCAGTACATAGACATGTTGTGGTCGAAACAAATGTAAACATTCACAACCCAGTACATAGACATGTTGTAGTCGAAACAAATGTAAACATTCACAACCCAGTACATAAACATGTTGTGGTCGAAACAAATGTAAACATTCACAACCCAGTACATAGACATGTTGTGGTCGAAACAAATGTAAACATTCACAACCCAGTACATAGACATGATGTAGTCGAAACAAATGTAAACATTCACAACCCAGTACATAGACATGTTGTAGTCGAAACAAATGTAAACATTCACAACCCAGTACATAGACATGTTGTAGTCGAAACAAATGTAAACATTCACAACCCAGTACATAGACATGTTGTAGTTGAAACAAATGTAAACATTCACAACCCAGTACATAGACATGTAGTAGTCGAAACAAATGTAAACATTCACAACCCAGTACATAAACATGTTGTAGTCGAAACAAATGAGCAAAGCAAGAGTTAATTAAAGTACATTCTGGCAAATATAGATCACTTGTTATGAAAAAAGGCTGGCGAAAAACGTCCAAATTCAGATACAAGTTGCAAAAACGCTTATCTCAAACTCAGTACTAAAACAGTTTGTTAAGCAATTACTCACCTGGATCAAGAATTTAATCTCCTCTACTTCGGGAAGAAAATTTGTGAAAGACAAAACAAACGACACATCCAGCACCTCGCCACACAAACCTAATTCAGCTGCATAGTTGGAAAAAAGGAAAATGTAAAAATCTACTTTATATCAAGCGAAATGAAACAAAGTAGGGGGTTTAAGCAGCCACCAGGTAGCGAGGTTCAACATTTGTAGCAACCACCTGGTCTAACGGTTCAACATTTGTAGCAACCACCTGGTCTAAGGGTTCAACATTTGAAGCAACCACCTGGTCCAGTGATTAAATATTTGGAGGAATCGCACGCACGAAAGTTCGACAGTTTACGAAACTGTCTGCACCTGGGGTCCACTATGAAGAAAAGTATCTCAACTCACTGTTTTCTAGCCAATTGCTTGAGCAATCAATCCAGTTGTAGTCATTCGCCATCCAAATCATCTCAAAATCTCGGAGAGATATATTCATAGCCCATTCATAAGGAATAAAGGTGAGAATATCCGACGCAGTTTTAGCAGACCAGTCATTTACAAGATCTATATATTTTTGGAAATGATGTGTTATAATAGAAAAATTCCAATTGAGTGTCTGAATCAATAGCCTCAAGTAATTGCAACAATGCGCACCTTGAATAAAAAACTTTTGAGCAAAAATGAAGAACCAAGTTGCTTTGTTGAGAACAATATCAGCTGACCAATATTGTGTATGATTCCAGAAACGAGGCATTGTAATATTAACGGTTAACTAAAGATGAAATATAATATTAAAAAATAATAAAATTACAGCATACACCATAAAATGAAACCACTGACTTTCAGTTCTTCTGCCTCAATGAGTTGACGAAATTTTAAACTCGTGGAAACTTCTACTTCTAGTAAATGAACTACGACAGACGACATGTAACCATATTCCTGAATACGCCATGGCTGGAAAACACGGATTTGGGATCCCCGACCAACACATAAATGAAGAGCTTGTGTTTCCTGAAAAATATGGCATTAAAGAGATGAAAAATCAAAATTCTACAAATTTAATCACAACCAAATGTAGTAATTATTAATTTGAATAAAGCTTGCAAAGTCTTCTAATATTAACCTGGTCTTTGGTAAATAAAATATCCAGAGTTGAATTACTTTCAAAGTTGAACGTGACCTCCAAACCAATATGCTCCCTTCGATGGCCAGGTCCAAGTGCTTTACTAACAGCATGCTCTTGATAGTCAAAAGGATAGAAAAATTTTTGAAGTTGATCCCTACAGTAAAATAAAATTCATCTTTTCTAACATAACTAAACTTAAATCGTCTACAACACTATAATCTATAACATCATCGTTTTCTACTAAATCAACGTGTTATTCAACTTTACCACCGTGCTTCACTAAACTATCCCGTTCTATTAAACAAACATGTTCTTCTACACCATTCTGTTCCCATAACAATCATTCCATTCAACTCTACCATGCTTCACAATCATTCTAAACAACTCTACCATGCTTCACCATCATGCTATTCAACTCCACTGTACTTCACCACCATGCTATTCAACTCCACAGTGCTTCACCATCATGCTATTCAACTCCACAGTGCTTCACCATCATGTTTCACCATCATGCTTTTCAACTCCAATGTGCTTCACCATCATGTTATTCAACTCCACTGTGCTTCACCATCATGCTTTGTCATCATGCTATTCAACTCCACAGTGCTTCACCATCATGCTACTCAACTCCACTGTGCTTCATCATCATGCTATTCCACTCCAATGTGCTTTACCATCATGCTATTCAACTCCACAGTGCTTCACCACCATGCTTTGTCATCATGCTATTCAACTCTACCATGCTTCACTATCTTTCTAATTAACTCTACCATTGTGCCCTACTAAACCATCCTTTTCTGTTAAAACATCGTGTTCTATTACACCATTGTGTTCTACTCAACTATATTCAACTCTACTATCGTGCTTCACTAAACAATCCAATTCAATTAAATCAATCGTTATCTACAACATCAGTCCGTTATAGATAACCATTTATATTTTGGCAAAACTATTACTTGCCTTTGTCGGTCGGCCCAAGGTCCATAACTTATTGACGTCGATTTTTCAAAAGTGACATCAAGATTCCAACAAGGGTCTGTATCAATTGCATTTTCACTTTCAGTACTTATCTCAGGCACCATACCTACAGTATTAAGTAGATATATTGAACATACATACATACATAAATATTTCATGAACATGTTTGTCCAAATGAAATCTGGGAAATATATTCACAATATCAGCATACCAGGTACATCCTGTATGTAATTGATCAGACAAACTTGCGACTGCAGAACAACAAAACCTTCACCCATGTAACGAGGTGGACTACAAATACATCAATACTGCAGATATCAAAAGAATGAAAAACAACACAGCGAAAGAACACTGAACACGTGATAAAGAGAGCCTGTGGCTCAGTACTTTAAGTAAGCCAAATGAATTCGGAGCAATAGAGGAACATGGTTTTGTTAGCAAATCTAATATGGTTCAACAAAATGTATGCAACCAAAAACAAAAACGCAGTTTCTCAAAAATTGAATGATCAGAACTTAAAATAGAATAAAAAATAGAACTATTTAGAATAAATAATGAAAATAATCACTCGTCTTTGTCTCCATTATAACCATGACTTGGAGCCAACATTACACGGATATTTTTACAGTCACATGTAACTGAATGAGCAAATTGATCCAATGATGAAGAGGACTGAAAATTCAATAACAAATCTTATTTAGTGCGTCGTAAACATCAATACGTCATTGACAAATACATTCATACATATTTTCATCAAATGTACATAATTCATGAAGAAAACTGTCCGCTCATGATAAACTGTCCTTATATTCGACACTAAACTCTACATATGCTGCATAGAATATTTACCTCAGTAATTCTGTATGTTGTAAGTGCACTTTCAAAATGAAAACAAAGAGTTGTTTTCACCAGTTTGTTTCCAAACGCAATCTTCCCCTGTACAAAAGTAACATAATGTAAACATACCCACCTATATGTCAGTGTACCCACTTGTACCCACGAGTCAAATTCGCAAACAATTGTTGCAAATAACGCACTCAGAAAGTTTCTGGCAAAACATTTAACCATAACAATAGCATTTAGAACAAACTCTTGAAATTTATCATCGTGTAGCTATAATTTGCAGTTGCCATAATCATTTCATCAGGATGAATCCATAATGTTTTTATCGGAAGGTGTACTAGCACTAATCTATATTGGATTACATTTTGTTGGCTACTTGTTGCCGTAACATGTCAAACTTTTTTGTTGAATTCTGGTTAAAACCTTTTTATTATGATTGGGAAAATGTGCTCCATTAAACGCAAATCACAATTGCTTTTGCTTGATTGCTGTAATAGTATTTTGTAGAGAAATTAGTACCCCTCAAGCCAAAGCTAAGAGGGTGCACCCCCCTCCACACACACACTGAATCCTCCCTTAAATGCATCCCTGTCTTTCATTGTACTGTCATGTGTCAACTATTAGCTATATGTAGCTACGATAGAGACTCGTATAGGCTGCGTTCAAACTAGCATTTGCGTATAAATAAAATACCAAAGAAGCAATTATTACACTTTTAATTTCAATAAATGTTGATGAGGTACGATCAACAACAAATCCTCATTTCTGTGTCCAACCTTCAGAACCAAACCATAAGCAGTGCCCCAGTAGGAATTGAATAGTTACTTACGGTATTAATTGTAAATTTGATGGTTGGAATAAGATCCCTCCAATGAAACTTCCCATGAACGTCTGGAACTAATTCACTGAAAGAAAAGATTCAATTTATTTGATGATGATGGAAATCAATGGAGATAACAGAAATTGCCAACGTTGAACATGACGCATCAACACCTTATGTTTGAGTCTCCGTTAGTACTTTCCGATGATTTATGTGCATCTACATGAAATGAAAAGACAAGAAAAGAAATTTTAAGGACTAAAAATCGTACGAGTAAATAAACACAAACGAAATTGCAACAAGTACCTCCGTAGCGATCTTTTTTATACAAATCCTTAAGTCGATCATATACATCTGACCTGAAATAAAACAGCATGAAGGAGTAAGAAAGCATGTAAAATATTTGAAATTTGCAGTGATTGTAATAAGCAAGATTACATAAATTTAATAAAATGTATGCCACCGTACCTGTTATAGACATGCAGCTCTAAACCATTCAAAACAACAGATAATCTGTCACTGACATTTTTCGTGCTTAGCTCCACTAAAAACAATTAGTTTCTTAATGCATCTATTTTTACATACAAATTTATAAAATTAAAATGAATAATATCATGAAAACATCCACTACACTGTGATTGGTAAAAGCATATAATTGTTTGTGGTTTCTAACAATAAAATATAATTTGACCATCAACTGATGTATTACCATCACTATTTGGGTTAAACTGTTTCCACCAATGAAATATAACATAACCATCAACCAATCTGCCCAAAATAAACCAATTCATTTTTCTCATGAGCTATTAATTTTGATACAGTTTCAAGAGCATGCATTTTAAGCAGGACCATTACCCTTTGTTTAGTAGCAATAGCGTAGCAAGCCTGCAAGTTTGCTCATTTGATGCAAATTTCAGAGAATTATCATTATTCACTTCTTAAGAAATCTATTCACTGTTTCAAAAGGGACTAAAGACATGGCAGAACTAAATTTGCAGGCTGGCTATATGTGCCACTGTTAAATTTTTCATTGTTTTGAAACTGTATAAAATGGTTGGTTAAAGTAACAACACCACATTATACAATTATATGTAATTTAATTTCTATTTGGGTTCTTGTTTCTAAGTATTTATGTTAGTTAGCAGCTAATTCAACACATCCAATCCTGCGTTTAAGAGCAGCAAATTCATCACTTTTTTTGGCAGTTTGTGTTTTAAATTTTTCTGCAAGACCTCTACTAAACAGTCAACCTGTATTATGCAGTCAAATAAGAAATCTCCTAGCATGATTGTTTAATATAGGTAAACTGTGATTAGATTCCATAAAAATTCACACGAACAGCCTCTAATCCTCTATTCTCAATTTTTATACAAATACAATACATGAATACAAACATATGGACACACAAATATATCTTGGATTGTACCTCAATGTGAAATCTTTTGTAACATACAAAATATCTCGGAACATCAACTTTCCCGACAACACAGAGATAGAGATTGAGCCTTAAATAAGAACAATTTATGTAAATGAAAAAGCAATTTTCCTTAAACAAAATTCAACCTACCAATGCTTAAATTATTCATGTAAATGAAAAAGCAATTTTCCTTAAACAACATTCAACCTACCAATGCTTAAATGATCATCTTTGGAAATAAATAGCTGACTGAAAACTTTGGTAAAAATAAAAGCAACAAATCGGGAAAAATAAAAGCCCATGAATAGAATCCATAATGATAGAAAAAGACAAGCCAACACAACAAAAACCAGACCAGGTGATTCATCAGAAACAGTTAGTGGGCTTAGGGTAGATGAGGTGTTATTCATGATTGGTCAATTATTTCCAGTTGTAATAACTCATTGTCCAAGTGAATAAATGTTTTTTAGTTAATTGGAGTGCATGGTCTTTTAACTTTCTTGAAGAAGTCATCCAGTCCTGCCTTTAAGAGCAGCTAATAGTAACTGTAAGTCTGAAACACAGAATTTAAAGAGATTCACATCCTTATTTCATATTGGAATAAATTATGTGGATAAGACAAACAAGATCACGATCACCAAAATCACTGAATTACAGCAGGACAAAATAACAAAACAATTATTTTGCGGCCATTTCATACTTTAACTTATGCTGTCATACATGATGCAATCGTGCAGCATCCTTGGACGATATAACTGCCAGACATTTAACAACCTGTGCTTGTTTATTAAAAATAAAACTGAACACTTCGGCTTTAAAGCGAGTACATAAAATAATGTGAAATTTCCAAAACCAAAACCATGCCGAACAAAAGCACATTTTAGTATCGGCTGACAGCAAGGCATGTCTGTGCACTCAGTAAAAATGGATATCAGATAAATGAAGATACTCCCATCAGAAACAAAAGCAAACACAATAACACAGAGTAATTCGTTACCTCGGTTGAAGCCACTAAAGAATATGATAAAGTAGATATTAAACTCAAAATATTGTTATGAAATGTTTGTTTCCTTATAGCAATTTTTTTTAGTTTCATTTATGTTTCATTTGTTTTCACGTTAAGAAATACACGACTATTTACGATTAATAACGAACGCAAAACGAAGGATTTTCCAGCGATAACATATTGTAATACTTGGCAAACGCATTGCCAAATACAAATAGTATGACTTGGGATTTGGCTGGCTAGAATTTGCATCACTGATGTGCATGTCCGCATAAATACATGAAAATCAATGAAAATTATACTTTATGATCATTTTTTCACTCCTGACACTGATATTACACTAATTTTTTGCATACAAGAAGATAAGTATTTGAATAGAGGGCGCGGGCTAATATGTCATTGGCTAATGCCTCACTGTGCCTCACTCGTGACCAGTCCTGCAAGAAAACTTATAAAAAAAACTCAAGTCGAAATTGTAATAAATTTCAAAACATTAAACAAAAGTCTATATAATAACGCAACTTAAATCATTGGCATAGCCGAATACTAGCTGCCTAAGACAATGACTACTATAGACTATAGTCAAGAATTTTCTGTCCTTTGCCGTATATTTCTTTTTTTGTCTTGCTTAAACTTTCTCTTTTTAAAGTTAACGTCATTCACAAGTGAATTGTTTTGACTCGAAATTGGCAACTTCCTTTCCTTGAACTTTACAACTGGAATTTCTTCTTGGTGAATTTCTGTTTTTGTTTCTTCGATCAGTGAATCGTCATTCCTATAAAATGTTCAGGGAAGATCTGATGTAAGGAAAACTTTGATTTCAAATAAATACACTTATTCATTGTAATCTATACCTTTCATATATTGCAACAGTTTCCCATTTTCCAAAGGGGCCACTTTCTTTAATAACGTCAGTTTTTTCATTTAACTCCTAAATAATGAATATACATACAACATCAATTCAAGAGGAAATGACTAAAGTTATAACTGTATTCTTGAAATTTGCGAATTTACCTAGTGCATCTAAATATAGAATGAAAAGTACTGTTTTGAAAAGTAATGCCATCAATTAGATATAAACAAGATTTTAAAAACAATTAATATTGAATAGAGTGCAATCAGTCCATTAAAAAAACTGGGAAAACATCTAACGAATGATTAAAATACACCACCTGCTCAGGAGGTCTATCCGATATTTGTGATAGATCACTTTGTTCAATTGGCATATTTTGTCCGCTGTCGTGATAACTACAAATTTAAACAGTAATACGCTGAGGATTTAATCAATATTATACTCCCATTTTGAAAATTATTATCAGAAAACCAATGTTGTTTATAGAGTACACAGTACCTTTTACTTTGTTGATTTTTAATTTCACTACCATAAGTAAAGCCTTCAGGTGGATCCCATCTAGATTCTTGACATAAGAAAAAAGAAGACAAGACGACAATTGACATTCAAATAAGAAATTAGGATGCATAGCGATGTAAAGATTATGCGCGATGCCCAACATGCTATAATATTTATTTATTGTGTTAAAAGAATACTACAAGTCAAAAGAAAATTGGTGGTTTGCTTGTATGGACTGAAAGCTTCATATTGAATCTTTTGAAATTGATCAATGGTTATGCTGCATACGTAGCTTTGTAGCTACATAACTACACATGCAGAAAAAAATGATTCGTGACATCTTGAATGTTAAATAAATATGATTTTTCCTTAAGGAACCTTAAAACTAGGACTACTGCTAGTCAAAACACCTGACGCCAAGTCTCCATTATATATTCTTTGCTGACACACATACATAACTCACATTGACCGATAAAGTTAATTAGGAAATATACGAAAATATCACATCAAACGAATGAAACGTAAAGAATGAACTAACCTCCAGATTGATGGTTATAATAATAGTAGTGACCTTCAGCTGTTTGATAGGTTGCCCAATTATTCGCTGTCGATGAAGAAGATTTTTGATCCCATGATTTTTTTACTTCTTGAACTTCTTTTTTTCCTACAATAATTAAGAAGACCATTGTTTACCTTTAACAGTAAAATACTTCAAAGAAAAAAGGTTCACATTATGTTGGCAAGTAGATTTAAATATTACAAAAAAATGAATAGCTACTGAAAAGCAAATCAATGCACAGAAATATAAAAAAAAGTGATGAAAGAGAAACAAATGACTTTCATAGAACAAAACTGTGTAAAAAAGGCTTACATAAGGAAAGATTTATATCATTTACAGACTTATTTATTGAATTAAGAAGTAAAATGGAAAGATTTGTTACGAAGAAAAATCTAGCATAATGAAAAACCTTTCGCTTTTCCACAGTTTAGCTCTGTCATAAATAACTAAAAAACTTACTAGACAGTATTTTGATTGAGTTTTTAGGCTGAAAAGAATCGCAACCAATGTCCTTTTTGTACGCTTTCAATGCTGCCTAGAAACGATTTTGGTTTTTTTCTGGATTTTAATATCAAAATGAAGTTTTGGTCGAGGCATAAAGAGAGTCCAGTGTGGGAGTGTTATTAAGAGTGAAGGCTGAAATATACCGCTTCTATTGCAGCGAGATCATCACAAAGTTGCTCCTGTTGTTGACGACGCTCTGTGCCTTTTTTCTTAACCTGAAAACACAGAGACAACACTAAACATGAAATTACTAATACAAAGGGAAGTACTTCAAGTTAAAGTCAAACTTTAAGATGTTAGTTCGTTCTGAAATTGGAATGTATAGTTATACAAACATCAAGGATAAATGAAGGTGCAGTTGAAAAAAAACGAACTATGTTCGCATGGAGATACTTTTACCTCCTGAATTTTAAATTTAACATTTTCCTGGTGCTTTCTTCCTTTTTCGTGAAAATCAATACTCTAAAAATTAAAGACGTATGTAATATAAGATATGTGTAAGAGGAAATATTGGCGTGGTTATTTATTTTCTCATCTTGGAAATGTCAAATTGGCGTTCATATCACGACGTAAGAAACACTTGGGGATAAAATAGAGATGCAACAAGAGTGAAAAAAAAGTAAAAACTTTAATTAAGTGAGATAAAAAATAGCTTTATCAGCCTCATTCTCATTCTTTAGATCACACTCTCATCTCTATAGATAAGCCAGTCGTTGCAGGGTTTTCATGTTGTATTTATTATGCAAAATCACACTACACACACAGATACAGTGAGATAACTGCAGTAAAATTTAGAGCAGTGACATACATCCAGTAAAAGCTTTCAATAAGCTAGTTTTAAAGCATTACATGAATGGAGAAATCAGGTAATCGATAATTTGTCTCTACAACGCCAAACTCAAATTTTCTACCTTTATAAATTCGAGAGTTTAACTCGGTTAAAATGTTTAATTTAATGAAATCTGGTTAAGTCTAATGAATTGCAATTTTAATATTCATTTTAATAGGTAATTTTTATGATTTATAACAGTTTCACGTCACTATGATTATGTCAAAACAATTAACTGCTCAAGACAGAGCAAAATAACTAATATGATAGTAATCATATTATATTGCTTTAAATTTAAAGTAACATAATATACTATTGCAACATCGTGGCCAGGGATTTGCCAGGCGGAAAGCGAATTTTCTAGATGAACATAATAGCCCAACATAAGACTTTTAAAAACCCATCACAACAATAAAAAACGTTAGAAAGATAAAAGGTTTATTTAATAATTACGTTTCGTCTCTTTAACTTAAGACATCATCAGGTTAATTGAGATGAATTTTGCACATTAGGTTTTAAATACAAGCGTATATTACAGAGTGTTAAATTACATATAAGGGGAGTAGGAAGTTTAGATGACGGAATAAAATAAAAAGGGCAGTATATTTTAGGAGTTGAAGAGGGATAGAGTTTCCTTGGGGAGAGAGTTTAAGCCACCTTAGAGTTGCCTTGGCCTGTGGTTTAAGCCTATATATGAGAATGCTTTCTGCTAATCTGCATACATCATTGTTTGAGCCTGCGGTTGGGTGTAAACATATATATAAATACATTCTCTGCACAAAAAATATAAACGATTGATTTTTATTTCATAAAAACGTTATTACTAAGCTAATGAAGCGATTAGGTGAAATAGGCGCTTCATTAGATTGAAAAAATATGTGTCAAATAAAACAAAAAAGTGGTCCGTAAGAGGATCGAACTCTTGACCTTAGCGTTATTAGCACCACGCTCTGCCTACTGAGCTAACGGACCTCACACTTTCACAGGATAAAAATACCTATTAAAAACAACCGTGCACTTGATTAGTTTGATTCTAAAATTTTGCACGATGTTTACAATAATATATTGACACCTTTACTCATACCAAAATTTTGAATTAAGAAGAGCAAAAGCACATAAAATTTGCCTTAAAGACTTTTCACTAAATTTAAAGAAACAAACCATATTCTAGATTTCAATTTCTTAAAGTAAAAAAATTAAAAAAACTCGTAAAGTTTTCATCTACAACATTCTCCAAACATGTTCGATCAATTAGAAAGACACAGGTGAGTGATTGTTCCACTATTCTACTATTTATCATATAAACTTTTCGTCATTGATCACAATGAGATATTTCGAAAACGTAAGATAATAATATAAACAACATTATATACAACATCGATCACCAGCCCGACAATTTTATTTAGAATATAATATGAAGCATAATCCGAATGAGTCTTCTGTTCGAAGTATGCATCATATTAGATACAACATTTCTAGCATGTCGCTTCAGTTGGTCCGTTAGCTCAGTAGGCAGAGCGTGGTGCTAATAACGCTAAGGTCAAGAGTTCGATCCTCTTACGGACCAAATGTTTTTAAATCTTTTCCTTGAATCGTGCATAATTTTTCAAGTGACCGACTGAAATAGACCATTTACAGAAATGAAAATATTTCTCACAACAGTAATTCATAGTGATAATTTTTGTTGTATTTCTCATCAATAAAAAATCGGGTCTTAGCCCGCAAACAATTTTATTTTGCTAACAGTGCAACTCTAAAACTCAAAGATATGCAAAAAGTTTGACTGTGATCGTTCTCTCAAATGGCAAGTTATTACTCAACAAATAGATTGTATCGTCTCGACACGCATTTCTCGGTACATTAAATACTATTTCATAAAATAAAAAAGTCCTACCGCTTTGTTATCAGCTATCCAGCACTTGCAAAATTCACAAAATTTCTTAGGTTGAGATTTCCAGTATTCTGCCCTACATCATAAATCATAATATTCATGTTGCAGTCCCCACCAGAGAACAAATAAAAATTATTCCATCCAAAAATAATTATTAAACAAAGACTTGTCAAAATGTAAACTCATTCCTCGTTAAATTTCTTCCATATTTAAATGATGAAGAGGTTCATACTTACATAACAAGATTTTATGAAAGATTGATAAATTAAAGGTTCTTTAGTATTGTTGAAATGTTCATAAAACAGTAATAATAGAATAATTTTGCAAGTTTATTACGAAATGACCAGCATTGTTTCGTTCTTGTTTTTACTCTTTAGTTCGTAATTCATAAGCCTGCATTTTACGATATGTAATACTTCATGATAATCAAATTATTAAGATCAATATTCCCAGCATCCTAGTTGTTTAATTTTTTTGCCACATTATGATCTATCAGTAGGCATCAAAACACACCAGCTAACTCGATTTATCAATTTTTACTTAATTTTCGACAATTTCATCGTTTAATTGATAAGTTTGACATTATAAGTACTTCCGCATCGTGGGCGTGTGGTTTTGTGCCTTTGCATGGTATTGGTAACAAGAAAAGTAAGATCATTGTACCACACTATGACCTTATCAGGGTCAAGACTAGTGCTGAAATTCCTTATGCAGGATCAACAATATCACTTTTTTTCTTCTGAAAACCGGACAATGTTTCTTATGTTCTTTTCAGTCTGTTTCTAAAAAACTATTTACAAGACAACTAAAAACTAGTATGCTTACTCAGACTTCGTATGCTCACTCAGACGTTTAAGTTCTATTGGTTTATTAAGTTTTTCATTTTTTGTCAAACAGGGTGATGTTTTGATTTCTGACTAGAGCACTGCATTTCTTAAACTTTATCCATCGATCAATCCAAATTTTATTTTCAGCAACTTTGCGAATCATCCATCAGCATAATGATTTAACCTTAAAGAAAACGGAGACATTAAATACATCATAAAAACTAGACGAAAAAAACCGTGGACAAATACCTAAAAAGCAATGCTCGCCCACAGTCATTTCCTACGACAAGATAACCACTTTTTGGAGAAAAGTCAAATGTTTCCACATATCGAAGTGGTGTTTTTGAATTAGGCCAGTTGGAAAATACGGTCAACGAAGGCACGTGCAACTAAAATGCAAAATCTAGCAATCAGAATTGATTAGAAAACAATAATAAACACAATTTAAGTACTTTTCTCTGCTCATGATATACAGAGAAACATACGTACAAGTCTGAATGCATTCTTTATTTCCTTCGATGACATTCCAAGAATTTCACTACAAAAATTAAGCATGGATAGTGTAGTTAATGAAATAAGGAAAATGATTGAGAACTATATGTAATATTTAAACAAATCCAATGTTACATCCTACCTAGTAGAATTAAATTTCAGCTGACAGATTTTCGTCGTCAAATTCATGACAGTCTTTATGGGTTTTGGAAATGCCTTCTCAAGACAACGTTGATCATAAATATTGACTACACCTGAATCAGATCTAAAAATAATGAGCATGCTCACAATATCACAAATTAAGAGCACAAACTTATTACTATTGAGAAGAATTACACTTTCAAAGAAAACAGAAAACCGTAAAATTTTATACCCGCAAGCAACATATTGTCCGCAGGGAGAAACGGCAAGAGACGTACACCTTATACACCCTTCATCTTTGAACTTGTGTAGACATTTTCTTGTTTTCAAGCACCACACATATATCTCACCATCACCTAGAGTTCAACATACAAGGAAAGAAAGATGAAATAGATAACAGAAAGTTTTCAATACTTTTATGGTAGTTCCAATGTAAACACTTACTTCCCGCTGACAACATACGTGTTCCATCGGCATAAAATGAAATGGTAGTGACCGAACCGTTCATTTTTAAGTCAGCTATCCATTGCTTTGTCTAAAAGTAAAATTTACACACCAGGTGGTAATTTAGCTATAATAGAAAACTATTTTCCCATGATTTTATTACGTATGACACAAATTTACTCTTATATACAATCTGACAGATTGCAGCAGTGGGCAGAATGTTGGGATTTCATGCAATTGGGGTGTTCATTTAGTAGACAGAACTGTACCACCATGGGAGGTAAAAGATGTATGTGTCGTAAATGACACGTGCAGTTACGTATCTTTACATTAAAGCATGGAATGATCTTACGTATCTTATAGATTTTCAGGGCTTACTCATGCTAAAAACGTTAAAGTACATGAACATCGTTATTTTTTGTAATAGGTTATATAAACACAGTACCTGACTGGATAGTAAATATATATATCCACTTTTTCCAGTAAATACCAAATATTTTCCGTCAGGTGATGTAAAACAATTAAAAAAATGTTTCTCATCTTTTCCTATAATAATTCATAGAATCATATTTTGCTTCTAGAATGGCAAAAGGCAAGAAAACGCATTATACAATAATATTTTTAAAGAATCTTATTAAGATGCTTTCTGGAACCAGGATTTTGCTTAAGTTTTTCTTTCATATCTTACTAAGATTTCTTAAGTATCTTACTTATGATTTCTACAAAGAAAATATAAGACTAACCCCGAATTTCTGGTATTCTAGTAACATAACCCTCATTCATATCGTAATAATAGAAAAATTTTCTTTGTGATGCCAGAATTATCTGCTCGCTATTTCCAATAAAATGAGCAGAATGAATGGGAAAACCTTTAACATGGATATTTTGAAGACATATATTTGTCTTTCCATCAACCTTTGTAAAAAAAGAAAAATTTGAATTATTTCTAGAGAAAAAAATTTAGCAAAAAATACAATAAGATGTGTAGAGGTGGGCTCAGGTAGCAATACCAGAATGATGGTATACAAAACCAGTTAATTTAACAACTTTTCATGGTAATCAAGATGTACGTAGACCAGAAAAGAAAAATTGAAAACAAAAAAAAAATGCATCGACTATCTGCAGTAGAAATTATGATTTAATAAAAACAAATCAAACTTTACAATGATGGCTTACTCATAAAGAAAGTTCCAATTCTGAGATTGTGAATTTTTCAAAGAAAAAATGAAAATGTGAAACAAATAATCCCAAATGCAATATCCTGTACCTGAAATAGACTTAGTTTGTTATTCAAACCAGCAACAAGGAGAATTTTAGAGCTGGGATGAAACTCCAAACACTTGACAACAGCCTACAGTAATAAGATTGAAACAGAATGCATGCAAAATAACACTTCTATGGCACAGCAAAATAACACTTCTATGGCACAGCAAAATAACACTTCTATGGCACAGCAAAATAACACTTCTATGGCACGGCAAATAACAATGACATGCACAAAAACACGAAAAATTAACTGATCACAAAGAATCCACTCACATCAAATTTGTTTGAACAATTTGCATCTTTAACTTTTCCAATATCAATTAAACCTCTTGGAAGGTATTCAGATTTCTTCGATAGGAAATTCCCTGCATGTTGCAATATTTCACTTCCTTCGTCGTCATCTGAAATTAGATTATACAAATTCAGTATCAGACTTGCATACACAAAATATAAGTCAAGAAAATTCATAATCACAATAATCAATGTATACCATTTTTGATATAATTTATAATAAAAACAGTTAATTTAAACTACCTTGATTAGGATTACATTTTGTTGTAGTTTTTGCCCACTCTGGAACTCCATAAATTTTCTGAAAACTAAAAATTTGTTGCACATACAATTAAACTTAATGTCCTTGGAAAATATCTTTTACTTTTTAAAAGGTTTAGAAGCAAAATTAAAATATTCATGCGCTGCACATACATAGATATTTTTGAACATATATTTAAGTTGGGAAAACAGGAAGGTGTGATTACTCAACAATTAGTGATGTAGATCAGCCATGTCCAGTATTACAAGATTGGCATGTAGTAAATACAATTTAATTGACTTGAGAATTAAATGATTAATGCTTTCATTACATACTGGGATTCAAGTTTTTTCTTCAAAACATCACCAGAAATAATTTCCTTTTCCCCTTCTTTAAACTTCTTTAAACGATTTTTAGATGAAACATCAACCCTACATTTGAAAAATAACATATCAAAATTTAAGAAAAGCAAATGATCAGTATACTACGTAGTTTCACCTGTCGAATGTCAAAGGTTACTGGGAAACTAAAGACCTAACTCAAGACAAAATGCCTGGGTAAAAATCTTATATAAGACCCAGCATACTCCTTAGGATCCTAATATGATCTTATCTAAGATCCTGTGATCTTATATCATCCTGATGGATCTTGTACTTGTGATCTTATATGATCCTACTCAAGAATTTCACAAGGGTACACACTCACAGAATCCAATGTCAAACAACTGAGCTATCTTTAGGATAAAACAATCATGAATCAAATATTTTACCAGACATTTGAATCATCTTCATCAACCCATGCAGGTAATTCAGTTTCTTCAATAAAATCATCTTCTTGCAAGTCATCCTTAAAAATCATAGTTTTGTTAAAATAAATGTGATCTCAATAATGCACAAGAACAAAAGAGTTAGAAACACAAAACATTTTCTTTCAATATTAGAATTGCACACCAGCGGCATTTATGCCAGGGGGCCCCAGACTGAAAAGTTTACTGTGAACTGGAAAGATCTTGCCAAGCAGTTAGAAACCTTAATGAGCTCATTACCCACACACAATTCCGTTGTAGAGTTTTTGATCAAATATAATATTTCCCTGTGCAAAGGAAACATGCAAAATTTAATTGCCCACACAATTTGCATACTTTCCAGCCTGGTCAGGGGCTAGCTGGGTAGGTAGCCTAAGTATGAGTAAGGAGGCATCCTATCCTATTCAACCTCTGTACAGTATTTAGTAACTTTTGTTTGATCTGTTTTTATTGAATATTATGAACAATAAACTTAGATGTTTACACCAGCACACCAATAATTTCAGTTAATTCACTGTTTACACCAAGAAACTCGTCAAAAAACGGACAACTGTCACTTCCCTGTTCTCAGTTTTAGTTGGTCTGTCGGTTAATGGTTTATATGTTCAACCATAATACATACCTCATCAAGAGATTCCAGATATTGCTTACCACCGAAAACTAGGTTTTCTAATTCCTCGTGAGTTACCTTCTGGTTTATCAATCGACTTTGCTTGTTACTTATGGAACACATGTTGACTGGATCTTCATCTGCACATTTATCAAATTGCCTTTTGGATTTTCGACGTAGCATGGTATAAAAGTTTATACAATCCTGAGAGAAATATAATATACAAGTTTCCGAAAAAGATAAAGTTAGGAAAGTTCACTAATAAAGTTCAGCAAAAACATTATGGAGATGAGCTGTCGTTTTTTCAATCCAGCAGTGTTGCGATCCAAGTTGACCTGTGGTTGAGTTGAACTAAAATAAACTGGAGCGAAAGCGCGTATGTCCGATGGTTTGAATTTCAATTTTATTTTCCTGTAATTGCAATTTTTAAGAAAGTTCTTTGACAATTTTGCTCAGTTCTATTTTTTGCGACACCAAATCTTATCACCCTCATAATTGGTTTTCTGTAATTTCTACATCAGAATTTTACTAATTCACTGGCAAATTCCTAATTATGTTGCACAATTGCAAACATGATTCAAGCGAGTTGAAGCAACTTCATAACGATATTAATATACGACTTTTTTGCACGTTGATGTAACCTTGGAACTCTAAGAAAAATGAACCAAAAAATGTAGAATCTTTTCCTCTGTTGGTTCCAATAATGGTTGAAAAATTTATGCCTTAATATGTCGAAAGAAATTAATAGATCTTTATATGCCTGTGTCAGCTCTGTCTCTTTCCATATTTTACAATATTACCATAATAGTCAACTATTGTCAAAGATTGATTCTTTTGAGCTATTTTTTTAATAATATTATCTTTAATGCAATTGCAGGTAGACAGGTCCAAGTACATAAGACGAGGCATCATCTCTGCTACAGCCCACAAAGGTTCACCAATCAAACCAGGAATTCCAATCAATTTGAGAATTTGAATATGATGACATTGCTTTACAATGCAATTTAGCCCTTTATCTGTAATGTTCCAACACCATGAGAGATCTAATGTCCTAAGAAATGGGCAGCTACACAAATAAAGTAATGATATTTAAAAAATTTCCATAAAGGATGGAGAAAATTGATCTCCATTCATTATGTTATGGCCATCATGCTTTATTTCAATCACTAAGCAAAGAATTTTTTAGCAACATTCCAAAGCCAGGAAATTTATATCAAGTTCAAAAAGTACATAAAATATTACTTTTCAAATTACTGTGACTTACACTTTTGTTAGGCAATCAACAACTTCATCATTAAATTCCACACATTCGCTGAGATCAGCATAAAAAATTTTGCCATCAAAGTTTTTAACATAAAGATCAACCCCTCTTTTGTAAACTTGCTGCCTTTTCTCAGTGATAATAAGTTAAGTCTTTGTAAGCCAGAAATTCTGCTCAAAGTGATATCAGTAAGTTCTTCACAAAATGAAATTTTCAATACCCTATAGAAATAATAATTAAAACCAGCTTAAATCCCATGAGATTGATGGCTTCACTATCACAAATAAATTACATGTATACCTCATATTATAGCAACACTCAATATACTGCAAGCCATCATCTGTTAAATTCTCGCCATCAATCCATAAATACTCCAAAGAATGTTGACATTCACATAACAAATGTTTCATAGCTTCATCTCCAATCCACTGAACACCATCAACATTTAAATGTTTTAAATTACAGTGGCTAATGTTATAAAGAAACTTGTCAGTCAAAGTGTTGCAAAACGCCACATCAAGTTTGGTCATGGCAGGGAATTTCATTTCAAAAACATTATCATAAACATTTGAACTGGTTAAAATTAATGACTTGAGTTTAGGACAATAATAAGCTATAGCTGTAACTAAGATTCCAGTTAAATGATGGTCTAGGGCAAAATGACAATGATAGTTCGCGAAGATTTTCTAAATGCATTATCCATGGAAATAATAGTGATACTTCATAATCAATTTGTTTAGCCAATTCTTCTGCTGCAAACTCTACACCATCAAGAGATAGATAGTTTAGCGTGTGCTCATCAAAATTATCACAATAAATTCTTTTTAAAATTACATCAATTGAATTACTGTTGACTTGAAGACTTTTAATATCGTCAGAAGTCAATCTTGTCCATAGATTTCGTTGACAAATAACGTAACACCATCTTTTACACACAAGCTTGACGTTAATTATCAAATGCTTCGCCGACAAATAAGAAAAAACTTTGCAAAGGATTTCGTTTGGTACAATGTCAATGCTTGTAATATTCATGCTATGAAAACTAAGCTTTATGCTACTGATTTAAATCATATCATAAGAAGCTTCAGTTTTCATCTCATTCATTCAACTATTGCTATAATGCTTTGGCCGATTAATTTGTTTTAGCCAATATTTTTCATCTGCCAAAATGCACTACGATGGAAATTGGAACTCAATGGTAGCATTGTGTAATTGCCATGGCTTATACCCAGAGACAGTTTAACACAAGTGACATTGCAATCAATTTTATTATTAAGTTTTTCCTTAGCCAATTCAAAAGCATTTTCTTGAAGCAATTCGCAAATATTAGAAAGCAGGATAAGAAGAGTTTGCCAAGAATTATAACGAGCTGCAAAACGAATTAATTTATATGCAAAAACAGCAAAAGGTGTGCGCAAAGCTTTCAACATAAGATTGTTGCTTGAACATTTCAGTCAATCGTCCATGTCATTTGCCGGCTTAGGTTCTTGCTTAGTTTCTTGCTCAGTTTCTTGCGCAGTTTCTTGCGTAGTTTCTTTGTTCTCTTTCATTTCTTCCTTAGCTGTATCAGTCTGTGTGTTTTCCATTTTATTTTCGTCGTCCTTCTTTTCATCTTTCGGTGGTTCTTCTTTAGGTTTTGGTTTTGGTTTATTAAAGATGGGTTTATAGATATCTTCTAATTTCTAAAAGATGAAGGAAAATTATCTTTAACGCGCTATAAATAACAAAAGAATAATTGGAAGAAGATTTTAGCAAGCTCAGTTAAATTTCTCGAAGGGCTCTTCACGAAATATACGTATGTACTATTGATTATACAATATAGAATCACAACGAATTATATCTAAATCAAATTTTCTGGGAAAAAAGATTTTTCATTGATCTAAACATAGGCTGTGCAAAAAATTAATTAAAGAGTTTAAACAAACGATAACAGACCGTGCGCCGCAAACTTTGAATTAATTGATGGTATCTATATCATATATTTACCTAACGAAGGCAACTATCATCGCAGTTGCGAACACATGCCTTTATATAAACATAGATACAATCAATTAATACAAAGTTTTGCGGCACAAGGTCTGTTACGATGGAATGGGGAGCGTTATCGCCTATGATCTAAGTTAGGGATTGGGAAAATGGATCATTTTAACATTTATGATACGCTACCTGTTTTTCCTTTTGGATAGATGTTGTCAAAACTACTGGGGGTTCATAAAGGGCTTGTCCATTTATTTTATTCCACATTCCTTCCAGCCATACACTTTTCTCCTTGACAGCATTGACAACTTTTTGAACCTCGGCTTCCTCTAAATGCTCATATTTCTCGTCCTACAAAGACATATAGGTTAAACATTGTACTAATGTACCTTTAAATATATCCATATTCTGATTACCTTTTGATTAAATAAATCCAATAATTTTTGACACAGTTGAATTTCTTGACCAAGAGATTCTAATGCTTGAGGTCTTGTTCTTGCTTCATCGTAACGGAGAGCAACAGGATCACCGATTTTCTTAAAATGAAACATAACATATCAAGCTCTACAGTCCATTATAACATTTATCTGTTTTACAATTGGTTGAATGTTTTCGCACGACAAGAATCAAGATCAACATACCAACGCTTTCAATATGGAAAAAAACTTTCCATTAAATTTTGGATCAATGAAAACAAGATGTGATACCTTCAATGACTCCAGCTTTTCCATAAAAACACTCTTAATTTGATCTTCTCCTTCATCATATAACCAATCTTCGGCGTCAGTTAACTTCTTCGTAAATGATTCTCTCTCCTAATAAAACCATTCAACCTTAATCACTTTAAGTAACAAAGTGCAATACGGCTCACGGCGTATGTATCGTTGAGCTATAACATATTTATGAGAATCGACATCACTGGAAATTTTAAATATTTGGCTATAAATATGTACGTAGGATTTGTTTTGATCATTTATACATGCTACAAAATATAGCCATCCTTAATTTTGCCCAACATAGCATATTATTTAAACGACAAATACCCGTAGTTTTTTCATTGATCTTTTGAAAACATCACAACTTCGATAAATTGAATCCCCCATTTACCTCATCCGTGATAAATTTCTCATACTCAGCGTATAATTTATTTCGAGTTTGCAACACATATTCTTCTAGTGAATTCATAGCTTGAACTCTGTCTTTCTCTTGTCGATCACGAGATATTAGTTCATTCTATATGAATACATAGAACATTAGTGATATCAATAACATGGTATCTAATCATCAAAAGCCCAAACTTTTATCATTCCCCACTATTAAGAAGCTAAAACACAGTTCAATCTTATTATGACATGTGGTCAACACCGAATTGGTCTATGAAAACGTATATGCGTTGAGAAAAGTTAAACGTTTAGTTAAACGCTGAGTTTAAATTATTGTATGTTTTTGCTGTCAGGATTTTCAAAAATTTATAATAAATGTTCTGTTAAAATGAAATCACGACCCTAATACCTCAAACAAACAAAATGCAAACCGTAGCACTGATCATAAAGTCAAAAATAATCATAGACATTGATATCAACATTATTTCTTCAAAGACAGTTTTAATAAGTCTTGTTTTGTACTTACGTGAGGTGAAGCTGATAATTCGTGTCACTTCGTGTACATTTCAAAATACTAACCTCACGTTCTATTACTTTATTTAGTTCAGCTTGCGACAAAGAAGACACAAAATGCTCAATTTTCAGATCAACGGTCTTTGTGTTTGGTTTTTTCTTCTTGGGTGTTTTTTTTTGTTCAGATTTCTTCTCTTGGTTTTCCTTTTCCGAACTTACTTCAGGCGTAGCTTCAGACATAGATTCCTCCTGATTAGTGGTTCCGTCTTGCTCAACATTTTTATTTGACCCCTATATGACGTCAAACGTCTTCTATGACAAAAATTCATCGCTCTTTTATGAAACAATGTGCAAAACAGTGATGGCCAATTACAATAAAGCACAAAATCCTACAAGTAACAAATGGCTGATTGCAGAGAACCGCGAAAACCTTTTTATATATTGTCGTAGTGCTACAGCATCCTTCGCATTTTTCAGATGATTACAGCACACTTTACCCTCTCTAACGTCGAATTTAATCAAAACTTTATAAACTTCCTATGATTGATGACAGTACAACGCATGGATTTGTAATTTGAACAAGAACATTTCAAGTTATGTATACGTACCTGATCAGTATCCATGGGTTGCTGAGTCTCATCCTCTTTCACAACAGGTCCATCTTCATTCTAAATACAAATTTCTTTTTATTTAATATGCCTTTCAAGCTATGACATGTTCATAATTCAAATATTATTGATCACAGCGTAGTATAAAGGTAGCTAACAAAACCAATGGCAAAGCTACGTAGCCCCAATATTTGGTCCTAGCGTACAAAAGCTAACAAAACCAATGGCAAAGCTACGTAGCCCCATTATTTGGTCCTAGCGTATAAAGGTAGCTAACAAAACCAATGGTAGCTACGTAGCCCCAATATTTGGTCCTAGCGTAGTATAAAGGTAGCTAACAAAACCAATGGCGCTACGTAGCCCCATTATTTGGTCCTAGCGTAGTATAAAGGTAGCTAACAAAACCAATGGCAAAGCTACGTAGCCCCATTATTTGGTCCTAGCGTAGTATAAAGGTAGCTAACAAAACCAATGGCAAGCTACGTAGCCCCATTATTTGGTCCTCCTATGTAATTTTTTATGTATTCACTCACAGTGAAGTAAAAACAATGAATGATAAAAATGAATGATAAAAATGATCTGAAATTTACATAGCAAGACCAAAACCAGTAAACTGGCTTTGCTACTCAACAATGGAACTGAGGAGAACGCCCCCTTGCAACAATGATGTAGAAAGACAAAAATCCTGTAAGACGTAAGTATCATATGAAATAACAACTATTTCATAAACGTCTGTACTATACACGTCGCAGCATGCGCTTTCGACCTTCTTACTTTTGTTCTGGAACGATGTTCTAGCCAATCTTGATATGGGGACGGGATTTCTAATATTTTGTAAAGTTTTCGCCATAGCTACTGAATAAAACCTACTGTGCAATTCAATATCAAAAAATCGAGATAACCTGGGCTACGTTTGTCTCGCCATTAGGAAGGGTCGTCTCTCCATTGCTTTCATTTTTATCTTGTTCTGACGGCGCAGTTTCCATTGGTTCATTGTCAGTTTCCTCGTTAGGCGGTAAATTTTCAATCATTTGCGCCTTCGATACGTAAAAGATGCCGTGAATATCCATACGAATTTTCACTTTGATCTTTGATGATTCTCCTTCTACGGTTGGAGCCACACCCTTTACGACAAACCGTCCTACACATTAAGAAGTCAGTGTAGGTCTTAGAGCAAAATATAAATAATCCAATTATAGACATGTAAAAAATAATTGAGATGTAAAACTTATCTTAAACATACAAACACCTATTTAAAATACGTATGCATCAAATCTCGCCAACATTACCTATCAACACATCTAAATTTTCCCCTTTTAAAAACGCTTTCACTTCAAATGCTTCTTTTCTGTAGAAAGTTAACTGTTTAATGAAAGGAAAGGTATGACCAAAATCGCACACGTCCATCGACCTACAACATTGAAATATAGAATCATTAATTTTTGTCCTCTTTCTCTTACAACAAGCCTTGGAGATTTAACATGACTACGTACCCAGAATCCTCTCCGCCAACAGAGTCCCAGGTAAGGTTCAAAGGATATGACGTCACATCTTGCACATTAAAGTCTCGAACACGAAAAGCTGGGGATAACATGGCACACTAATAAAACAAATTAAAATTTTCACACATTTTGCTGACAAAAAAGAAACTAATTTCTGGATAAAAACAGTTCAAACTGAACGTTCAGTATCAACAATAAATAATTTTAAGTGAACCATAAAATTGCAGTTGTGTGTATTTTTGTCACATCTGGTAACATACAAATATGAAATCATATGCACTGTCATGGATACAATTGGACAACAAAATATTAACTTAGCTTTATTAAAGAGTAAAAAACGCTTTTGGTTAAATGCTTTTTGGTAACCATGGGCATACTTCCGTAAGTATTGGTAACCATGGGCATACTTCCGTATGTACTGATAACCATGGGCACATGTAATGGTAACCATGGGCTGTACTGGATATCTTTCCAAAATAAAACTTTTGATTTAACAGAAAATTTGATCATTTAAACACTAGAAATTGACCTGTAAAGAGCATCCTCTGGCAACTGCTTCATCAGTGTTCAATGTTGTACTGATTTCTTTACAAAACACTTTGCGAATGATATTTTTTACAGCAGGAATGCGAGTTGATCCTCCAACAATTTCCACAGCATCAATATCTTCTTTCTTCAATCCTTCAACAAACACACATGCAAAGATATGATCACAAAATTTGGACAAAATAAGAAATAAAGTTCACAAGTAAATTTAGGTAAACCTGATCTTTCAAGGAGCTGCTTCAAACAATTCTCAACTCTAATCAGTAACTCTGAGCACATTTCTTCAAAATTTTCTCTATTATGAAACATAAAAAAACAATAGAAACGGATTTTGCAAATCCCATAACTTAAATCACAAACAAATTTATGATTACAGGCATGTGAAAGGCATTTGCAAGTACTTAAAGTGTGAGTAAAATACAACAATATGTCTCTCCCATGAAAATCAAAATTTATGAGTTTACTAAATCCACTTATGTAGGAGTATATGTGTAAATTCTGTCCTAGAGCATAAAGACATTACAAAAATATCATTGCATAATAGTCTTTTGATAAAAATGAAGAGCGTAGCTCTAATCCTAACCAGTCAACATTAAAACTTAACAAGCAAAAGTAATCACAACAAACCTCTTCATTCTACCAGTAACATCTTTGTCTTCAATGTAATTATCAATAGCCATAGGGATTTCAACTGCATTGGAACTCATAACCTTTTCAACTTCTCACATTCTGCTTCAAGTCGAAGATAAGCTTTTTTATTTTGCTTCACACTGATCTTATATCGACTCTGGAGAAACAAAGAAAGGGAAATAAACATTAAATGCAACAGTGAAAAACTAGAGTTAATTTTAAGTAGCTAGTATACAACAATAAGAAGTATATTTCATATTTGTTATCTTTAATTACAATGCATATGAAAATACCTGAAAATCATCACAGAAATATTCAACAAGTTTTGCATCAAAATCTCGACCACCAAGACTAGAATCTGAAGCTGTTGTCAAAATCTATAAAATTATTTATGAAACTACTGATGCCTTTCAACAAAAAGTATGTTGCTAAATAGAAATTTACACTTGCAATAATAACCTTCAGTTTTCCTTTATTGAAAGCTGCAATTGATGTTTGGAGTGAAGAATGACCAAAATCAATAAAGGCAACATTTCTTGATTTTGCACTTTCTTCAGGGAGATCTTGCTTATAAATTCCATAAGCTAATGCAACTGTACACAAGAAAGAAAGTATTAAACCTTTAAGGCAAAAGATGCATTCCAAGGTGCCATGCACTCGTTCAATAAGTTAACTTATTTGAAAATAATGCAACTATTCAATGTTGTGAAGGATACAGGGTGAATTCTAGCTTATACCTGCAGTTGTTTCGTTCATTAGCCTCAGACAATTCAAACTAGCAATAGATGCAGCATCTAACATTGCTCTTCTTTGTTGATCAGTATAAAAACATGGAACCTAGGACAGCAAATTTGAGATCATTCAATATGAAAAAAATATAAATGCAATGTAATAACAACTTTAATTTGCTGAATTTTTACAGCGATTGGCAATTTTCTAAAACTGCACACATTTTTCACATCAATAATTTAATTAATTGCACTATACAAATTTCACAATAAAAATATATATAAATTATTCCAACAATACTTGCCAGTAATATGACATGTTTCAAGAATAGAATTCATACTTATCAATTCTTACCGAGATCACACAGTCTGCCACTTTGGTTGATAGAGCTGACTCAGCAGTAGTTTTTAAATAAGTTAGCAGCATTGCCATAACTTGTTTTGGAGTAAAAACACCTTCTTGCTTAAGATATTGGACCTTAAAAAACAAAAATGATTACATACTGAATACTGTGGCTCAGGTACAGAAGATCTATAAGAAGAACTATTGAATAATGAAAGTGTGTAATGATGCTTGACATAAATTGAAAATAAAAGTTGGATATGTGTGCCATTCGTAGTAATTACTTATTAAATTATTATTACTTTCATTTTAACCACCCTCATTTAACCACTCTTGTTTTACATTTTTTACATGTATTACTTTTATTTATGAATTATTTTTATCTACCTTGACTCCAATTTTTCCATCTGGAAGTTCACACACTTCATGAGGAATCATGCGAGTGTGAAATTCATTTTGGACTTCAGGATCAGAAAACTGTTTTCCAATCAACCGCTTGAACTGACTGACAGTGTTCTTTACGTTAGTTCTCTCCTAGAAGAGGAAGAACGAACTTACATTTGACAATTCTTTGTTACTTAGTTTAACATTATTCATATACATATCTTACGTAGATTATACTTAAGCAATATTATAATATTCAATTAAACTAATCAAAAAATATACCTGATTCTTGGCCGAGACTCCTATATAGCGCTGTTTATCGCCAAATGAAACATATGAACTGAAATTAAGAAGGAAAATTACAGAATATTGAATGGGTTTCCATTGCCAACACATTATATGATTTCCATCCTTAAAATAATAGATTTATATCTATTATTTTAAAGTAGATTCTCTGTTTTTACCATTTACATTCGCACTATAAACTGTCCGGGTGAAATCAAGTACATTTAGATAAAAAAAAACACAATGAAATTGACAATTATCATACGGTGTACGTCTATCGCTGTATTCATTGGCTATTGTCTCGATTCCTCCTCCTTTCGCAACAGCAATAAAACAAGACTGATTACCAACATCAAATCCAACAACGGACATTTTTTTTAAAAGTTTTGTATATCAAGTAAAAGTTTGGATTTCCCTTGCCGGGCACGTGTGCTTGCTGAAGTTTGTAAAATTTTCAAAATGGCAGATGTTCGTGGAAGTGTTTCAAGGAAGTATGGGAAGTTTGTACATTTTTCTATTCACAATTATCCATTATTATCCCCTGTTATCACCTCTGACATAAACTTGTTCTCATCTACCGAACTACCAAAAGGCCATAATCTGGCATCTGAACGAGAAAATGGGTAAAGAAGGCAAAATTAAAACATTTTAAACATACCCTATAGTGATTAAGTGACTTCAGTTCTAAATGTAGACTTGAGTAATAGTAGAAGTAATGTTCAATAAAATGACTTGTAAATGAGCAGTAAAAGTACAATGAACTTAACTTACTAGAGTAAAAAATTGAAAGTATTTAGTTCTTCCAATAATCTTAATGTATTGTGAACCATCAAAAGATATAGCCACATACCTAAGGTCCTATTTCGATTAGAAAGCACAGCACATAGGCTGTCGTGCAGTGTATTAACTCTGAAGACAGGTGGAAACTAAGTTATACGTATTCCCTTTTACGAATAACAGCAAGAAGTGTTTTTTTTTGTTTTCAGAAATCAGTATTAGTGCAATATGTTGCTTTCTAGTAAAACAAACATAATCTGAGCATTTTTTACTACATTATGACCGTAATAACTATGAGACAGAGATCAGTATTTAAAAGCGTTTGCTAATTTGATATCGTATATCTTCATTATGACTTAGCTATTTAAATGGATGATTATCATGCTAGGTGAAGTTCACACGACAAATGAGCTCTTGTTCTGCGAGATGTTCTTTTCTCTACAAGGTTAGAGTGTGTAAACATCTGCATGATACATCACAATTCGACACAAAATGTAATCATTAGTTCTGGGATTTCAATGTCCCCACAATACACAGTAGTTATACGTAGCACACAAGTTTGAAAAAACACGTGTTTAAAATTTTTTATAAATACAATTTGTTTTCATAGCCCCTTGCGACACTATTGTTCGTCATGATAAACTGCACAAGTATTGGGAAAATTGCAATCAGAGCAGACATGTTATTGACTAACTCATCACAAATCATGTTTGCTTAGTTTGTCGGAATTTTTTCATTGAAACAATTTTCTTTACATATTCAAAAATACTTCATCCTATTTCTCATCAACAGTAACAGTGTACAGAAAGAGAACATAACAAAATGTTGCATTCAAAGAATTGGATTGATTGATACGGTAAGTGGACAAGTTTCATTGCTGTAAATAATAAAATGGTTTGTTTTTTCATTCGTTTTTGCTGTTTTGCTGGAATTTCAAATTATCACACCTTTTATAAAATATATTTTTCCGACGAATCAAATCAGGTCATTGTTCTTTTATTCAGGTTTGAATATAACCCATTTGAGAAATTATACAGTTATTTGAGACAAGACAATTAAGTCTCAAATCCCTGAATAACATCTATTTAAACTTTTTTATGTGATTACTCAAAGTGAAGATTAAAAGAAAATAATCATATGACATTTCATTTTCAAACAAGCAATTCAGAGCAGACATTTATTTAAACTTTGATGTTGCTGCAAGGGGAATCCTAGTCCATTCGGTCGTGAAAATAAACAGAAAGAAATCATGTTCATTTGAATTCGATGATAACATTTGCTAAAAATATACATAAATGTTTTTATCCTGTGTTTCATTTTTCAAACAATAGGCATACCTGCAAATTCCTGCTGAGGTAACTTGCCCAGTAAAACTACATGGTGTCTGGGTATCGAGTTCTATAATTCACGTGTCACGGTAAAGACGTCACGTGTCGCAGGTGCAAAAGCACAGCAGAATAAGAAAAAACACTAAAGGTGTTTTAGAACGCACTAAACACTCTATTGATTTTTTTCGTGTGGCGCATTTCTTATTACATGTGATTACCATAGTGGTGGCCAGTTAATTGCCTTTTTTAGACCACTAGGATTAGGAATGAGGAAAGGGCTAACGGCAGCCATTACTATAATAAATATACAGAAGCAAGTTTCAAAGAGAAGTGGTCCTAAAGTATATTACTTATTCTGTGGTAAAAGGTTGCAGATCATGAATTACATGACTTGTGAAAAATTAATTTAACGCGTTTTTGCTCGTTACCATGAATCATAATTTATTGACTTAAATGATTTCGTAAGTTATAATGATTTTAAAAAGTTGAAATACTGATGTTGAAAAACATTGAATTTTGCAACGTATTGTACTTCATTCCTCCTCGTCTTGTTTCCCTTCCTTTTCTTCGTGATCTTTTTTTCTTGAACGTTGATGAATGCTCAAAAGTACAAAATAAATTCCATCCATTGACGATTTCACCATCAGGCGTAAGACTCTAATATGTGTATCGTATTCTTAGGTATTCAAGTTAAGATGGGATCGAAAGTGTCTTTTTAACTGTTATTTGATTGTTCGATATTTGCCATCAATAGAAATTCTAAAATATACGTCATGATGCCACAACGAAGTATAGGAATATTTGCGTTATTTTGTAAAATTATTGAAACTGCAAAAATAACAATTTAACTAATTAAAACGATTTCAAATTCAAATTAGAATTTTATTCACCGAGTGCACATTTTACACAAGTTTGGCACGTGCAGAAACTTCATGGCATTTTGCATTTGAATTGCTCAATCATTTCAAGTGGATGGAGATGAATTAAATTGAGATTTTAAATAACTGTCAATCTATAGCATAATAATCTTAAAACTTTAAATAATCGACCACATTCGAATATTTGATAACATGCACTGAGTTGCTGCCTGACGATAGCAGATACAAAAAATATTTCAGTCATGCATATAGTTTAAATTATAATTTCCTCCCACGATTATAATTGTGTACAGTAGAATAATTTTTAAAACCGACATCACAATATTATGACGTTACGTTTATTTATGAAAGTTATTTCAATTGATATTTTTCCTGTGTATTGATCATCAATGACTTTACAACGACGAGCAATTAAATATCAATTGAAGAAATAGTGAGAGTCTCAAGGTGCATTTAAGTGAACGAAAACTGTCTATGTTGGTAAATATGTTAGCGTTGTGTTGTTTTCAATTTCAGTTTAAAACATACATGAAACTATGTGATAAAATATAGCAATAATGATTATTGCTATAATGATATTGCTTATTGTCAATATACTGCCTCGTTCACCCAATTTAACACTTGTAGATTTATTTATTAAATTATCTTGATAAATTATAACACTTGATTTTTAAAGCTTAGAATATGTTGAACTAAATTGTATTTTGCTGCTTTATCGATGGTATTTTAACTTCGATATTCAGTCATTAATCGCAGTACAAAGTTGGACAGGTGCTTGAATATTTTACAACATATACTGTACACATTTACTGCTATTCCACATCATAAATGAACTTCATAAGAATTATCGCTAAATTCATTTCTAAACAAAGATTTTGGTCAGTTCGTGACTTTCTATGTTTAACATAAAAGATATTTTAATATGTGTTTCATTCTAATGAATACAAAGAACAACATAATATACAAGTATTTCCTGTCTGTCAGTGCTCAACACAAATTGCCTTGGATAATCCATCTGCTTTGTAACATTTAATGTTGGCAAGATTGTTCCTATAGAAGTCTAATCAGAATGTTGTTACATTTCATCACCTGATTTAGCAAAGTGGATCTTGAAAAGGTTGTATTTACAGCTACACGTATTGATTTTTTAGGTTGGCTTACGAATAAAAAGTTCATTTCGTTTGGATCTAGTCGAATTGAAAAAATACATCAAGACTTTAAAGTTAAACAGATCTTGTTGACAAAAGGTTCTCTGCTATCGCCTTTAAAAGAGGAAGATCGAGCTTTTGTTGTTCCGCAAACTGAAGAAAACTCGATGATGTATGAAAGAAATCATCAATTCTTGAATGCAGTAAGTATATACGTAAGTTAAATCTTTACCTAAACGACCAGTAAAATGTAGTTAAAAATACATATTTTTCTTGCATAGGAAAATAGACTTCGTAAATCACGATCTAGCACGCTTTCTGGATCTGGATCAAGTTATTATTCAAACGAAAATACAATGACCCCAGCCACAAAAGCACGATATTTTGGGGGTTCAGACTCTAGGTTACATAATGCTGATTCTCAGCCTATCCATACTTCTAAACCTGAAACAAAGGTCCAATTTAACCATGGCTCGGTCACCAGACGGACTCCTGTCAAAGTGAGTGAGATAAAGAAAACAATTCCTACATCTGTTCACTCTAGCTCCAGATCATCCATGGACAAAGCACCACAACATCGAAGAAAAAATAAATTGAATAATAAGAATATATCGGTTAACTCTTTGGTGAAACAGCGGTCTGGACAAGACGATAAGAAAGCCTTTTCAAGTCCGAAAACAGCTTATGATGATAACACTAAAAATAAACATCAACTTTTGGCTGATCTGAACTCGAATGACATTTTATATCCAAAAAAATCGCAACCTCATAGGACTGGCAATATTTCTATTTTGCTGAAACAAAATGGACTCAATGTTTCAAGTACTCAAAATACTGAAGTTAAAACACATCATTCATTAAATAATAGCAAAAATAATCTTTGCGCGGATGAAATAAGAGACTTTTTGATTCCAGAAAACGAGAAACTCTCTAATGGTCTTATCCAAACTAGGTCCGAACATTTTGTTTACTCTCAAGGCGAACGTCAGCTTTCAAATTCTGAAAAGATTCAGTCATCTTTTATGACGAATAGAGAAAATCACATCCATCAGAAGAGCACGGAGGAAAAGACCAAAATTGCTCAAGTTTCTTTTGCTTTGAACGAAAGTCAGAGTACTCCAAAAGGCCAAACAGAACATGCAAATCTCCCTCAGTTAAAAAAAAATAAATTGGAACAAAACAATTTATCTTCTAATGAAATTATTAACAAACGTTTATTGGTAGAACAACATATGAAAAGAGAAAAAGAAGAAGAATGTGTAAACGAAAGCTTACTTGAGCCCCATCAAGTCCAACAGCTATCAAAATTGAATTCTTTAGAGAAAATATCTTCAAAATCCTCCTTTCAGAGGGAAAGCTCTTTTCCTTTGACTCAAAAAATAGAAAACCCCCTTGACAACACCTGGGATGAAAAAAATTGCTTTGATATCCATTCCCCTTATCAAAATAATCCAAACGTTGTTAGCAACACAACAAAGAGTGAAGGTGGAGTAAACAAAGCTAAATTGCCAATTGAAAATGATTATCAAAGTAAATCATCTTTGGAAAAAAAATTTAAACGGCGACTTCCGACATATGATGAAGCTGTTGTTTCTAAAATTGAAGCAGAAAACGTTTACTCTGTTAAACCAAAGCGTGAGCAGATCAAAGTGAATCAACCACGAGAACAACTACAGCTACACAAGCACAATGTGAATGACAAACTGTCTTCAACGACAAGCGAGCTAAATCACTCCTCAAAATCTGTATCCAAAACAAAATCTCGTTCGTTAAATAATCTTGTTCAATCAAAAAACACGGACCTACAACATGAAACAACGAAACGTCGTTTTTCGTTGGAGAAAAATAAAGAAAAATTATCACCGTCTCATTCGTCAAACCATACAAATAGCCATTTCACGGAAAATGAGCAGCCTATCTACGATGGAGAAACACTAAAATCATTGTTAAATACACAAGAACAGCTTGATAAGAAACCGGCTGATCTGTTGAATAGTAGGATTGAACATAGAAAATTAAGAAAAGATGCTAATGTGCTCAGAAATGGCGAATTGAAGACTAAGGATGATGAAACAGATTATGAGATTTTAAAATCTGAGCAAAAGGCAGTTCTTGATTTGGATTTCAAAGACCGTACCAAAATACACACGGATAAGAGTATGGCAAAACAATTTGCTGCTTCAAACGAAGTAAATTTTTCAGATGTTACTGAGGAAAGCAAAATTCTCCAATTGGTTGAAGCTGAAGAAAAATATTGGAAATCTAAAATCGAAAAGAAAGAGAAAAATGAAAAAAGGGATTCACAAGCTTTTGAAGAAATGAAAAAACGCAAAGAGCGACAAATGAAAATGCTTTTTCAGATAGAAAACGCTGATCAAAATAAAGAAATAGATTACTCGGAGATCACCGATACTTTACGAGCTGAAGAAGAGTTCTTTGCTCAAGAAGCAGAGAAATTGTTGAAACAAAGATCTAACAATAATTCGACAGTTAAGATCACAAAAAATATTCAGTCAAACAAAGAACGTAGCAGTAATAACAAAAAGGACAGTTTTCAACATCAACCATCGTCTCCTAAAATACAATCTATACTTAAAAGACCTCAGACCTCTTCAAGTAGTGTTTCCAGTCACGATGATGCAACTTCCAAGCTTGACATTGAGTATATGTCCCAATATAATCATCTTAAAAAGATTTCTTCCTATCGATCGTCATTGTACACATGCAGTGGTTGTCACTTGCCTATTGAGAAAGATATTTGTTACCATGTTCCTGAGCTAAACTCATATTGGCATCAAAAATGCTTTCGCTGTTCCGTATGCCACTCAAACTTAATTCAAACTGATAAAGAGACGCCTATGATCCGTGTGCTATTTTCCCAAATCCTTTGTCAAAACTGCTCGAGCAACAGTAAAACAGGTAAGTGTTGTATAACCAAATAAGCTGACAAAAATTAGGAGTTATCAGATATCTGTGATACAAAATGAAACTATAAAACAATGCAGTTAAGATCAGTAACAATTTTAAATTTATTTTCAACTTTTGTACTGTTTGTATGTATAGGCATGCGCAGAATGTCATCGATGGTGTGAAATTATCTTCCAACGTACTTCGTAATCACAGGCAACGAATTCAATCTACATTGTAAGGATATTCCCCTACATGGCCATGCACACATCTTGCATAGCAAAAATAAAGTTGTCGAGAATATTTTGCTGCATAAAACATTTAGATCAGGGACGAAACTAGAACGTTAATTAGGGGGTGAATATTCATATATTCAGCATTGCCCGACTGATTTTGTTTGTCAATGATTTTAATTTCAAAAGAAGTCAGTCGGGCAGAGCTGAATATATGAATATTCACACCACCCCCTCCCCATTAACGTTCTAGTTTCGGTCCTGACTAAGATATTAAACATTATATGTTTTTAGAATTAGCGTTCACAATCGTTGATAATTTAATTCAAAAATCTCAATGCTATAAATTCATTAGAATGAATATAAAATAAATTGTTTACAGTCATTTTTTAAATGGAATAAATATTTTTTAAAGTATTGCTTATGAAATGAAAAATATGTCTTTCTAGCTTTCTCTAAAAATGTAAAAAAGAAAGATTTTTTAATGTCGTTTAACAAATGGCTCCAAAGATTTACTGCAACAATTCTCGGGTTTGTTCACGATATAATTTGAAATTGGCACCCAAGAATGCATGACGATTTTCGATTAAACCAAATTTTGTTTTCCTGGATACAAGCTATAGCTTTGTCTGATGTGTAAATTATATGCGTAAATACGTGTGATTAGCCTAGCGGTAGTATTCAATGTCGAGATATCAATATGATTGATTTATGTATAGTCTATAAATAACAACTTTGTGTGTATCTAGTAAGATGAAGGCCAAGAAACGCGTGTATAAAGGGAGGAAGTTTTATTCAGAATATTTTGAACGTACACACACGAGTGCGATGCCAAATTCATCACTGAAGCAGTATATGACTATGAAGCAAAGTGAAATATTTCATCTTAAGTATAACTGCCAAGTGAAGAGGGCATAACGTAAAACATTTAAAAACAGTGTGTTTTAAAAAAAATATTTCAAACGTAAGAATAAAATTAAAGACATTTTCAATAAAAAAAACATTACTAATTAATACTAATTGCTCTTCCAAAGTCCAAACTTTGAAATTGTTTTTTTTAACCTAGTGCGAACTCGTTATGTCAGTGCACTGGTGGGATAAAGTTTTTCATAAGCTTTAAATCCAACTTCTCTGATTCTGCTGAATAGTTCAAATTGAAAGAAAACACTTGCAATAAAATCATTAAGTCATACATAAAATTCATTATACAACTGTAATTAATTAACAAGCAAAATTTCTTCAAAGAACAAAAGTCACAATAATTAAACATTTCATATGTGTGTCAACATTGTTTAAAACACAGTGAAGTTTCCAGAGCAACTTTGCTGTTTTTGAAAATATAAAATAAATCAACGAGACATTGATTGATTCATTTCCATCACGTCTTTTGTGGTCATTTCGCTCCAGAACAGTCTCGTCATGAACAAAAATCATAAGGTAAATCAGTATATTTGTTAATTTAAATTTCAACCCCCTTTCCCCAATCTCATCAGTTTTTACATTGGTAATAGATGTTCTTATTGAATGCTTTAAAAATGCCACAATTATCAAAATGTACATTGTCAAAAATTGAAAGAAGATAGAGTACTGTGCTCGTCAGAAAAGAAAATGTATGAAAAAATAAGCATTCCTATTTACAAATTAAATAGCTCGATTCAACAGGAAAATGTCTCAATGTAAAACAGATAATTTCGAATCAAAAAGCAAACCTTAACAAATGCGTTACCAACAAAACCCAATTTCTTTTGGATTATTTTTTCTCATTGAACTACATGACAGCTAATCCTGTTCATCTCTTCTTTGTATTTCTTATAAAATAAATAATTTTACTGTTTTTACAATTTTACATAATGCTAGATGAGGCCTAGGTAACTGCAGGTTGAGTAATCGACAAAATATTTCGTTGCTTTATCACTTCTTCCTTCATCAAAATATTAAACTTCTCACAGAAGAGACATTTTCCCTTTAATAATATAATCTCACAAAGCAAATTTTATTATATACTTTGGTAGGCGAATATGTTTTCAATGGTAATATTGTGGACGTGTCTGATTTTCGTCTGTCAATTTGGGGCTCTGAGTTCAAGTACCGTTCTGTATGACCAGTGCTTTGTAGGATGCAAACAGGGCTGTGAAAACCCCGTTGAACTCAGCGAAAAACAAGCAATTGTTTGTGGCAAAATTGATAATACCTGTATGGAGCGTTGTGAAAAATTTGCTAAATCTGCTGAAAAGCTCGAAGATCAATTGACGAGGAAAACATATCAAATGAACTTGAGAGAAGAGAATTACACTCTGAAGATTCAATTGAAAATCAATACGACGAGGAAAACGAGTCGAGTGAACCTCGCGTTCAGAGAGAATTGGATTTACTTAGTAAATTGCTTAAATTTTGAACAAAGAAAAATATATCTTTGATTCCAGATTGTTCTATTTAAATAAAAATATATTGCCATGAGAGTATAGACTAGACCACAGGAAATGGTAGATTAAAATGATTTTTTGATGAGAAGGTATTATATTGACTACGCAAATTGTAGCTAGTGAGCAATGAATTGTGAAATCATACTCTGCACCTACGACAAAAAGTGAAATAGCCACATGATCTCATTCTGACGCAAGCCTTACTGTGATATAAACATACAATGGCATTTTTATTAATTAAATTCTTCGTACTATCTCGAAAGAAATGATGTTATGTTATTGTGAGAAACCTACTCAAGAAAGGCCAAATACATGCGTCTATCCTATTTCCATAACATTATATACTTATTTTAAATTTTTTATTTTTTTTCATTCCGACCCATGCATACGTCACGTGCTCAACAATCGGAAAACACTTTCTTTAATTAATTCATTTTTTCCTCATATTTTTCCATGCCATTGTCTGACATAACTAATGTGCCAGCTTGGAAAAAGAAAGATCACTAAAGTCCACATACTATATTGTGTAATTTGAACGCGTTTGTTCCACAATAATCTAATAGTTTGCGCTCGATAATTACTAAAGTAATAGGATACTATCTACCGATACAAAATTGTTAACAAAAATACAAGGTAAATCACAAAAAATCCCTGTAATGTAGACAAAAGGATATAGGATGCGTCCGTTATCGCGTAAAAATACCTCTGGTTCATTCCATTTATTTATGTTGATAACTGCGATCAATTTGATTTCGTGATGAAAACATACAATGACGTAGAAAACTCATTAATTAGTGAATGGTGAGGCAAATGATCATATATGCCTGTTTTAATATATGAATATATGAATACACCCTTCTCCCCCAAATGTTGAGTATTTTACGCAACTAAAACATTAAAAGCATGAAACGTTTCAAATACATAACGTAATAGAAATTTACAAAACCTTTCATAGCAACAATGACTGCTTCAAATGAAATTTTATGGCTGTTGTGGCAGCACGTTTTTATACTTTCAAATTCAAGATGTGCGGCGGCATTATGCCCCGTAATACCAAAACACATGTTTCCAATCATTCAGAATGCAAAAATCATAATCAGATGGAAGATATGAATTTCGCCTTCGTCAAATTGGTTAATGATTCTGTTTGGGGGGTGTAGTCAAATATTTTCAAACCGATAAACGTCAAAATAGGCAGGGCTTAAGACATTTCCGTAAAAGGATCCAGCCAAGCAACTCCCATTTGCTGAAGATATTAAAAAAATGTCTCAGTGCAAAATGTGCACGCACGTCATCACACTTATAATTGAGGAAAACCCCATGCGGATAAATCATCCCAACTAAGTATATTTAAATCAAATTCACCCTGAAGATTTTCATACAGGCAGCAGAACTCTGAAACGTGCAATCATCAAGGAACTAGGAAGTTCTCATTCAAAGAAGTAAGTAAAGGGAGATAAATTATTGCTTAAATTATATGTTGTGCAGAACCATTTATGATAAATCGACAACATTTATTCATTAAGTAAAAGTGTTTGAATTTAAATATCCTTCATATTTTCTGAACTTTGACTGTCTCTATAGCAATATCCTCGACAAAGCTCTCTGCAACAACCGTTCTGTCGCACATTTCGGAAATATTTTCTTGCCAAATTAATGTTTAAGCATGGCAACTTATCTCGATTAACGGAAAATGTTGATCATTTAAAGAGTTTATTTGTCTTGAATAAACAGGATTAATTAAACAAGGTGGGACAGAAAAATTAAGAATAATCAATGGCATTATGGATGGAGGGTAATTTGATAATCTATACCGGAAAACCCCCCAAAGGCCCAAGTATATATAAATTCACGCAAACACATTTTAAATCGATTAAAATTTCTCTATAGGGCTATTTCTCTATAGGGCTATTGTATTTGTATAGAAATAAATGTAATAGAGTGTTTAGTTAACTTTTCCTCGACATTTTGTTTAGACTATTCTATGATGGCTTTCAACCGCATTTTACTGTTCATTACCATCGTCATTCTGCAATTGACATCGAAAACAGGCAAGTGTAGAATTCAAAGAATAGCTAATATTAGATGTATAATATTAAACTATTTTTTCAATTTTTTCAATAAACCATAAAATAAAATAAAATACCTTATCGAGGTGCTTGGTAAAATCATGCACAAACAAAATGAAATCAATCAATAAATATTCATTTACTTGCAATTTATAGTCTCGGTTCAGCTTCCAAAATGTAGAAGTGAAAATGGAAAAATTTATCCTGTCGGGTCTGTGTTTACTGATAGAAATTGCACTGTTAAATGTCATTGCTTCAAAGATGGTGTTATCTGCGAGCCCATGTGTGGAATTACTAATCAACAGAATTGCTTGAATCAAATTATTGAACGGAAAAATGTCAGTTTACCTGATGCGCAAGGAAATTTTTGCTTTTGCCAAATATTGGTTTGTAAGCCAGGTATGATCGTTTAATAAAACTATGTCTGCCTGATACTGAGCGTCTCCGTAGCTATGATATCTTCAAAAATTACTGAGCGTTTACAAAAATGTGAAGTGGAGATTGAATTAGTTTTATGACAAGTATTCGTTGTTACTTTTTAAGTGTTATCCAAACCCATACCACAGATCATGGTGAATGAATGTCGTAATGGTAAAAAGACTTATAAACCTGGTGAAAAATTCATTTCTAACGATTGTAATAGCCAATGTGAATGTCAGCCAGACGGTTCTGTTACATGTGTCAGTTTATGTTCTCCGATGATCAGAGTTTGCGCAGCAGATGAAAGAAAAATCTCGACTTTTGTTCCTGTTGCTAATAGCAACTGTACATGTCAACGTTTCAAATGTGTCAAAGACGGGTTTCTTCTAGGTATGTTTCCGGGTTGTGTGCCTATAATTTTGTTTTATTTGTAGCAGTGAAAAAAAATCCGAATTTGCTTTTCCATATTGCTTTTTATTGCCTGTTGTCTTGCTTTCATTTTCTTTGCCTGCATATTGTCAATCATTTCACACGTATAGGATTTATTTCAATTTCAGTCTCATTTGACATCATACATATATACATCATAATAGGCGTGTGAAATACGGAGCCCATTTTTATTTCACAATTAGTGCACATGAGCTATGACACAATGGCAGATTCTAGTCTGGTAATGATGGACGTGAGCACAACCTGCTCTTGTAGTAAAGTTCAAAATTGCATTTGTTGCAACCATTGTTTTACCTATTTACTTTTTTCTGCCTTTTTCTTCACGTCTTTGGCAAAACACAAAAAGGGAAATAAAGTGAATGTTGGGAACCGTGTATTGAATCAACTGAATATATATGTTTATTTGAAATATAGGCTCGGGTCAGCCTCCAAACTGCAGAAGTAATAGTGGAAAAATATATCCTGTTGGGTCTGTGTTTACTGATAGAAACTGCACTGTTAAATGCCAGTGCTTACCAGATGGAGTTAGATGCGAGCCTATGTGTGAAGTTGTTAAGCAAAAGAACTGTTTGCATCAAAACATTGAATGGAAAAAAATGGCTACACCTGATGCACAAGGAAATTCTTGTTTTTGTCCAATTCCAGTTTGCAAGCAAAGTATGTGTTATTGCTATTTGAAAATTCCATATGTTTAGAAAGAAACATGAAATACTTTTTCTAAAGCGTCAGGAAATTTATAAATCTTGTGTAAAATTCTTTGATACAATTGTAAGAACGAATGTAAACGTCAGTGATTAAACGTCAGTTTAAACGAAGTAGCTATATTTATGGATCATACTTCATAGTCATTCGTGGAGTAGGAATTTGCACATTTTTTTAATGATGAGAGATTTTCTGATGCTATATCAGGAAACAAAATAACAACAAAAATGCTCAATGATGGTTTGATTGTTACTTTGAAGATTTGTGCTATGATGGTGGGAAAGCATATAAAGAAGGCGAACAATTCATTTCTTCAACATGTGATGGTTCTTGTAAATGCGGCCCACGAGGGAGAATATCTTGTGTTAGTCTATGTCCACCAAGGATAGCAAGATGCAAAGCGGATGAAGAAGAAGTTGAAATATTACAGAAAGTTGCAAAGAGTACAAATTGTACGTGCCCTTCAATAAAGTGTGTGAAGAGAAAACAAGGTAAAGTGTGCAAGGAGAAATATTGCCTCTCTTAAGCATCTAAGTTTTCAAATTATTCTAATATCGTAAAAAATTTTGATCTGGTTGTTTTCAGAATTCTGTAAAATATCGGGAAAAGTATACAAGAGTGGAGAGTATTTTGTGATGGGAAATTGTAATGGCTACTGTCGATGTAAAGTAAACAATGGTGTTTATGGTTATTCATGTGTTTCCTTATGTCCTCCAACTGATATCGTATGTTCGCAAGGCAAACGTAAAGTACCTAAAAACATACCTGCTTTTACTGGTAGTAATTGTACATGTAGTTCCTGGGAATGTGTATAAGATATATGAAATGATTACAAAACAATCAAATTTGTTCCTAATAATGTTTTCCCAGATGTTATAACTTCCTTGTTTAGTTATGTTAGTAAATTACCAGACATGTAATGCTTTGTTAACTTACACGAGTCATTTATAAATAAATTATGAACGAAACATATATATGTTTATCATATTATTCTATAAGTAAATGCCTTTTTATGAGAAGATAAAGTTTTGCTGTTAGAGCTTCAAGCAAGCAACGATTTCAACATAACATAACTTAGGACATAACTTATAATTTTTTGAAGAGCAATTACATTTCGATCAACCTTTCGAATGGAGGTAGCGTTTTTAACCGAAACCTTAAAAAAAAGGATAATGAAGCAAATTAAATCATTCCGACCATGAACATCCTGACATTGATTAGGAATTTGAACTCACGCACTAAGAGTGGTTTAGCTTTATCTCTTGCTTTTTGGTAATACTCCACCTAAGCATTTTTTTTGAGAAAATGATGATTAATCCATTTTCCGGTCCACGCAAAATTACCGTTCTTAGACAAACAAGGTCCTTTTGCGAAACATGCAAACGTCGTATTTTGCATATAAAAAATAACGGACGAAAGGATTTACTAGTAACACAATACGCAACTATCACTGGTAACTATACATTGAACTAGGCTTTTGTCATCAAAATTATCGACATTTGAAGTAATTTTTTCAAACATAAAAAATTCCTTAACCTATCTTTCTCTTTCGAGTCTTGGGACATCTAGCTGTGAACTGTGATTGACGTGTGTAGTAGTATCATTTGGTGGCCTATTTCTTTGACTGATTTTGATGAGATTCTAGCGTTGTTATTGGTTACATTATTTCGAGCTTTGATTGGCTAAAATATGGAATATGTTATCCATATGAGTGAGATGGTTCCCTGTTTTCTTTCCACATCTTTCCTTGATAGTTGAAAAAGTTTTCTACTTTCATCACTAGCAAAAAAATAGTTACAGACAACAATTTTTTTATCAGCCTTATTAGAGTTCTCCTGTATTTGCTTTGAACAAGTGATGTAAATTCACCACTAAAATCTAAAATAAATATTTGAAACAACTATTTACTATTGAATGCAGCCCTAGCAACTTATTAAGACGACAGTATTCAATGAAATACTATTCTAGAATTCCAGCAAAACTTAAGATTGCTGAAGAAGGTAGACAACATGTCAGCAGATGACTAGATATATATGTGCATGTAAAATCCATACACCTATGAATTATAGTATGCAATCTATATTTACACAGATCTTGGATTAAATAAATAAAATATAACAATTACAAGTCCACTTTCTTTGCAATACTCTCACATCTGAAACATGGAAAACATATATAGCATTACGATAGTAAAGGAAAATTTTCAATGACATTCATTATCAACTACTGCTTAATTAGTGTCTTCCCCAATATTAATAAGATCTGTAGATTTAAGGAAATCAACCATTTTGTTGATATCATCATCAGAAGATAAATTTAAGGTTTCTCTCGGCACTCTACTACTAAGAAAGGGGCTAGGTTGAACGCCATTTGAGCTTGTGACAAATCTGAATAGTGTTTCATAAGGTTCAGCTTGATCTCCAACATTAATCTGTGATAATTCATCCCAAGTGAAGAGCAAAGGATCAGTTAATTCACCAAATGGATTAAAATCTACCAATTTTACAGCATCATTAGAATTTATATAGATGTCAAAGATATAACTATCATCCGGAAACTTCCCCATTATCTTTTCCACAAAGAAATTCTTAATTGCAGAATGAATTGTATTATAGTTGTCGGCAACATAAGGATAATAAGCAGCTGTATCCCTTTGTGATATGGCAATCAATTGGTTTTTCTTAACAAAACAACGAAATTCAGAGCAAGATGAAATGGTTATCCATTTCCTTAAAATCAATGTGTAACCATCTGACTCAATGAAGTTTTCATCTTCACCATCTTCACATTTTCTGAATGGATGATTAATGTCATGGCTAACTCTATCAGAACTTTTTAACAAAATAAAGACATCAGATGAACAAGTACACTTTAATGTGCCATCAAAATTTATCCAAGCAGCATCTCTGGGAGCACTCCAGTTAAGTTTGGGAAAAACTGTACCACCAAGCTCTCTGATGGCATTTTCAATTGATTGAATTAGCTCAGGAAATTCTGGTGCTATTGCTGTAGCAGCTTCACAGTCTTCACCAGATGACCATTCATCAGACTCTGAATCACTTTCATGTTGTATATTTTCGCTTTCACTGCCAGGTAAAACAACGCCATCCTGATTCAGATAGTCAATGAATTCCTTTTGTAGAGGTATAACTATACTTCGAAATGTCGAATTTTTAAACTTTTTATACCAATAAGAAAATTGACAATTCACGACATGTTTCTGTTTCATATTATTTCTTCTTATTAAAGACTGACTTTGGTTTTGCCAAAGTTATTTTACAGCAATAACTCGCGCTTACATTTATAGATCAACATTGTTTATGTAACAATGACGAAGCGGAATCTGATGCAATCGCATTCGCATGTGTATGACGTTAAACTCTTGTATATTTTAGCTTGGCACTAAAATGTGACTTTGACCAACTTTGTTATTGAATATTGACCATTCAAAATATTTGGCAGTGACTTTTAAGATTAAGTCAAGAGCACAATTTAACGCAAGTTTTTATTTCTGAATGCTCAGTGCTGAGTCTGCTGACAAAGAGACAGTCGTTGTGACATAGTAAATAGCATAAATAGTAATGCACAATGATTCATTCTTATGACGTCTGAGTTTTCATATCTAATAGAAATTTTATTAAAAAGCTTTTATGTAAGGAATGTTGGTTATTTTTTTTTCAAGGAATCTCACAGTAGTAATCAATTCATAAATTTTAAAGTTTTCTTGTTTTGGGTACTCTGTGTCATTATTGGCACGTGACATGTCAGCTGACCAAAGAAGCGAAATTAAAAGTAACTGGGTAGCAAGAAAACATGGCGGCCGTTTCGGCCATGAAATGGAAACTTATACCAACTTCTGCAGGCCCGCAACCTCGTCCAAGACATGGTCATCGTGCCGTTGCAATACGAGAGCTTATTGTGGTTTTTGGTGGTGGAAACGAAGGCATTGTTGACGAACTTCATGTATACAATACAGGTGAATATGTTCGAATGTCCAAGTAGATTCCCGCCGATTATAGATATGCATGGCTATGTTATTTTATAAATGACTAAACATCACTGCTTTGCAAAAAGTTGACATAGGCCTCTATTTAGCCTCGAATCAGTGGTTTGTTCCCGCTATTCGTGGTGATATTCCTCCAGGATGTGCTGCATATGGTTTTGTCTGCGATGGAACGAAACTCTTCATTTTTGGTGGAATGATGGAATATGGCAAATATTCGAACGAGGTAAATTTATATAAGGATACTTATTTTTGTAAACTGTGTTATTTCCTAGAATCACTGGACTCAAATTGTTTCATTTTGCTAATGATTGTCAAAACAACATGGCAGTCGTGTGGGGGCCGTAATGTAGTGTCTTGACCTTCGTGTTGTATTTAAAAATCAAGGAAAATGCTTGTTTACTCTGAAAGAAACGTCGTATTTAAAAAAAAAATTCGTTAAATTCTTCTTGTGATAGTGATTATGTGCTTGTGTTTTTTATTTTTATCCAATTAATTTGAACTTTTTTCGTAATTTTTTATCTATTTACAATTTTGAGATTTCATGAGTAAATGTTGCTGATTGTATTTATTATTTTTTCACTATAAATACTTCTGCTCAGCTTAGCTTCTTGTGTAATATCTTTGACGAACATTTAAATTATTTGGTGTTTCTCTGCGTGTTGTATTTTATTTTAGTTTAAAATTTGACTCTTACAATTGCTGCTATTTACATTACCTTTTATTCATTATGTAAATTTATTTAAATTTTTTGCCCACTAAATTTGAATAAATTAATATACATGATTACCATTAAATGTAATCCAATGTGACCCCTTATATCCATCACTGGTCAGCAGTCTTTTGTGGGGAATACTTCATTTAAAAAATTTATTTCTATAATGTAGCAATTATTATTTTCTAATCTACACTTCCATGTTTTTGTCTAAAAAACAAGATGTATTGTATAATGTGCATGGGTTTAAGACGTTTTTACATTATTTCATATTTTTGATTTTGTCTCTTTAGCTTTATGAACTTCAAGCGACTCGTTGGGAATGGAAGAATCTTAAACCCAAACCAGCAAAAGGTGGATTAGTGCCATGTGCAAGATTGGGTCATAGTTTTACTTTAGTTGGTCATAAAGTTTTTTTATTTGGTGGTTTGGCAAATGATAGTGATGATCCCAAGAGTAATATACCAAGGTAACCATCTTGTGTGAAATTATAAGCATTTATTAAACTTATATGTCATCATTAATGTTAACATACTCTCTTCATCCAGGTACTTGAACGATCTTTTTGTTCTTGATCTAAAAAATACCAACAGTCTACAATGGGAAGCTCCTACTCAGATGGGCTGTATTCCTTCTCCAAGAGAATCTCACACTTGTGTTACATTCACAAAATTTGATGGCAGAGATCAGCTTATTGTTTTTGGTGGAATGAGCGGATGTCGTCTTGGAGATTTGTATCAACTAGATATTGGTATGAAGAAAATTAGTTCCTTGCTTAGTACATAACTGGCATTTTAATATAAACTGACCATGTAGTCATGTTATGTTATGATTAATGATCATATACATAAAACACTTTATGGCTGCTTAAAACTTTATCATTTTGTAGTTTTATTGTGTTTTTTTTTTAATTTACTAATTGTGAGAAACAATTCAGTCTTATGTAGCATGATATACACCATTGTTGATAGCTAAGCTACCATGCAAAGTGTTGTGTTGTGTTAATCAAAATTATGAATTTTGACAAAATTACAAATTATCCAATTGAAACTTGTCATGGTCATAATGTTGTGTGGTAATTGATTTTAGAAACCATGGTTTGGACAAAGCCAAAAGTCATGGGTACCATACCTTTGCCAAGAAGTCTTCATTCAGCTACAGTCATTGGAAGAAGGTAGTTCATAACTAGTACATGATGTTATCTTTTTTGTTTGTTCTGACACACATGATATGTATAGAATGTTGGTATTTGGTGGTTGGGTTCCTCTTTCTTCCAATGCTGACGTCAAAGTTACTCCAGGAGAAAAAGAGTGGAAATGTACCAACACTCTAGCTTGTTTGAACTTAGGTATGTAATTATTTTAACCAGTAATTGAAGATGCTATCAAGAAAAGCTGGCTTGCACTTAAAGTTCTAAATATTTATGGTTTGCTTTCATAATTGGTAAATACTAACTGTCTGTAGAGAGGATTGAGCTGGTCAAGCATTTATACATGAAATCAGGCAATTGTTTTTTTTCCAATTTTATAGATAACATGACATGGGAGAATGCTCCTGTTGAAGAAAGTGATGAAACATATCCAAAGCCTAGGGCTGGACATTGTGCTGTTGGGGTATGTCTGTATATCATTATGTACCAAATTTTGGGTCTAGCTTTGAAACTGTTATGTCTGATTGCAATGATTTGTCATGATTTGTCATGACTATTATTTTGCTTTGAATTTAGGAATATCATTTTAAATGAACTTCATTTGAAAGTTGATGTTTGCTTGAGATGGCAAAAACAAGTTATTTTTGTGTTGGGACATAGTTGCTTTTTGTTGAAGCTCAATTTTATATTATAATTGACTGAGAATCCCTTACTGCTTGATATATAAATATTCAGAATTAATTGTTTTTGCATTGACTTGTAAAATTTAGATTGGAAGTCGTTTGTATTTATGGAGTGGAAGAGATGGCTACCGAAAAGCCTGGAACAACCAGGTAAGGTTTTTACGGTGTCATTGAACATCTCTTTTACATGTTATTCACATTGGGTTTGTTTGAAATTTGCTATGTAAGTACGTATGATTTTATGTTCCTTATGTGCTACTTCATATAAGATTGTCATTCACTACTAGCATTATTAACCAAATTAACTGTGGAACTGCTACAAAACCACCATCCTGACTCTTTTTTTATGAATACTAGTTTAACTTTATGTATCATTCCTAGATCTGCTGTAAAGATATGTGGTTTTTAGAAACAGATAAACCTTCCGCTCCAACCAGAGTTCAATTAGTTCGCGCCAGTACTAATACTTTAGAGGTTTGCTGGGGTCGAGTTCCTACAGGTATTTTTAGTGTATATGTGTTAATGTGCGTACGTGATTGATTCGAAACATATTCAGGTGGTCAATATGATCATCAAAACTTATTTGCAACTCTTACGCTTATTAGCACATTAGTTTTTGAATGATCAATTGAAGACTTTGTATTGGAAACATGAGTAAGAACATTTAACATTAAACACGTCTAATTTATTTGTTTGTTTTTTTTTGAGCTGATGCATATGTACTTCAAGTTCAAAAGTACGAAGTACCAAGCACTAGTTCATCGATCAACTCAAGCATGAAGCTTTCGAGTACAAAGCCCACAACAACGCCAGCAAAAATGTCCGTAAGCATGCCTCCAAAGCCACAATCTATTTCAAAATCTCCTATTTCCGCTGGTACACCTCTTGTGCAAAATGACGGTGATGCGAACACCAAGTCTCCGGCTTCTGTTCAAAAACCCACACCACTTCAACAGCAAGTTAAGATTGTGCGAGGTACGGGAAATGTTAATTCCACGCCAGGTGTATCGTTAGTTCGTGTTCAAAATACTCAATCAAAATCTTGCATTAACACAACTCCAGCAAACACCGTTTCAAGAGGTGCTTCAAAACCACAACAGATTGTTATGGTAATGTCACCGAGTACAAATAAAGGAGAGGGGGGAAAAGTTACATTCACAACGACACAGACAGTGACATTAGCACAAGGACAGAAAACCTATACTGCTGCTGAGCTTAATCAAATTATTCAGTTATCACAACAAGGCACTGCTTTGAAAATTGTATCTATGGCGAATCAAAGTTCGGATGCGTCATCATCTGGTGGAATAAAATTGGTCCAAAGGCAGGGTAACGGACAGGTTATTATAAAAATGGTAACTTCAAGTCAGTCTGCCCTCGCAACGACTACAACAACATCCAATAGAACTCAAACTAAAACAGTAGACATAACAAAACGGAAGGTTGAGCAAACTACGAAAACAATTGCTGATAGTTCGATCTCATCGACTGTTTCTGTACCATCCGCTGACACAACTTCTAATATTGCGCCTGCTCCTGCAATCACTTCTACCACTGCTGTGATTGCTACTGGTAATGTTTCATCTACCACAAATACTCCTGCTGGTTCTATCGTTGATGCGGCTGCCGCTAATTCATTGACCACGAGTACCGATGTTACCAAATTGTTGATACAAGCAAGTATATCAACGTCCACAACACCTACTGTAACGACAACAAATACTTTGACTTCCTCGCAAATGACCAAGCTCGATGACGTCGTAGCGAATACAAAAGATTTGCCTTCAACTACGTCAAGTGAACCAGGTCCGTCGCTTGATAAAAAGCAACAATGTGGAAACGTTTCTGAAAATGTGGATGCTAGCAAGATGTCTATCACAATGGCAGTCACGCCAGTAGTATCATCAACAAGTACTAGTGGTTGCCTTTCAAAAACTACGGAAAATTCTGAGAAAAAGTTGAATACTCCAGACTCAACGACACCCATTACAAATGCTGTAAATATGTCATCTGTTGATAATTCATTGACACAAAACACAATCACCTCGACTAACAAACCAAACTTAGTGTCAACAAGTTCAGATTTGCGCAGGATTGCAACGCTTGCAACCAATACTAAAGTTACAACACCAGCAGCAGTTGTTTCACAACCTGTTTCACTTGGTGGTTGTACATCTCAACAGTCTACAACAGGAACTACGTCATCAATTACCAGAGACTTGGCCCCCCCGGCTTCGACGGCAAACAATGCTAACAAGGTGAAATCTACTGTAAAGACGGTGAGTTGACGTCGTCATTTTCGGTACTCAATATGCATATGTTCAACCACAGAAAGTAACTCTAAGTCTCTAACGGTATTTGAACGCGTTGTCTTCTTCACATTACTGTTCTAAGTATACACAAATAAAATTATTCTAGGCCCTGCAAAGTCATACAAACGGTGTCCATGGAAACAAGACCAGTGGCACGCAATGGCACGATGTCGGTGTTGTCAAAGGAACATCGACCACAGTTTCTCATTATTACGTAAGACGTAGTGGTGATATGCAGAGAATAACGGTAAGATTCTGAATGAAATACTAACATGTACTCTTGCTGTATTACCGCGCCATTGAACAATTTTTATGTTTTTTCTATAGAATGAAAATCAAACCCCGTCAGGAGTGAAGTATGAACTTCTTCCTGGTACTGCGTACAAATTTCGTGTTGCTGGTTTAAATTCTTGTGGTCGTGGAGCATTCAGCGATATTTCTGCTTTTAAAACGTGTTTGCCAGGTGTTTATTCCAATTTAGTCTTACTGTGATGTAATTTTGTACACTACCTACAGTAAACAAACAAGAAACCTGTAGTGCTAGATAGACACATACGTAGGTTTTATCCTGTTTTCGTGGAGGTTTTTTCTTAATTTTTGCACATTTTGTGTTTTTAGGATTTCCCGGGGCCCCATCTGCAATTAAGATTAGCAAGGTAAGTTTTCACGTTATTTTTATAATTATTTTATGAGCTTGTAATGAGCTAAACATGTTCAATATCCACAACAGAATTCCGAAGGAGCGCATCTTTCTTGGGAGGCTCCGACCAATGTAGCTGGTAATGTCAACGAGTATTCAGTGTACCTCGCTGTCCATAGTCAATCCAGTGATACTAAAGAGGTCACTGGAATTGGTCCTTCGCCAGTACAACTGGCGTTTGTTCGTGTGTACTGTGGTTCAAAACCTTCGTGTACTGTTAGTGCAGATACCTTGAAGAATGCTCACATCGACTATTCAACCAAACCGGCTATCATATTTCGTATAGCTGCGAAGAACGATAAAGGGTAAGTTGTTGTTTGTTTACCTGCAAAGTAAAATGCAACTCTAATCATGAAGTTTCATGGATTGTCCACTGGATAAACAAGTTATTTCTTTTGTCATTTTACTTTTGCAGTTACGGTCCAGCAACGCAAGTGAGATGGTTACAAGGTTTGAAAAAACATTACTATATTTACTTGCAAACATGTCATTTTCTGTATGGGTAAAGACAGACAAGAGGCATTGAAGTTGAAGTGACTCACCCTAGAAAACGGGTCTGCGGTCCTTTGTTAGGTCATGCTACAATTGATTCGTGTTTACTTTATATAGACGCCAAAGACTTAAAAGGCACTGGACTTAAGAGACATAATACAGAAAGGTAAACATGATTCTTCTGTCGACATGGGTGCGAAATTTCACTTCAAACGAACCTTCTTTCAAAGGCAAAGTTATTCTTTTCTTATGGTAACTTTGTAATATCTGAAGGAAAAAAGAGAGCACTTGTCGTAATGTGTTTTGAATATCCAAGGAATCATAAATCCGACAGATTGCTAACACATTTATCATCGTTTATTTCCATGTAGATCTAGCGAACCATCAAAAAAGATAAAGAAGGAGTAAGCGAATATTTTATAAGAAAGAAAAACATATTTCAAAACAACATAAATGCATGTTTTAAACAAAAACTTTGTACGAGTATTCTGTATGGAAGCTCGCGAGTTTCTTTGTTGAGTAATGTGGTTGTGAAGTAAACCGTCTGCTACGTTGTAAAATAAATGAGATTGCATAAAAGCTATTTAACAATTTTATTGATACTCTATATAATTCGTATGTATGCCTCTATATTTTAGCATCACGAGCCAGGAAATATATTTCATACAGCGTCAAAAACTCAATAATTTACCTTTTCTAATTATATTGGAAATTCATATCATGTCATTAAGTTAGACATTAATGTTCATAATGATTTCGTCCCCCCCCCTGGAAAATCTACCGCTTCTGTCTTTCTCATTGAGAATATTTTATTACTATACTTTTAATATCATGTGAATACAACGATATCCAAACTAAGTGTTAAATGAACAAAAACTTTATGAAAAAAACAATACAATAACGTCACGAATCTCGATTGATATCGATTCGCCTGATGGTCTTTAATGCGAATCCGACGCACTTTTGTATTATTGAATATATTTTTATACAAGTAAGCACCTTAGGTCATGACGAGGAGAATTTTTTTATGAAACGACTAAACTCCAGACACCAACTTCATCGTGAATACTGTAAATCATGTTGAGAAACTTTGTAAAATGTGTCGTTTGAACTTATTGAGTTTTTGATGCTGTCCATCTTTTGTACATACATTAAAGTTAAAAGCTATGACAAGAAACTTTTGGGAAATTAATATGCTGCAATATTTAATGTAAACTTTTTTAAAATAGTTTTGTTTAATTTTCACAGCACCAGCTTATCTGCGGAAGTCAATTTTTTATCAATTTTCATTTCCCTGAATCGCATCAATGCATGGTTCTAGCAAACACACACAATTACATCCAAAATCAATTCTTCGTACTTGAAACGAATAGAAATACAATGAATGAACAGTAAGAAATAATTACATTGTAGTTTCAACAGTAACAACATTAACAGTAGAATTAAGTGTTTGACATGATACAGTCAGTTCAAAATTTAAACATAACTTCCATTTTTGATCTAACATAACGGGTTCTTGTGAGTTCTTGGGCGTTATTGCTGTTTAAAAGGACTTCGAAGATTTAGAAAATTTCTTATGTTTGAACTACGAGTGAACTGATTAGTGATTAGCACATATTTAGAAGAATCTCTGATGTAGTTAAAGACAGCAAACTATTTTGTGAATGATGTATTTTAAATACCTATTTAGTTTTCTGAAATCTTACATAAACAAAAGACTTGCATTACAGTTCATGCAAAAATAATTTATGCTAAGGTTAGCTATTACTCTTTAAAATATATTAATTTGGTACAAAAATGATAAAATCATGCATATGATCAGCAGGATTCTTTGGTGGGAATGCATTTTGGAATCCTGGAAACTTTAATAACGGTACCATCATCTTTATGGTAATACATGGTGTTACTACCGATAGGAAAGGGAGTTAACGAACGCTCAGCGTCTGGCCAATTGTGGAAATGATTAGAATACCATTCAACTAAAAAAGCATTTAAAAATTTTAGTTCACTAAAATTTTGCTGAGGTCAAATCAAACTTAACATTTATGACAACTCTCGAGCATGTGCAACCTTCGACCTTCGATCACGGGCTGCACTGATCTGCTCTCGAGTTCTCCCAAAGGTCTCCTTAGTTTGCATAAGCCTTTCCAAACATAGTAAACATCTTTTATTTCTTAAGAATGTACTTGTTTTTTCTATTCCATCATGCCAACGAACTACTGGTTTCCATCCAAGTGCTTCCACTTTAGAAGAATCCATGGGATAATGACGGTCGTTAAAAGGTCTACACAATAGAAAATTCAGAACGCGTGAAAACTACATATTGTTACTAATTTATTACCAATTTAATTTATTTTTTCCACAGAAAACTTTAATGATGTTTCTAGATTTGTTAACGTGTTAATTACGGTTTCATTGAAAATAATCCTTGAACAAACGACAATTTCATAAGATATAAAATAAAACAATCCGAAAAAGGACATCTTGTAAACTTAAATTAAAGTTATTAAAACAAGATAACTAAAAGTGTAATATTTCGGTTTTATTTCAAAACCATCATCACAAGATGTCCTTTTTCGGACTATGTTTTATGACAGATAACATAACGTCTATTTGTCTACCTATCGTCAACATATTCAATGTGTTGATTAATTTCTTCGTCAGTGATGACTTTTTTGATCTACACAAATTATACATTAATAACATATGTAGAACGTTAGACAGAAAATAAACATTTGGGCAATTCCATGTTTACACGCGCTTGATATTAATTTTCAAAATTGATTATTAGAGGAAACAAAGTATGTACAATCCTTCAAAATTCAAATATTGAATACTAAATAAAAATCGCTCTGTTCTTGAAATGTTAACATTGGTGGTTGACAAAGATGCTACGTAATGTCTGTTACTACAAGTAATTGGACATAGCCGTTTATACCCTTCTAACGAGGTCCTTTGCTAAATCTAAGACAGAGATTTCAAAGTTGGACCCAATGTTATAGGTTTCGCCTGAAAAAATCAAAAAGTGTGATAATTGAAACAATGCATTTCTATGAAATTAACTAGGAAAAACATCTATTGCATCTGACCTGCAAAACCATTATGTAAAATAGAAATAAACGCTTCAGCAGCATCAGTTACGTAAAGAAAACTTCTACAAAATTGACAGCATTATACATACACCTGACGTCATCAGTCACGGAAAAAATGTTTTTCTTAGAAACTGTGCGCATGCAGCTTTCATTTAAGAAACAAAACTGTATTCTAAAAATAGATATATTGTAATGCTAGACGTCTAGCATACCTTGATTGCTCTCCTTTACCATGAACACAGCTATAATATGAAAAAGAAATTTAAATTTCAGTTTAATATTGACGCTGAGTACGGAAAATACAAAAATATACTTATAAACTTCAAATTGCCACATTACATGACCATAGTGGAGCTGACAAAACGGAGCAGTTTCCCCTCAAATGTTTCCCATTTAAAGGCTGTTTTATATTCAGCATGAAAATGTCAATTACATCAAAAAGTGCATAAAAGATATCAGTGACATTCTGTGGGTGGGTGTTTTGCCCCCCAAGCACAACTAAACTTGATACAATATGAAAAAATCACCATTTTCGATTTCTTTGCAACAAGGAAATAAATTTTGGGACAACCTAAATATAAAATATGCAAATGCATTGACATTCTTTGCAAAATCAAAACTTGAAAAATCAGCTGGAAAATTAGTGAATAATAACAAACAAACCTTTTCAGGATGTGCATGTGGGCCATAAACATTATTACTCCGAGTAACAATGACAGGAAACTATGTAAATCAAATGCTTCAACATTTATCTACATCATGCACAATCCACTCTCAAATTGTCTGTATTTTCTATATTTTTTCTAATTCTATAATGTCTATATGTAAGACTTCAATCTCAAGAAAGCATCCTTGTTATTGAGTAACCAATGTTTCCTTATTTGAAAAGATGCATGTATGTTTTGGCAGGTGAAGTTTGCTGATTACTCTGTACATATATGAAAATAAAATGTATAAAAACTAAGGACCTGCAAAGAACATACTTCATCAACTTGGAAAAGTGCATCTATAACTTCATGTAAGTAAAAGTGATAGTATTAGGTTGCTGCATTGAACTAAAATACAAGGAACGCTACCTCAAGCCAATAATTGAAGCCAAATTTTACACCAAGAAACGCAAGATTACATCCAGACACACATGTGTAGTGTTTCGATATTTTGAAAATTGATTGACTACACACGCGTGTCTGGGTGTAAAATTTGGCTTCAAGAATTTATTAGACTTTTCTATTACAGGTAGCATTCCAGATATATTTTAGTTCAATGGGTTGCTGTTACTTAAATCAAACAAACATCAGCAAATCAGCAAAACTTATCTAGATTTTGTCTATTAGCTTTTACGTTTATATAATTCTAAAACATCTCTTTGTGTTAAAAGTTGAGTCATTTGGTTTTTCACAATGTATAGAGAGCATTTCAAACCTTAAAACTTTCCCAGTATGACATAACTATACACTCAGCAGCTGCTTTGGATGCTGAGTAAGGATTACACGGACGAAATGGTGAAGATTCATCCAGTATCTAATACGTAAAACATTGATGAAACATTTCAAATAAGCAAATAATATACACAAAACAATAATTAAAAAATCAGAGGACTTACAGCATCAGATTTTCCACCATAAACTTCATCAGTACTAACATGAATAAAGCACTGAACATTTGCCTCAAATGCTGCATTTATTAACACATGAGTACCATAAACATTTGTTTTAGTGAACTCAAGGGAACTCCAAAATGACTTATCTACATGAGAATTTCAACTTCATTAATCAAAAAATAAAATAAAAATGGAACTTTGGCAATCAATTTACAGCAAACTTTTTGATCATTTCCAGTTTCAGCAAAATTATATCAGAAATCAGAAATACGTGGCAATGAATTAATTGCTTATTTAAACAATCATGTTATTATTTATTATGGCTGTTTTCCAAATTCTTTGCTGGGCAATAATATTCATTCAAAAGATTATGAATAGCACTTGGTTAATTGATCGCAAATTGCTAATGTATTTTACCTATCATTAATGCCAGTATTAAAACACCATAATGCCAATATACATTACCTACATGAGATTGTGCAGCAAAGTGCATTACTACATCAATTTTTTCAGATTGAAATAAATACTTCATGTATGTTGCTTCACAAATATCTCCCTGCAAAAACATAAGCAATTCTTACTTTCACAAGTAGGCAGGAATAGTAGAAAAATTGCCAGGCAATAGTACCTCAATAAATTTGTAATTAGATTTTCCTTCAATTCTTCTTAGGTTTTCCAATGAAGCACAATGATCAAGCTGAATAAATCAAATTTGTGGGAACTTGAGAGCAATAAAAAAGAAACCACTATTTATTTTTTAAAAATGAGCAAGTTAGGATTTTCCATTTACCTTATCTAAGTTCAATATAAAATAATCGGGATATCTTTCAACCAACATTATGACTACATGAGATGCACTAAGGATAAATGGAATTCTTAAAATGAGTAAATTCGTCTTATTTTTCCCCATTATAAATCGTAGGAAATTTCACATAAATATCTCAAATTCAAACAGTTATATTTGAGGTAATAGAAGTATTTCAACTTGAAATCTGGAACGATATAACGCCCGGCTTATCGTATTTTACTCTGAGAGTTAACCAGGAAAGATTAATATTTCCCATGAAAGAATCAATAAAGAGTAAAACAAAAAAATCAGAAGTTTGTCTTACATAAAACCTGCTCCTCCTGTCACAAGAATTCTTTTTGTATATTTGATTGTGCAATTACAATGACATGATTCCATTGTCATAACGTTGATATGTTCTGTGTATCAAGGTAATTTAGAACAAAAAGCAGTAACCTTTCGTACATAACTAACATCGAAAATGGCAATATAGAGAGAAAACAATAAAGGCATGCAATATTTCATTGTTCATGTTCTTTTATCGCTTTTATAGGACTGTATTCACTGACGGTCCATTCAATGGGTCATTATATCAATTATATGGAGTTGTTGACTTAGACTGATTTACATACTTCAACATCATTACTGTCAACGTGTCCACTTCTGCCTGAGGATTAATTCTGAATAATGTCTCGCTTTTTCGGAATTTGCTTATAATATATTTCTTTAAATTGTCGGCTGGTCATGGTTTTTGTGTCCACTTGATCAACATCAAAATAGCTTTTCATAATTTCGTAGCAGCACGATTGAAGTAAGACGTTTATCGTAAACGACAACTTTTTTGAAATGGATTGAAAAATTAAAAAAAGTTGTCGTTTACATTAAATGCCTTATTAAAACACTTTTCCCATAATATGGTGTATAAGCTACATCCCCTTCCTTCTGGCTGAATAATTCGTGACACTTTGCACAAGTTGAACGATGTAAACAAGCTATTTTTAGAGTCATAGGCGGAAGCAAAATAATTGAGGTAGTTAATATCGCGGTTAATGGTGAAGTCTTTTGTTAGCTTACAACACAGTATATATACCGTGTTCATTTGATTAATGTTTATTATGAGTGAAAATAACATGAAAAGTCATGGACCGTAGGAAACTAAAGGAAGGATTCTTGGTTAAAAAGGTGAACTATCACCAGCACAATCACTGTTGCGTTTGTTAATAAATGCTTATAGAAATACTTTGCAATGGATTGAACTTTATTGTCCTCAATAAAATTGTTGCGATTCAATTTTTGTGGAAATAATGTAGTTTTGAAAAACTAAATATTTTATGTGTAGTTAACAATCCTAACAATACCATGAAGTCCAAATTTTTATGTACACGTCTTTACAACAAAACATTAAATTGTAACATTTCCGCCTTGATGGCTATGTATTATCAAGATTTATAAGATGATGTTTGACCAGACAAAGATAAGGTCTACAGAATGTTCTTCATGCTTTTTTTGGTTTTTTCTTCCATAGGGATATGTAAGACGCAACTGGAAAGTAAGATGGTTCATTTTATTTGAAGATGCTTTGTGTTATTACAAAAAGAAAGAGGTTAGATGAATGTAAATTAGGAAATGATAATAACATTAAATTTATGTATATAAAATAATAACATTCTCCTATTTTTTTCAGGATAAGTTATCAGCTGGTGAGGTTCAACTTCGTGGCTCATCTTTAGTATCCCCGTGTCCAGATTACACCAAGAAACTGGTTTGTTTACAGTTCATGGATAGCATATTTTCTTGTCACACTACATATGTAGTTTGATAATATATATTTTATTTTCAATTAAGTTTGTATTTCAACTGATCAGTAGTAATGGCCGTGAGTATTTATTGCAAGCTGAAAATGATGGAGAATTAAAGCAATGGTCTGCTAGTATTGCTTCTGCTATACGTGACATTGAATCAAAAGAAAGGGTACATACAATTCATACAACTATATCACTGCTTATTTTAAATATTGTCTTGCCTTTAAAATATACTTGTTAAACAGTATATTTTAATTTGCTTGTATTTATCTTTGTTGTATGATATACACTTCAATGATGGTTTGAACCTTAGCAGTCATCTTCAGTATTCAACTTTATTTTTGACTCTGAAGGTGACTACTGCTAAGGTTGTCGAAATGTCAGTCAACAACAACAAAAACAGTCCTTCTCAGGACTATACCAACCTGGACAATCTACATCTACAAACATGTAACACTTCTCTTATACTGAGATACGTAGTACGTTTAAAATGGCTTTCTTTTAATTTTCAAATCAATCACAATTTTGATTAAGTTTATACATTACCATGTTTGTAAATGAAAAATGATCTAACCCAACAACCATAAAGCTCAAAGATTTGATTATTTTTTGAATGAACAATGTAACTTTGCTAGCCTACAGTAAGGCCAATGTTATAATGGTATGTATGCGACTTTGAAGTATTTTTAACAAGTTTTTTTTTCTGTATTCCAGAAAGAGGAAAAAACTCAAAGCATTGAAAGGATTGACACAATCGAACCCAAAGTTTCTGTAAATTTACCTAGTTTAGCGTAAGTCAGTTAAGAGAAACTTGTTGTGTGTTTGCAAATCTGTTTTTAAGTTCAGTTTTATCACATGAATATTTAAGAGAACTTGTTGATGCCATGCAAGACAAAGATGCAGGAATCTCTTTGTATACTCACAAAGTCCAAGACAACAAAGTTTACAGACATTGCTTTACAGGTACACTTGGAATTAAATGAATTTAAGCTAAGCGACTTTATTTTATTTACATTCAATTGATAAGATTTTTGGTGCGACTTTTTATTTTGTGAAGTATAACACCATTGATGTAAAAACTTAACATCTTCTCAAGTCTCTGAGCTGTTTTTTAACTGGATTTGTTGACTCTAGTGTGCATTCAAAGGGTAGTAATATGTGCTCATTTTGAGCAATACAAAGTGTTCAAAAATGTGTTGGTTTTCAAATATTTATAACTATAAAACATAAATCCATAATTTCAGGTTCACAAGTTGTAGACTGGTTACTTTCTTGGAGTTTTGTTGCCTGTCGGTCAGAAGGAACTCGAGTTGGTGACAGTCTGTTGGAACATGGCCACCTTCAACCTGTTGGGTTGAAAAGTCGAAACTCCTTGACCAGAGGCATTTTGGCTGAGACTGCTGAGATTAATGTGTTTTGCGATGCTGACAATGCGCTCTACAGATTTGTAAGTTGTGGATTTTTTTATGGGAGTAAAGCTTGTGTGCTTGATTTGAAAAGATGAACACTGCTTCTTGAGAAACATTACATTTTGTTTTGCATAAAATGGAATTTCATAAATTCAAAATGGATTGCTAACTTTAGATGTGCAAAATTATTTGACACTTGATATGTAACTGAACTCTTTGAACTGTTGATATGTAACTGAGCATAAAGCATTTATTGCTGCTGTTTAAACGTTAATTATATTTTAGTCGGCATTATGTCTGACAAATGCTGAAGCTTTTGAAGCTGATTCAGATGATTCAACTGATAGTGATGACTCAGATAAAGAACAAGAGGTAATTTATTATATGTATTCATGCTGTTGACATGTTTGACCGGCATTTTAGGGTTAGATTTATAGTTAACGTAAACACTTATAGTTTTGTATAAGTGCTTACTGAACTATAGTTTCTAGTGTAGTTATTTGTATGATGTGTAATATGATTAGAGAGAAATATTTCTAGGACTAGTATGATATGTATAGTACATAGTATGTAATGTGAACAGTGGTATGATTTTAGATGAAGATATGATCTTCGCACTTTGCTGGACAATTTAAGCAATTGTCTCATGAACCTGAAAAATTCAGGTGATTCAACGGGATTTGAACCCATGACCGCACTGCATATAACAATCTTTCATAGTGGTATGATTTGTTGTGCAGATAGTAATGCCATGTTGAGTAGTGTGGACACTAATATGACCAGGAGTATGGTCTGTTGTATGGTGCATCATAAGTACAGTTTGTGGACACTAATATGACCAGGAGTATGGTCTGTTGTATGGTGCTTCATAAGTACAGTTTGTGGACACTAATATGACCAGGAGTATGGTCTGTTGTATGGTGCTTCATAAGTACAGTGTGTGGACACTAATATGACCAGGAGTATGGTCTGTTGTATGGTGCTTCATAAGTACAGTTTGTGGACACTAATATGACCAGGAGTATGGTCTATTTACATAGCCATAGTATAATGTCGGGCTGGCTGAGCCACTGGTTAGTAGTATGGTCTACAGTGTGGTCATGGGTGTAAGATATATTCATGACATACAGAGTTAAGTTCCTTTGAAATCCATTGTTTTCAAAGTATTATGACATGAATATATGAATTTGAGCCCCCCACCAAAATATCAATCTTCCTACGTCCTTGAGTGTGGTATTATAGTGTGGTTAGTTTAAAAGGTTAGTAGTATGGTAAGTTTATGGCTATTTGTGTATGGTCTGCAGTAAGTATGGTTTGCCCCAGTATTATCAACTTCCTACGTTTGAGTGTGGTTATAGTGTGGTTAGTTTGGTAATTATGGTGTATGGTCTGCAGTAAGTATGGTTTGCAGTGTAGTATTATACGTAGTGTGGTTTGTTGAGTAAGGTTAGTAGTATGGTCAGTTGTTTGGTTATTTGTGTATGGTCAGCAGTAAGTATGGTCAGCGGTGTAGTATTATACGTAGTGTGGTTAGTTGAAAGGTTAGTAGTATGGTCAGTTCTTTGGTTATTTGTGTATGGTCTGCGGTGTAGTATTATACGTAGTGTGGTTAGTTGAGTAAGGTTAGTAGTATGGTTCGTTGTTTGGTTATTTGTGTATGGTCTGCAGTAAGTATGGTCTGCGCTGTAGTATTATACGTAGTGTGGTTTATTGAGTAAGGTTAGTAGTATGGTCAGTTGTTTGGTTATTTGTGTATGGTCTGCAGTAAGTATGGTCTGCGGTGTAGTATTATACGTAGTGTGGTTTGTTGAGTGAGGTTATTGCCTTCTTGTGGTGGAGGTCAGTTTATGAAATATGACTTCCGTTGAAAAGCGTTATGTAAAAATTTAAATCTTCTTTTATTTCTTTTTAGAGCAAAATAATTGACGGTATTGTTGTAAAGCAAGGGTTTTTAGTGAAAAAGGTTAAATAACGTAATAATATATAGTTAACTTTAAAGGTTCAATGGAGATTTAGAACTTTCTTCATTTTAGGGACATGTCCGTCACAACTGGAAAACAAGAAAATTTTTCCTGTGCAAGCAGCCATCTCAACTTTATTACTGTAAACCTTCTAAGGTATTTACAACACCTAACAAATTAGATGAACAAACCCATTCTTTAATCTTTCTTTTCTTGTTGTTGTAAAGATAAGACTGTCGGATTGTTTTAGCTACTTCAGTTATGCAAATATTTTCATCTTTGCTTTGCTTGTTGGGATAAAGCCAGCCCGATTTTTTTGTTTTTTACTCCTCTTGTGCCAATATTATTTATTTGAAAAACATTTGATAATTTTTATTTTAGCCCAACAGTCCCATAAGGTGCATTAAATTAAATGGTGCAACTATTGAAAAAAATTCTGGAGATTCGATGAACGGTGTGTAATATTCGTCAAAGTCGTTTGTTAGTACCTAGGGAGTAGGAAGCATGTTGCAAGTTGCAATGGATTCTTGAGCGATGCACCAAACAGTTGTGGAATGCATTCATTTTTCTTTAGGCGAGAAAAAAGGAAAACAATTCTATGGTTATCGATTCAAGATTCTAGCTTCAAATAAATCGCAATATATCTTACAAGCGGGAAGTAAGGACGAGTTAGAGGAATGGATTTCAAAATTAAAGTTTGTATGTTCATAATAATGTAGAACATTTTTATTGATATATGACTAAGGGTTACCTTAACTGTCCCACAATATTGTCTATGACATGCATTAATTGCCGTTATGCAGGCCGTCTTATATAATGTGTAAAAGCACTGCAAAGTTGAATAAATATGAAGAACGTATGTAAGTATCTTAAGTATGTTGTGGACGAATTGTTAGAAACGTATGATTTGTAAATTTGTATATTTGCTAATATGAATGTATATCAAACGGAATTTTTATGACAATAATATATGCACTTTTAGCAAAGACTGCTAAATCCCTCTCACGTTCTTCTACTTTGTTGCTTCCTCATTACTTTGATCTTATTTTTTTGGTCACAGTTTCATGGTAGGTTTCATCTCTATCCAGAGGTAGCGTCATGAATCTGTTATTTGTTGACCATTAGACCATACAGTGACGTAATGCGGAGTACCAACGACATTGTTTTACTTAATATATGGGTGGTTGCTTATAAGGAGGTGGTGGTTGTTTAGATCTTTCATCAAGGTAGCTTGGTGGTATTTCTTTATAGGAAAGACTATATATTATTGGTGATGGTCCATCCATGTTATCATCCTCATTTAAGTCTTCCATCACTAAGGAATTTCTGCCTGCTATACGATTGAATGATGGCGAGTCATCTGGTAGCTGAATTGGTTTGCCTGATAATGTTGACATTTCTTGTTCGCCATCAAGAATAATAGGTTTACGTCTTCTAAATGTTTTTTCATCTTCTTTTAATAATTTCATTCCGGAACGTCGTCTTAAGAATACAATTACTAAAAATATTGTTATTAAGATGATAGTTACCGCAATAGCTGGAAAAACAAATGTCATCCATTGTGAATTATTCTGTGCATAAACGTCCGCGATTATTGGCTTTTTCGTTGAATGAAGTGTACAAAGATTTGTTAGGTTTACAAAAGCATTTTCTATTGTGAATTTTGGTTTTAGATTTTCTTTAAAATCTGGTTGAACCTCGCCATCTTGCATGATAATTTTCCTAGTCACATTCAAAATAGAAGCTTCGTCACAGTTCACCAAGCTAATATTACTCCAACCAAAAATCACTGATCCTTTAACTACGTATTGAACTTGAATCATTGATTCGTCATGATCACCATAGTAACCAGCTATACTCTGCACCAAGGCCAACTTATTGTGTATATCTTTGTTAAAGTTTTCAAAGGATACGTCAGTCAGTTGCAAGGAAAAAATTGCCGGCACAGGATTTGTTGCTTCGTGTAGTCTTACAGTAAATGCATCGTTGACAGTATTGCCGTCTTTATCTGTTGCTGTTAAAAAAAACTCCTTTGCTATTGTCCGAAGTTCGCCATATAAAACCAGTCCATAAAATTGTTGACTAGTTGAATTGAATTGTAACCACGAGTCACTAGACAGTCTATCTGAAGTTATTGATAAACATCCAAGTTTCAAATGACGGGTATTGCCATCTTCTTCATCATGAAATGTGTCTAACGGTACTTGAATATGAAATATTCTACCCACAGTTACCTGAAGCAAGTCAAAATTATTGTATATGACTGGAAATCCTTTTCTTGATGATGTATTTGTGTTAATAATGGCTGTTGTGCTTAAATAACTGTTGGTTGAGAATCGGTCGATTTCTGTTGACGACATCATAACTAGATAAAAAAAACGAAGTTTGTGGTACTTTGATTAAACTTTTATAAGTTTTTGTGGATATTTTATTGGTTTATATCTGTTGTTTTCATAAATTATAGAGTTGAGCAATAATATTTAATATACGTAAGAAAATTCAAAAGTCAAGATATGGAACTAAGTTTTATTGAAAGAAATCTTCGAAATTAGTTTCCTCCGTAAAAACATCGTTCTGTTTGAGAAAATTGCTACAACTTTGGGGATGACTCCAAATTCAACATTTATGTTTCCAGAGAAACGTTTTCGTAACCTTTTGTGGTATAGGAAAGGCATAATTTATTACCTTTTTCTGTTTCTTTTTCAATGGACAATGATCTTAGTGAAGGAGTCTTCGTATTTGATGCAGTCGCAACACTTGTTGCTTTCACCATTACTGTGACATCAGAAGGTAAAAGCTGATAGGAAGCTGTTGACGAGGAAACAAGAGATAAACTTTGTGCTCTGCGTGAACTGAGCAAAGAAGAAAATAATGAAGATGAAATTGGATGAGATGTTTGGCTTGATAATTGCTTTGAATTCAAAAAACTCTTTGCATAGAAGGAGGTGCCCTGTGAATTGCCTTGTGAGAAAGGTAGCGTGGTTGTGAATGATCGTTGAGCAGCAAAATATAATGAAGAAAATAGTGTGGAGCTGCGTTTTTTATTTGAGTAAGTTGGATTAAAACATGTTCTGCAATATAAGTCGGTAATGGAAAAAAAAAGTTAGATGACGAAAAGTTTGATTTTATGGAAACAGCATCAAATGATGATGATTGAAGGTATGACGTTAGCGGTAAAGTGTGTACACTAGGGAACAATATTGAGGTTACAGACAATGACACTGATGATGATGATGATGGATGATGATGATGATGATGGTTATGACGATGTATGTACACTGAGAACAATATTGAGTTGTGACAGCGACGAATGACACCAATATTGAGATGAGATAATGATGAAAATGATGATATGATTGATGATGGTTGAAGGTATGGAGACAGCGGTGATGTATGTACACTGGGGAACAATATTGATGTTTGAGACAATGACACCGATGATGATGACGATGATAATTGAAGATATAACGATAGATCTAAAGGAGATGAAGTACGCACACGAGAGAATGACGGCGAGGTGTGACACAATGACGGTGTAAGGATGCAGGATGATGATTCATGATATGAAAAAATATCAGTATTAGATGACTTCGAATTAAATACATAAGATGATTTATTGAAGAAAATTGACGAAGGAGGAATGAAAGTTGAATATGATGACAGTGAATTTTGACGTGAAGAAGTTTCAGCTGAAATTGTACGTTTTGTTGAAAACATGTCAAGTGAGGGGGAAATAATGGACGTTACTGATGAATATAAAATAAACGAAATGATTTTGATGAAATTGTGAGATGGTATAGTTTACTGTGTGATAAATTTGTTGATAGAAGAGAAGAATAGTTATGTATAGATGACGAATCTGATGAAAATAAATCGTTGGTTGACAAAAGTGAATAAAATTGTCTAGAAATTGACAGAGAAACTCGAGGGAAATTGATAGATATATCGTTTGATGATGAAATATCTTTGGAATTATGAGAATATATAAATGGGGAAAAATACATGGCAGTGGTAACCGTTTGAGATGAAACAACAGCGAAGTGTACTTGAGCTTCAGAAGACATTTCTACGTGAGAAGGTAAGGAAAACAGTTTGCCTGTGGAAATGCTTTTGGTGATAGAATTTGGAAAGGATGAAGTAGATCCAACTAAAAAGAAAACAAATGTCGTTATTATGTTTTGAAAATGGTTTTAGTGTAAATAGAGATCACAGACGAAGTAGATTTGAATGATTTGTGTATGTATAAGATGTTCAGAGATAAAACATACCTGTGTATGATGACATCAAGAAAGATTTTGATGTGAAGTCATCGTGAGACAATGTGCTATAATTTGCCGATTGATACGTTTTGGTAAATTCAAGATCTGGTGAAATTCGATTTGCTGAACGTGTACTGACATCAGTTACAAGATTTGTGTTAATTTGATTTGATTTTGTTTTATTTGATGTCAGCATGAGCGATTCCGACCACAGAAGAGAACTGTCCTTACTTGCACGACTGTATGATATGGAAAACGGAGCTGTAAAATATGCAATGTTGGAGAACTTGTTTTCGATGGAAATATTTCCATAGTTTTTGTTTTTGGATTTTCATACTTTGAGAGAGTTTCAATATTTCTGCTTCCGGTGATATTAAATGGAGATGCGATCGTTATGAATAAACTTTGCGTTGTTTGCACTGAAGATTCTGCTCGTTGAAGAAAAGTCGATGCTTTCACACTGATAACTGGAACTTGAGCAGAAGCTGATTCACCATGAGTTTCTATTAACGTAATGCTAGTTGTGTTTAAAGAGGATGTAGGAGGGTGGAAAGTACTTTTTCTTGCTTCAAATTGGCTTGAAGTGCTTTTTGTCGTAGGCAAAATTACCAAAGTAGATGACATAAATATAGCTTCTGATTTATCCGAAGTCTGATTAGCTTGAATTACTGTGATTGGTTTTGAAGTTGCTTTTACCAGTTTGCCTGAAGTACTTAAATGGCTTTTTGCAGGAACTGTGGATGATGTCATAAGTGAGTCTACTGGAGATTTATCTTTCGTTGACGACGATAGTGTATGTAATCTTTTCACTGCTGTTGGAGACATTTTCTGATTTGACAAAATTTCAGAAGATACATCAAATGGTGACAATTGCTGAGATACATAATTAACAGAGCTTTTCAATTTTGACAAAGTTATCTTTTCGATTGGTGAGGTTTGCGACAGATGCTGAGAAGATTGTAATGACATACTTTTTGTTTTATCTGGTCTCAGTGTTGTTTTCAACAATAACGTAGTTTGTGAAGCTATTGTCCTAAATGACTTTCTAAATGACTCAGTTTTGGACTCACTTAAAGTCAATGCTTTAAATTGTGAAAATGAAGCAATTTGACTCGATTCCTTCAAAGAAACTAATGTCAATAGAGGCGAAGTTGCTGAAGACGAACTCGCGCCTATCGAAAGAATTGGCATTGTTCTCTCATATCTGTGTTGTGTTGCTTCACTTGAAGATGACAAGGTAACATTCCTGAGATCAAAACGAGATAGATTTCTTGAAAAACTTTTGATACTAGAAACACTTGAAGGTAAAATCTTTGTTGCCAAAAAACTTGTACGTGAACGTTCCCTCGTTTGCTTTACAATATCGCTGGCAGACGTTGATAAAACTGTCAAAACTTCCATTGGTGACTTAATTGACTTAGAAGAAGAGAAAAATGATTGAGAGGGACTGACTGTTGAATAATCTATTGAATGTGAATCCATCTTGAACGACATTGATCCAATTATAGATAAATTCTTACTTGTCTTACTTGAGGGCATACTAAATGCTGGACTATCCGTTACTGATCTTCTAATTGAAATGTGTGTATGTGAAGAAAATATTGGATAAATTGAGGAAAATGATGGAAAAGGACGAGACCAAGTCATAGATAGTGTTCTGTTTATTATTCTCGATAATGATCGTCTTATTGTCGTTGTTAAAACATGTGACTTTGTTTCTGGCATTGACGAATATGCTGGTGTAGGAGTTCCTATAACATTCCTTCGACGTCTTAGTAACATTTTTTGAAACCCAGCAAGAACATGCCAACCGACAGCGGCATATCTTACATTGTTTATAATAACTGGTTTATCTGCAAGTGCTTGCAAGGTTTGAAAAAGAGAATCCCTTTGTGATATCACACCGCACTTAACATGCCACGTAATCGTCGCCATTACACCAGAAGCAGGTCTGTGGGCCCCGGGTCCCGAAGCAATAACCTGAGATGTTCGCAGTAATGATGACAGATCATGAGAACCGGAAAACAGAAATATATCATATTTTGAAAGACTGTAACTTTCAAGAAGCTTTCCAAGAATATCAATGTTAACTCTTTCTTTTACATCTTGAAGAATACCTGTCACAACCAATGAGGCAAAAATCATTGGCCCGCCATATTGACACAAACGGTCGACTCGTTGTTCACTCGATTTCGATAATTTTTCATTGAGAACTTCAGCAATTGGAAGGTGGGATGCAAAAAGAGAGAAGTGTTTTAATTTCCACACTCGAATTTTCACACTAAATAATCCACAAAAATTGCTCAAAGGCTCATCTTGTTGTCGACGAAGAACAATAATCAAAATTGTTTGAGTTTGTTTCTCATTCAGTGGGATGCCTTTGAGTGTTCCTGTTTTCTTATGAAGTGAAAGCCATTTTGGAATAGATCGATCATTTCCACTTGTAACCTGAAGAGAACGTTATAATCTTTAGAAGCATGTTGCATAAACAAAATAAAAACATGGTAGTGGTCCCACTAACGGTGCATAAACCTTTTGCATCAATAAATGACGTACGTACATACCATGTAATCAGAAACGTTGCAGAGAGTTGTTTCAACTGCTATTCTATGTTCACAGTATCTTGAAACAAAACAGTCCATTTCTTCGTCTTTTTTTCCACTCAATTGAAGCAATCCATCTGTTGTAATAGATGAATGTTGGTGACTGTGTTTCGATGTCGTAACAGATACCAATTGCGAATTGATAGCTGTAGAAATAACACCGACAATAGCAAGTAAAAAATGAAACATAGTTGGTCACTTTGCGTCAATATTGATCAAATATTCTTCATTTAATTTAAAACAACGAGTCACATAATGCTGGCTTCTTCAATCATTACATCTGAAATGAGGTAAAGAAAAAATATTCCCTAAGTATAGTTATTACATCGTTGAGTATGGATAAGAGAGAAGATAAATATTCTGTGATATATATTTCTTAACAATGAATTTAGACATGCTAATATACTAACTGTCGAAACCTTGTTACTGCTTTACGATTCCTTCTTACAATTCTTCACTTCGTAAGACATTGTAACACTTTAAAAGTTGGCTACTTTTACGTTTAATAAATTTATACGTCAATTTGTTGTTCACAGACTGTCTTACATTGCTCGACTTCAGTAATTATACAGTGTAAACCAAAACTGTTGGTGAAAATCACCATGACGACACGGCGCTGATAATGACGAATAAATAATTGTAGACAGCTTACTAGGTACTTACATTAAGATATTAATGTTGGTTCTTGCTCACTAGTATTGTATTTTAAACTATTTTGACTGTTTGTTAGAATTAGATTTGTTCCTGTTAAACCATTTGTTCCTGAAATGCTTTTGATTGGGGATGAAAACCGAAGAGTTTGAGGGCGAGAAAGTTCTCATGCTTCACAATGGCATTAAGTCAATAACCCAAAGATTATTTTGGCACTTTTCCGAGAAGTGTGGTGTAAGTGTATCAGAAAGTAAACCTTCGGCCTCTAGTCAACATAATAATGATTATAATTATGTTGGACTCGTCTATGAATACAATTTGTTACATAAAAGCAAACGTTCTTTTTATATAGTTAAACAGTTTCTTTAAATATTAAGAAAACAGCAAAATATGTAAATCCATCACATTTGTTCCTGTCAAACCCGTTTTAACTAAATATTTCCCCCCTTTAAACCCGTTGTAAAATGTGAACGTATCATTATAGTTAAGATGTGTTAACGGATCGAGGCCGTCCTCCGTTGCATTCGCGATCAAGTTTTGGAAAGCATAAGCACCAGCAGCAGGAGTGGGCCCATCTTGACCATCAGTGCCTGCGCTCAGAAGAAGTGCATTTCTCTTAAATTTTGGTAACTTGTCCATTTCAATAGCGGCAGCTAATGCAAGCTCTTGATTTCGACCTCCACGTCCGTTTCCCTGAACAAAAACTGTTGTTTCACCAGAACTTATGATACATAAAGATTTTTTACTTTGTTTTTCATCATCACCACATGAACTATTCATATGTGCTAGCTTGGCGTATAGTTTTCCAACCTCTCTTGCCTCTCCGCGTACAGTTGTATTGTAAACTTCAACTTTGTACCCAAGCTCTTGAGCGGCTAAAGAAGCGCCTTCAATAGCATTTACATTATTTCCGACAATAACGTTGTAAACATGATTAAAATCAACACTGCTCGTCTCAACCTGCTCCTCACAGTTTAAATAATTCATTATGTTTGCTGGTATATCATTGGAAGCATCGAGATTGTTGACTATGTCCACACAATCAGTTTTTGTAGTTAGGTCTGGAGCAGTAGGTCCACATGCAATAACATCAATAGGATCATCAATAACATCAGATAAAATTAACGCTATTACCTACAAATTATATGAAACTATCATTAAAACTAAACAATCGAACAACAAAACTGTATCGTTTCTAATGTTACAAAAAACAATCATTGAAATGAGAAAATAGTGCGTGAAGGAATGGGGATTACTGTAGCCGTAAAAGATTTCTTGGCCAATATAACAACTTTTAAATAAATTTTAGAACAAAAAATCAACTATTTTTAATCATCAATCATTTTCATAAACAACTCACGGATGCAGGATATGCTGCTTGAGCCAATTTTCCTCCTTTGATCAACGAAAGATGTTTTCTGACGATATTTAGTTGCTCTATTGCAGCTCCTTTATTTGATAAAACTTTTGTAGCTTTTACTTTTTCTTCCAAAGTTATTTGTGGAACTGGTAAAGAAAGAAGAGCTGATCCTCCTCCTGTTATAAGAACCAGTAAAATATCGTGACAATCAAGAGTTTTGGCCATCTCCATGATCTTTCTGGCGGCAATATGAGAATTTTCATCTGGTAAATTGTTTTTGCTCCCTTAAAAATCTCATACTTCCTGGATCCTAAGTTTCCAGTAACATTTCTTTGACAAAAAGTTGAACTGGCATCATCCTATTGTGCAATTGTGTGAAACGACTTTAAAACGTTGTCAGGTCAATTTCATTCCGAATTAGCAGACAAAAAAAATTAAATCAAGTGAAGTTTGTTTTCCAATTTCACGTATATGAGGAACGGCAAATCAGTTTTCTATTATCTTCAACTGATATCTAACAACAATACTTACCATGCCACAGGGTACGCTAACAATTCCTTGAACAATATGCGCAGACAAAATATTTTCAATTGCATTAACCATGCCCAATACTGCTTTTCCAAACGCAGCAACATGTACATTATGATTAAGGCGATAATTTCGATCATCTATTGAAAGTTCATCATTCGAAACATTTATTTTTTTGGCCACCAATACGTAAGGTGAAACAGCTTTGACTCCAGCAAGAAAAATCTTCAAGGCATCTTGTTGAAGTTTCAGCATAATGTTGATTTAAACCTTAATATTTCAATAGATCAAACAAACAATAACGGTACTGTAACTACTGCTTGACTGTCCAGAAAGACTGGGTACAAAAGAAAAACTCAATCATGATGTCACACTAAGCAAATGAAGTTAATAAACTAACTTTTGAGATACTCTAAATCTTCTATTTTCAACACTAATGTATGGTATTGTAGAGCCATATGCATCAATGAAATTAAACTGTTATGCATCAATTCACATATATTCATTGCAAACTGATCAACAACACAGTACAAAATATAATCTTCATATGAATTCCATCACCTTAAAAGTTAGTTGCCAACTTTTCAATGGTTATTTCAGCCAAGTCACCCTATCATGTATCAAATGTTTTACGAAACAGGAACAGCTAGGAACACCTTAATTTCCTCATAGACTACAACAAAACATTATTCCCCAAAACACTGAGTTTAACAGTGCAAAAATATTTTGTGGGTATATATATATATATGAAAAATGAGAAACAACACATTCATGAATGAAAGAAGGCACAGATAAAAAAATATAAACTAATTGTGGCATTGGATCCATTATATCATTGCAAAATAATACATTACATTAACAATCAATTATGCAACAACAGATAATAATTGTTGTATCTTTCGTAAAAATAATGTAACACATTCTGATATATATATATATATATATGTTTGCTATTTTCACAACATTTGAACCTGTGTCAAGGTACTTTGATTTGGACCTGTGTTTATCAAAGGTGCAAATCTATAATCACAGAACTGAAATGTCTATGAAAAAGATTATTGTGATAGGTTTTTGAAGATCTTTGTCATAAGTTACAAAATGTGCTTCCTGTGGACTGTGGGATGAAACTAAAGATAAAGGCTTTAGGAAGAGTATTGACAAACACAGGGTACAACAGAATACATTGTTACAAAATCTATTTTCGGGTAATCAGCTCAGTAGGTATGCAGTTATATATATAAAATAAAATGAAAAGCAGGATGGATAGGCTACTTACAATAGCTACTGAAGTGTTGGATTGGTGCGTTCACTAAACCTAGATTGAGTAATCCTCCTCCTTCTCCATCACATATTACATGATACATGTTCCGTAATCCGCGCACGGTAGACACACCGTAGATCCGTACTAATTTCTGATTGGTTAAGATTTTTGCTCTGTTTGAGTTGAGGCGAGTGTTGAACGAATGTTGGAAATCGCTGTCAGTGTGGATTGTGGAAGTTATTGGACGATAATTTACGTCTAAGTTGTATCAACATTTCTTGTACTTTCTGAACTTGTATTTTCTTTGAAACTTCTTAAGGATATGTGTTGTTGTGATATTACAACACGCCAAAAGCTAAATTTTGTGGAAACCTAAGCTTAATTAAGGGCAATTGATCTGAAGGAGTTACAGCTCATTGCATATATATCTTCTGGATTATACTAAAAATATGAATCCAACAGCTAGTGCTCTTCACATTGGCGATATAGTATCATTGTACACTGAAGGTGTTGATAGTGGATTTCTCAGCACGCTTGGGTATGCTCTTCACGTAGACATTACAATTGTTGGCTGTCTTAAATCTTAAATACGTAATAAATGAGAAGTCGTTTTATCATTTATCATCGTGCTTCTTCCTATCTTTATTCTTAAATAAAGTTTTTAATGGTTGAGGTTTGCACTAAATTAAATATTTTTAGATTGGTTGATGATCGCTGCGTTGTCCAACCGGCAGCTGGAGATCTTAGCAATCCGCCTAAAAAATTTCGAGGTATGCCACAAGAATTTAAAATGTTTAATTCAAGGAAATGTATCTATTTTATGTCTATCGTTTATTATTGATTTTATTGAACACGTCTTTCATTGCCACAGATTGCATCTTCAAAATTTGTCCAATGAATCGTTATTCTGCCCAAAAACAATTCTGGAAATCTGCTAAACCTATACTTTCAACTGCCAGAGACACTGTACTTTTAACTAAACTTCATGTGAGTTTCTATATCTTCGTTATAATCATCAATCATTAAATGCATTACTGCCAAATGTTAAAAATGCCTTGATTCCAGTCTACATTTCCTATTTTAAAGTGATTTCTGTTTTCCATTTTCTGACTTCCTTGTCTTGTGTACATTTGCATTCAGTATAATGGATATCAGCACAAGATCAAAACACCTTGATCAAATGCTCATGCTATACAAAATGGATAGAATTTGAATTGAATTCCATTCAACACAAAAGAATGTAAAAATGAAGGAGATTGTTGATTTGAGAAGCCAATATCAATCACTAAAAAATCTGTTAAAACTTTCAAGAAACAACATTTTAACTCACTAGCCAGCATGCTAATACATGAAAAGTTTACAATTTTAGTACATTCATGATTGTTTAGCATGCAGCCGAAGTGGAGAAAAAGCAAAATGAATCAGAGAAAAAGAAATTAATGGGTCAAGTTGTCAAGTATGGAAATGTTATTCAGGTAATTTTGCACCTGAAAAATGAGAGGAATTTATTTATAATACTTTGCATACCTATGCCAAAAGAATATATTTTTAAATGAAAACATTGTGACTAGCCAAGTGTACCATATATGCAGGTGACAAACAATTATCATTGAATCTTTTTTGTCACTTACATTAGCAGTAAAGTTTCAAAAAAGTATATTGCTCAATGTTTAGAGTTGTCCTACATTAATGAACTTTGTATTTTACATCATTGAATGCTCATGGTGTAGTTTGATAAACTTTATATTCAATTAGTTTTACAAATCTTTTTTATAATGTGCAAAACATACACAAACTCCTTGCACACCCAAATGTCGAGTTCAAAAATTAAAGATTTCATTTACCACATTTTGATTCCCAATAACTTAACAGATTCTACATGTAAAGAGCAATAAATATTTGACTGCAAATAAAAGGTTACCTGCACATCTTGAGAAAAATGCAATGAGAGTGACACTTGATATAAATGGAAATGAGGTTTGCAAAAGTGAATGTATTTTTATGAATGTAATTTCTATTTTATAAAGGGTTTCTATTATAATATTATGTTATTCTTGTCCTGAATAACTTTATGATATATCAATCTCTCATTTGTTTCTTTTCAATATGTTGTAAGTCTTTCTAATTCTTTTTTCAGGGATCTTGGTTTTACATTTTACCATTTTATAAGTTAAGAACTCAGGGTGATGATGTACGTATTTAAATCTAGAATATTGCAAATTATTCAATTGTCAAAAATCGTACGTAAGTGTCAAACAAAATAATTTATAACGTTCATTGATTGATAAATTTTAGGTTGTTGTTAATGATAAGGTCATTTTGAGTCCTGTGAATGCTGGTCAACCTTTGCATGCCAGTGGAAGTGAATTAATTGATAATCCTGGATGTTACGAGGTAGTATTACCCTAATGACTTATTGTCTATTGTGAAGATATAGTTATAGTTGCATTTGTTATTTTGTGTATTTATCTTACTGCATACATTTGTTATGTTATATTACGTAAATGATACTCTGAATCTGTCTTTTATCTTTCTAGGTGAACTGTGTAAGTTCTGACACAAACTGGAAGGTTTCATTGTTTATGTCATTTGAGGAAAACAATGAGGAAACATTAAAAGGGGTCAGTTTTTTATCCATACATTAAAAGGGATCAATTTTTTATCCAAATATTAAAAGGGGTCAGTTTTTTATCCAAATATTAAAAGGGGTCAATTTTTTATGCAAACGTTTTACTCCATATATTGATGTTTATAGATTTATAAATTACATGTATAATGCATGTGAGTACTTAAATGTTGTAAATTTATATTATATGAGATTTTAATTTCAGGGAGATGTGGTACGACTTTTTCATGCTGAACAAGAGAAATTTTTGACCATGGATGAATACAAGACAAAATCCTGTGTGTTCTTAAGAACAACAGGTAGAACAACAGCAACTTCAGCAACAAGCTCCAAAGCATTATGGGAAGTTGAGGTATGTTTTTCTGTTTTTATGGGATGCATAAGGAATCAATAGGGATGTCAAAGGTGTTATTTACATACATGAAGAAAATTTATATACGTTGTTGGTGAGCGTCATCCTGAATAAAGCAACTGCAATAAAACATCACCTCGTCTTGAATGAAACATTACGTCATTTGGAATTACGTCATCTGGAATGAGACAATACGTCATTTAGAATTACGTCAGCTGAAATGAAACATTACGTCAATTGGAATTACATCATCTGGCACGAAACATTACGTCATCGGGAATGAAACGCACGTCATCAGAAATAAAACATGTCATCTTAATTGCAACATTTTTAGTTCGCTAAATTTTTGAGAAAGTGTTGAAATGAGGCACGTTTACTTCCTTAAATCGATTTTCTTGACCATATGTTTTGTTTGTTAGGTTGTTCAACACGATCCCTGCGCCGGGGGAGCTGCACACTGGAACAGTTTGCTAAGATTTAAACACCTGGCTACCGGATTCTATTTGGCTGCAGAGGTAAAAAATCTATTTTGGCTACATAGTGTTTGTGACGCACATAGAGCAAACTCACATCTTTTTGCTGTAAATGTTATTGTGGTTTTCTAGTTTTTTTGGTCGCTTGTCAATCGTGGTCGACTAGATAATTTTCATTTCTTTTCACCCTGAATGCTTGATCAGATAAATTGTCCTACCTACTTTCCTTAGTAGCTACAGTACATTCATTTTAGATTGACGATGATGATACAAGTGATACTACAAGAAACAAACTACGAGATGATTCTCCGGTCTTTCATTTAATTCAAGTACCGCAAAGCAACGACATATCGTCGATATTTGAATTAGATCCAACTACAATGGCTCGACCAGATAACTATGTACCAAGGTAAATCTATATGTATCCTTGTGAATAATGGAGCTACTCATGTTGACGATGACAGACTATATGAATTTTACTCAGTTTAACGACTGGATGTATATCGTTATGGATTGTAGTCAGAAATAGCGCAAAATTTCTCCTGTTGCTGCAACCAACCAATCAGATTTGAGGAAACGCAAGGATTTGTTTCGGGTTTTTTTTTTCATCCTTTTATTTTGTATTTTTATCTTTTTCCTTAGATCATCTTACGTTCGTCTTCGTCATTTATGCACAAATACCTGGGTCCATTCAACGACAATACCGATTGATAAGGAAGAGGATAAACCAGTCATGCTTAAGGTGATGATGTTTTGTTATTGCAAATTTTTATGAGAGATAATATTTATTGGTGCTGAAATTATTTAATTAGCTTCATTATGCGTAGTTGTGACTGATAAATTTATGAGTTAAATAAAAAGCTACGCGTTTGTCGACATTGTTTTAGATCGGTACAGCTTCCATCAGAGAGGATAAAGAAGCGTTTGCTATTGTACATGTTTCTCCTTCAGAAGTTCGCGATTTAGATTTTGCAAATGATGCAAGCAAAGTTCTTGGTGAATTTGCTCTTCGCGTCGAAAATGGTACGGCTACCCAAAATGACAGAAGGTACGTACGTATGATGGAAAATTATTGTCGTGTGCAATGATATATTCTGTATCTGAGCATTTACTTTGACCAACACATGCGAAGAATGGTTATTTATTATGTAAATGTCATCGGTTGATTACAGCGATTCTATCTCGATGAAAATCTTATAATAATGTTTTTTAGGTCGGTGACAAAATTACTAACGGATCTTGCGCATTTTGTAACTAATACGGAGGAGTCAGATGGGGATCCTTTGTCATTATCTTGTTCGAATCCCGACAGAGATCGTCAAAAATTGATGAGGGAACAGAATATTTTACAAGAGGTAGCTTGAAGCCATTACATCTTTTCATAAACGTTGCTAAAAGTTTACTTTACGAATATTGTTATCCTTCTTTTGAAGTTGCACCCTCTTTCCAAATCCAAGCCTTTGTAATACCTCCCCTCCCCCCTCCCCGTAAAAGCTAATATAGTAAACAAATAATTTCATGCAAAATGTTATTCATTTTTTTCTTTTTACAATTTGTTTTTAAGTATTTATCTCCTTATTGTTTTGCTCATTTATCCTCGTAGTGCCTGTGTTTGTTTTCATATTTCATTAGCATCTTTAAATTCCATTTTTATGTAGATTTTTCAGGTGTTAAGAACACCTTTCGATAAAAAAGACGAGGAAGCAAATGTCAAACCTGAAGATTTAACAAATCCGTCCAATGCACAACTACGTCACATTCTTCGCCTTTGTTATCGTGTGTTAAAATATGCTCAACAAGATTACAGAAAGAATCAGGTAAGATTTTTGAAATGAACTCGCTTATTGTATTGTCCTTTCTCTTTGCATTGTAAGATTTAAGATTATAATATGTTCTTGGTTTTACGTTTTTAGTAAATGATTAACAATTGATAAAAATAACTTTAACATTAACAATAATACTGCATGTGTATCTATTTATTATTGAAATTATCAAACTATATATAATGTTTACCATTACCTTTGGACAGGAGTACATTGCTAAGCAATTTGGTTTCATGCAAGCTCAAATTGGTTATGACATAATGGCAGAAGATACGATTACTGATTTAGTACACAATAATAGGAAACTTCTAGAGAAACATATCACTGCGGCTGAAATTGAAACTTTTGTGAATCTTGTAAGATTAAAGCGAGAATGTCGGTAGGGACACGTCGTTGTCTTTGAAATGAACTTTTGATAAAATAAATGCTCTTTATTTTCATCCCGTTAATGTTTTAGTTTTCTAGTATATTTATCTGATTTGTGTGTTTCCAACAACACTGCAATACCTGGAACGCAAGAATTGATATACAAGTCTGTCCTTGAATCTCCTTCAAATTCGGATATCTTAATTAAAACGATGTATGTATAGTTAATTCAATTATCTGTTATTTATTTTCTTTACGTAACTAACACGTCAGATTCTAATAAAGTAAATGGTTTGAACCCGGGAGTATCGTTACATGTTTGTAGATGTAGATCGTCCAGGTTGGTATAGTCCTGAGAAGGACTGTTTTTGTTGTTGTTGACTGACATTTCGACAACCTTAGCGGTAGTCATTTGACTCTGAAGATGACTACCGCTAAGGTTGTCGAAACGTCAGTCAACAACAACAAAAACAGTCCTTCTCAGGACTATACAAACCTGGACGATCTACATTTACAAACATGTAACGTCAGATTCTGGTGATCAATTGTGATTGTTGGTATTTATAAGAGCGTTATTTTTGAAAAAGAATTTTTTCATAATTTTCCCAGAATAATAAATGATGTTGTATATGTTGAATGGTCTACTCAAAATGGAACAGTTCAAAAGAAACAACACGAACTCGCTAAAGGATATAAACGAGGAAATAACGATGATGTGGAAATAATGAATTTTTATCGGTAAACCGAACTCTATTGTCTATTTTGCATAGAGAACTGCTGATATTTTCTAGTCATATTCCTTTAACATTAAAAATATTCACGTCTGTAATCAATTATATTTATAGACATCAACTTGATTTGTTTGCATGTATGTGTTTTGATCGCCAATATCTTGCTATAAACACCCTGAGTGAAGACCTCGATGTTCATCTTGTTCAAAGGTAACTTGTTTGAATTCTATTTTGACTGTCAAGAAGTGACTCAAAACGCAGTGTATATCTTTGAGAGTTGCAGAAACCTTCTTGTCTGCATGGGTCAATGAATAATGCGCGAGAATAACTCAGCTCTCTCTTTTTGACTTTTTCATTATTTATATAGATGCATGGCAGATGAAGAGTTACCTTGTGATCTTCGAGCTGCCTTTTGTCGTCTTATGCTTCACATGCACATCGATAGAGATCCACAAGAACAAATAACACCTGTAAGATATGCGCGTCTTTGGTCGGAAATTCCCCATGAACTAAACATCGATGAGTAAGTATACAATTTCAACGTCTTGTGAAGTAATACATAAATTTGTACTGTCAACTGGATCTACGTAACGCGAGGATACGCTATGTGTCATTTTTTTAAGAATATCATAATTGTTTACATTTAGTTATGATCAACAAGATATTTTTGGAAAGAGAAACAGGGAAATGTTTATAAAAACGGTCGACTTTGTTGAATCGTATTTAAGACAAATAAGCTCAAACATCTGGGCATTCAGTAACAAGGAACAAAATAAACTTACTTATGAGGTAAATTTAATCAAAACTCAACAGATTTTTGAATTGGACGTCACCCAATTGTATCCTACAATATCCTATAAGATGGACATCATCCTGTTGTATACTATAATATCCATCATTATAGGTTGTGCAGATTGCTCGACATTTGATTTATTTTGGTTTCTATGGTTTAAATGATTTGATCAAGTTGACAATGAAACTTTTAGCTATTCTTGATGGTGAACAACGCGCTTATGATCAAGCTAATGCCGTAAAATTAAAAATCGCGGCAGGTATATAAGTCATTGTTCAATTAATTTAATAAAGTTTTCCCTAGGCTGGTAAATTTTGCCAATACACTAACAAAACAATCTTCGTAAATTATGAGAATTGATGAAATATATGTGAACATGTTTTTATATGTTCATAAATCCTTTTTGTCTTAGGTAAGATAAAACAAAGTGTCCCAAAATCAGTGAGTACTATAGGTACTTTGATGACCCGTATGGTCCTGCCTGGTGCTAAGGATCCGTGGGGATTGATCGCGGCTTCAAGTCTTAACAACGGTAGTAGATGTTCGGATATTGCAAAAGATCGTGTTGTCATGGAAACTAACGTGAAAATTATCGAGATTTTGGAATTTATTCTTAACGTGCGCCTGGATTATCGAATTTCAAGTCTACTCACAATTTTCAAACACGAATTTGACTTAAAAAATGAAAATTGTTTAGAAAATGAAGGTTTGTTGTAAGATTTTTATGTTATGAAGATGTCTATTTGACGTCTTCTCAATGTGTGCAAATGTTTTTCTAGGAAAATATTTTGCTCCTTTTCTAATATATTGTCTCAATTACGAAGTGTGAGTGTTTGAAGAAAAGCAGCATTTGTACAAATGGAAGTCATAGATTTTCTTATGTATATTTACCTCAGCAGTTGTTTATTCTTTCATTCGGATGTCTAAGTTTAAACTGAGTAAACTTTAAATAAGTTTTGTCCATTTATCCAGTTAACGTGTAAAAGTATTTTTACCCAGATGTCTAAGTTTAAACTGAGTAAACTTTGAATGAGTTTTGTCCATTTATCCAGTTAACGTGTAAAAGTGTTTTTACGTACTTAGTTTAGTTTTAAGCTTAGTTTTCTCTCTGTTTGATGGTATTATATTCAATTTTAAAAGTACTTAGCTCACGTATTCGCAACTGGGCTAAAGTCCTCTTTTCTTCGTGAAAGCTATTTTATATTTTTTGATTAGCTAACCAACAAAGTCTTTAATTGTACTGAGCCCTTATGCATGTAATTCATGTCAATAGGAATTGACCTTGAGCGTGTTGGGATTCATGCTGAAGAATTATTTGGTTGCAACGTGTAAGTAACATTCATGTTATCTTCATAAAAAAACGTAGTTTAAAACTCTAGTTTTAAACCTTTTATGTGCACCTATATATGTGTAGAGATTTACATTAAATGGCCGTATGTTTATTCTTTTTTTACTAATAATTAAAAGTAGAAGTTCATCTGCATCAATTGGCAATGACTTAGACTTTGATGGAAATGGTGGTTGTACTTTCCTTCGTGTTTTGTTATCCCTCATCATTCATGATTATCCTCAACTTGTCGCTGGAGCCTTAAAACTTTTACTCAAGCATTTCAGCCAAAGACAAGAGGTCTTACAGGCGTTTAAACAAGTACGGTGATCGAAATGTTTGATAAATAGTAAAAATTCGTCTAAAAATTCTACTAGAAGCGTAGCTAGAACGTTAATAGGGTGGGGGTGGGGTGTATATTCATAAATTCAGCTAAGCCAATTCATATTTAAAAATCAGTCAGACGCAACTGAATATGTGAATACCCCTCTCCCACACACACATCCTTTAACGTTACGTCCCTGAATACGACCTTAAAGGTTGACTTAAATAATGATTTCAACCGTCTCGTTTTTCACAGGGATGTAAGTGCTAAATCATAAATCATTTTGGATATTTTTATCGGTTGATTTAGATGAATTTTTTAGCGCCACTTGGTAATCTGGCAACGCGATTCAAATTTGTTTGGCGTTTTCTTATTAAGCACGATGAAGAGATAAAATTTTCAAAAACCACAATTTGCTCTATAGTTGATTCAACTATCAACACCATTTTTATGGTAAATAACATTTAGAGCTTTGGAATGCAATTTTCTCTTTAGGTTCAGCTGTTGATTTCCACCAGAGACCGTGAAAACTATACAACCATCAAAGATTCTCTTGATAAATTGAGATTACTTGTGGAGAAGTCAGAACTGTGGGTTTACAAAACCAAGAAGGCAAAATCCGACGGCATAAAGAATGAAACAACGAAAAGAAAAAAAAGTACGGGAAAGGATCAAAGCAAAAAGGACGATGCAAAACGAGAAAGTACTGCTGATAATGGGAAGTCAATGGTTTGTTTTTGCTTATACCTTCAACATTCTAAACAAAAATGTTATTTTTACGTTTTATCCTATTATTATAAAATATAGATGTATCGCTTACGACTTCCAAGTGATGAATCTGGTGGAGAGAATGCCACTGAAGACATTGGTTTGTTAACAAACTACAAGATTATTAAAGACGTATGCTCATCAATAACCATTCTAGACTTCAACGGTCGAAATCAATACAACGTTCGGACTTTGATTCTTTTATAGATTCTTAAACATCTCTGTGAACTTTGTGTGACTATCTCGCGTGGAGTAACGAAGAACAACAAACACGAACAAAGATTGCTACGGAACATGGGAGCGCATACTGCTGTAATTGAACTCCTTCAGATCCCACACGAAAAGGTAACAGATGTTGAAAATGGAAGTCGATCCATTTATACTATCCATTAGTTAAGCATGATTTGAAGCTTTCAAGAGTATGGAGAAATAGGAAATTTCCTGTTAACTAAACATGAGATTATCGTCGAAAGCATCGTCCATTACTTTATATTTCGGAAAATTATTGTAAAAACACACTGAAAGTTTTTAATTCAAAGCATTATTTTACAAATAGTATCTTTTTTATCACTATTTTTTACCAGTAATCAATATTAACAACTATTACTTTAATATAATGACTTTACAAGTGACGCAAACTTCTTCACAATGCGTACTACCTTAACGACTATAATGTTAACAATACAACGCACCACCAATTTAACTGTTACAGTCTTTTTTCGTTTCTTGCCTCGCCAATTGTGATCATAGCGATTTATTTTTTTGGGTTTTTTTTGTAGAAAAAAGACATTTACATGAAAGAAGTGATGACTTTGGCCCACGAGTTTTTGCAGTATTTCTGTCTAGATAATAAATACAATCAAGCACTTTTGTATAAACATCTGGACCTTTTTCTTATACCTGGGGTATGATGGGGGTAGATTGTTCTTGGGGGTATGTTTGCACTTAAAACTTTTTCTACAATTTTCAAAGTGTCAATTTTCTTTGGACAATAATACTAATAACCAGTGTAGCTTTTTTGGTTTTTTTTTTATTTAAACGTTTACTTGTGGTATGGTTTACTAAAATTTAGTACTTAATCTTTTCAATCAATTGATAGATTCAGGAAGCTCAGACTCTGCAACATATATTTCAAGAAAACTTGCCCTTGTGTAACGAGGTTTCTGAGAAAGTCGTTCATCATCTTGTTCGTGCAATAGAAACAGAGGGTCGTCATGTTCAATACATAAAAACCTTGCAAACATTGGTAAAAGCTGAGAACCAAGCTGTTAGGAAATGTCAAGATTTCATAATGGTTGAGGTATGATGATTGAAATGTGTTTTTGTAGAACTTGCCGTGCAACGTTTAAGCTCTAGACATTTATATAGACTTAAATGAAAATTGGTTTATTTTTTGTGCTTAGATTTTAGTGTAAGGAAATGTTGTGCGTACTCGGCATTGCTATTTATTTTCTACATTTAATTTATAATTTCAATCGTGCTTCTACGTCAATATGGAAATATTTATTGTACAGTACTCTTAAGTGCTCTTATTAAATTTTGCGACAGCTGAGTTTTTATCTATTATTAATTGATTTATCCGTGGTTGAGTCAATCAGACAGTAGTCATTATCATTTATGCATAAATAGTTTTACCAAATATTACAATGAATAAATTGTTTGCGTGAAAAGAAAACTGTCTGTTATTTGTCTTTGTCTTAATTAATGATCTTGACCATTTATGATTTATGATTTTACGACAGCTCCTGAACTCCGGTGACGAAGTCTTGTTATTTTACAATGAGAGAAAGTTGCAGGAACAATTCTTTGAGCAGATGCGCGCAGAAAAAGACAATCTTCGTGAATCGAGTCCACTTGCCTATCACATTCAACTCGTAAAATTACTGGCAAATTGCACTGAAGGAAAGAATGCAAACACAGAAATAAAATGTCACAGTTTGCTTTCATTGGACGATATTCTTCGTGTTGTTACTCATCCTGATTGTATACCTGAAGTAAGTCATACATGAAGTATAAGTCATACCAGAAATGTTTCTGTAGAAATCATATGTCATGTAGAGTTCACATTTGTCTTAACGTAAGCTATGTCCTAATTTCAATGTGGCATTACTTGTGAAATCAGTACTTCTCGAGTATGATGATTTGGTCAAATTTCATTGCAGATAAAAGATGCCTATATTTATTTTCTTATTCATTGTTATGTGGACACCGAAGTGGAAATGAAAGAAGTTTATACGAGTCAACACATCTGGCATTTGTTTGATAACTTTTTATTGGATATGTCAAGGGTAAGACAATTGTTATGATGGTACTGCACGATTTTCACTCCTTATTAAAGAATCTAATGGTAAGCAATGCATTAACTGCGTTTCTTTTACATATTTAGATCTACACGAATGGCCATCGTCAAGCAATCGTCGCTGATTCACTGGATAATTACGTCACGTCAGCCATTATGGATGTTATTGCAAAATTCTTTACGTCACCATTTTCTCAAGGCAGCACGACTATTGATGTATGTAGGTTTTGAATTTTTCTGTTATTTGAGAAAGGAGCTTTCTTTAATTTTTGGAATTTATTTTCAATTCTGCTCATTCATGAAAGAAAAAACGTATCAAGTGAAAACTTATGTTTGCTTTTTTTCTGGTGAAAATGTTTTTGTTGTTGCGTCAAGGTTATCGTAAGCCTCTTAAACGTTTACTACTTGTTCAATTATAGGCTCATCATAACGTTTACTTCTTGTTCAATTATAGGCTCATCATAACGTTTACTACTTGTTCAATTATAGGCTCATCATAACGTTTACTACTTGTTCAATTATAGGCTCATCATAACGTTTACTACTTGTTCAATTATAGGCTCATCATAACGTTTACTACTTGTTCAATTATAGGCTCATCATAACGTTTACTACTTGTTCAATTATAGGCTCATCATAACGTTTACTACTTGTTCAATTATAGGCTCATCATAACGTTTACTACTTGTTCAATTATAGGCTCATCAAACCGTGTTTGTTAAGATACTTCAAAGTGTTTATCGTCTATCTCAATGTTCAACGCTTACTGGTTGTCAGAAGTACAATGTGGAGGCATGCATTCAAACTCTTTGTGATGTTGGTACGTTATTTGAGTAGGAGAAAAATTGTACCAAGTGCGCATGTGTGAAGAAAATGTAGCCGAAATATATGCGACAAAATGTCTTTATTAGTAAAACATTTTGTCCACGGTTTTTTCATTTGCCAAATAATTCTCCAAATGTTTATTTTGTATTGACGTATATTTTTGTTTTTTGTTGACATTTATTTATTTTTTATGTTGCTTGGTAGCAAAGACTCGTTCGATAGCTGTTCCTGGTGATTTGGAAAATCAAATAAAAATGATGTTTGATCAGAAGATCATTGTGATGAGGAGTACCCAAAAATGGTTGAGTCGTGGGAAAAAGAAAGAATCAGTTGTCAGTAAGCCACTTTCTAAGGACTACAGAACTATCATCGAAGGTTTACAGGTAAGTGGTATTTTTGGAATGAACTTGCCAAACACCAACCAGAAAATTATCTTTATTACGTATTTTTTATTTCTTTCTGGAAAATCCTTTCTGAAAAATTTTATTTTTAGGACGTTATTTGTTTGTTGGAGGATCAGTTGCGACCTTTGATACAAGCTGAAGAATCCGTACTTGTGGATATTTTGTACAAACCAGAGAGAATGTTTCCTCCTAATTCTGTATGTAGGTCAAAATCAGAGAACGGGGTTTTATTTCCAGGTATTTTTTACTTAAAAATGAATTTTCCCTGACATAACTGAAAATTTGGAGGAAGTTTATTTGAGTTGACGTGTAGCTTTTAAATATTAAGATTTAGATTTTACGTTCGTCTTTGATTGCAGGTTGATAAAACATTTGGAGTGTTTTCTTGAGGATGACGAAGGATTGTGCGTTCAAATTTTGCAGCATCTCAGAAATATGATTGAAAAGGAGTCACGTTATGTAAGAAAGGTATGAAACGTTATGTAAGAAAGGTATGAAACGTTATCTACGAAAGGTATGAAACGTTATGTAAGAAAGGTATGAAACGTTATGTAATAAAGGTATGAAACGTTATCTAAGAAAGGTATGAAACGTTATCTAAGAAAGGTATGAAACGTTATGTAATAAAGGTATGAAACGTTATCTAAGAAAGATATTAAACGTTATGTAATAAAGGTATGAAACGTTATCTAAGAAAGATATTAAACGTTATGTAAGAAAGGTATTAAACGTTATCTAAGAAAGGTATGAAACGTTATGTAAGAAAGGTATGAAACGTAATGTAACAAAAGGATAAAATTGGTTTATAAATGTTGATTCAATCATATTTAGTATCAATATTTAAGATGTCTGCCAATTATTAAAAGAAAAATTTTTTCGCATATAGGCTGCCAGTTTGAGGTCGTTGTTGTTGAAACGATATTTCGGTGAGGATACTTCGAAGACATTAAAAATCGTTGACGAAACATCTATGTCAAGAAAAAATGCTTTTTCTGGTGGTGAAACTCGTGTCTTAAAGCGAGCTGGAGTTACTTTATATGAGATGCAATGTCGATTAAATACTTGTGGAGCAACTGATTTAGTTATTGATTTAGTCATGAAGAGACCAAGTTATCCAGTATTTCTCGAGTCTATAAAATTTGGCATTTCTCTACTGGAAGGTGGAAACTCTGTGATTCAGGTACGATCTTCATACATTGTTTCTGTCTTTCAAAGAAATTAGTTTTAGTGCTTTTTCTTTACTTTGTTAAATATCTTTATTTTTACTTGATTTTAGAAATCGTTTTTCGACCGATTTGTCAACGGGAAATCTGAAGCATTTTTTCAATGTGTTCATGACAAGATGAAAGAAGCGGATTCTGTCATAAAGAACAATATGGCAACTCTTGCTGAAAGTATTTCGACTTCATCACACAATTATGAAATGTTTGAAGGCAATGTGAAGTCTTATATTGAAAGGAAGACTCCAGTAAAAGAAGGTATGAGACGGTGACAAATGTACATGCTCATCTCCATCTTCTTCCTTGAGCATCTTTGGTGATGACGTGAAGAGTGACGTAACGTGACCAACATCGTGTGTGATGACTTAATATTCTTTAAATACTTTACAGATTCTCCGTCTTCTTCGTTGAACATTGCAGGCGATGATGTAAGGGAGCAGTTATCAGATGCGGCAGCTTATACAAACACAGCTTATGCAATAGCCCGTCGTAATCGTCATTCTGAAAGAGACATTGAACTGGGGACTACTAGAGCGTCTTTAGAATACCCTGGGGAGGATAGTGGATCAACTGTGACTGCAAATGAATTTCTTAAAGTGAAACCATTAATGAGATTTTTGCAGCTTCTTTGCGAAAATCATAATTATGACCTACAGGTAAGTTTTGTCCCTTTTTTCTGCAGAGAATATCAATAGTTTAAGCTTATGGAAAACTATGAAAGATTGTTATATGCAGTGCGGTGTTTTGAAGTTAAATGAAGATATGATCTTCGCACTTTGCTGGACAATTTAAGCAATTGTCTCATGAACCTGAAAATTCAGGTGACTCAACGGGATCCGTTGTTAGTTATTTCACATAATTTCTGCTGAAGTCGTATTTTTGAACCGTAAACCTTATACTGGCTCATCACAATATATAATTGATTTTCACATTTCGATTTTATCTCTTTAGAAATATATTCGAGAACAAGACAACAAGACAAGTTACAATTTAGTTCTTCAAACACTTCAGTTTTTGGACTGTATCTGTGGCAGCACGTCAGGAAGCCTTGGATTATTGGGTTTGTACATTAATGAAGCAAACGTAGAGTTAATCAATCAATGTCTGGAAAGTCTCACAGAATATTGTCAAGGACCTTGTCCTGAAAATCAGGTTCATTATTGTTTTTTACCACGCACTTCTTGTTGTCATCTTTTTTTTTCATGAAATGTTTGATATTTTTAGAATGATATGGCGATGCATGACTCAAACGGAGTGGATATTATCTCAGCCTTGGTTGTGAATGAAATAAATCCTTTGGCGAAACAAAGAATGGATTTAGTATTAGAACTCAAAGTAAAGCCATTTTGTTTTCTTTTTTCTTTAATAACATACAGTATCATTTCTCTTGGTATTTTCAAATTTCATGCTTCAAACAGACTACCACCTGATTTGATTTTAAAAATAGCACTTCTTTTGAATTGTAATTTGCTTGTTCAACCTTTGTTTGTGGTTTGAATCATCGACAATTTGTTTTAGAATAATGCTTGCAAGACTTTGCTCGCCATTTTGGAAAGTAGGAACGATAGCGAAAATGCCGAAAGGATTTTGTGCAGCTTAAGTCCAAAACAACTGGTTTGTACTCGTTTATGTCATTGTTATGTCATTGTTTGTTTCGTACTCATTCTTCATTTACCGTCTCTGGTTCATAGAATACCGCATTTCTTCATCGTGTATATTAATTATTTAAGATCGAGTCGTTCCAGAAACTTTATAATCAAGAGCGCTTCGATAACAACAACGAGTATGGGGCTGATGTTTCTCCTCTAGAAGTTGGACATAATATTTATATTTTGGCTCATCAGGTAGTACTTCGCATCCTACAGCAAAGTTTGATTTCTGTCGTTGAAAATTTTAATGCGTTGTGTAAATGATGGATTCTTCTATAATTGTGTAAAAAAGCAGTTAAGTTGATGGAACAGAAGAGTAGACAAAGTGAAGTAGTTGTGGACAATAGAAGAGTAGAACTGTTAAAGATATAGAGGACTGGAAATAAAAGAAGAAACTCAGAAATTTACGAAGGAGGAAAATGGAAAATTAACGAAAAGAGCAATTAAAGATATTGAGAAGAACTACTAGAAAAACATAAGAAAGGAGCGTTATAAAAGAATAATAGTGTAGGTAGAAAAACAGAAGTAATAGAAGAATGGACATTTAGAAAGAATAAGTACTGTACAAATGAATAGATGTTTTGATGACTGGATCACTAGGTGTAGTGCAAATAAAAAGTGGTACAGATGATTGTCACAGAGTGTGTGGTCAGGAAAACGATCCAATGTTCTTTCTATTTTAGCTTTCACGTCACAGTAAAGATTTATTAGCACTCATGAAGGAAAAAGAAGAAGACGAAACGGAAGGCGCGATGACGTATTATTCTGGCCATACTGCACAGATCGAGGTTCTTTAACCATGATGTTAACATAACTTTGTTTTGTTTGTTAAGTTTATTTTGTAATTTCTTACAGATTGTACGTTCTGATCGAATGATAGAACAAATAGTTTTTCCCGTACCCCAAATTTGTGAATATTTAACTGAAAGAACTAAACATCAGGTCTTCACCACCACTGAGAGAGATGAACATGGAAGCAAGGTAATTGAATAACGCGTGGAAAAAACTGCTGAATTAAGGCATTAATACCACTGCAGCATTCAACAAATTTTTACACTTTCAAAGTTCTTGATTTTTCTTGTTAGGTGTCCGATTTTTCTCAAGAAGCGATGATTTATTTTGTGAAATGATTTGGCAAAAGAAACTTAGAGGTTTGAGCTCTGATTTTTTAAATTGGATCACAAAGTGAGGCTGTGTTATTTTGGGCCTTTTTTCCATATTAAATGACAAAAAGTTTTTGTTGTTATTCAGAAAGCCCAGTGTTATTTTGGCTCAGCAACCAAATGTTACCAGCGAGCGTGTGTCAATGCACTTAGCTGTGTTTATCAATATTCTCGTCGCCTTGTTTTATCCTTTTTCTACAACGTTGTCAGGTTGGAAATGAAACAACAAAATTAACTAGTTCTTTTGCATCATTTATTTTTCTTTGTCCCAAAGCAATTTTCATATAAATGGCATGTCATTTCTTTTGCTATTAAACATTTCTCTTGCCTTTACCAGTTTATCTTGTATTGTCTTTATATTTAGATATTGATTACCGTCTCTCGTTGTTGTCCTGGTTCGCCATCTTCATTTCATTTTTAATTCTTTTGTTTTTCCTCGTTCTTCTGCTATTCGAACGTTTGTATTTGCTGTTATCGTTCGCCTTTTCTTTTTATTTGGACTAAAAGCTACCCTTTTGCTACTTGGTGTAGTTAACGTAAGTTTTTTTAAGTTAAACTGGCGTCTTTTTTATTATTTGGTTTGAATTTATAAGACTTTAATCAACAGTCCTTATTGTAGAACAGAGATTTGACTTGGTGATGAAGTCCAAGTATTGCCTTTAAAAGCGTTTTTGCTTTGATGACTATCAATTATAGAAACTTTAGAACTACTACCTAGGCACTGACCCAGGTTGAGATTTTTAAGGCAATGTTTCCATGGCCTATAGACCAATGTTTCCTTTAGACAGTTTAGTTGTCTTATTATATGACATATTTTGTACATTACAAAAATTTTGAGATATCACTGTCTTTATTGAAATTGTGTAACTTTTCAATGTCAGTGTGTAAATCAAAGAGAAAATTTTCAAAAAAAAATCCCGTTCCGACTATGTCTCCCAATACCATGAGACAATTGAGCAACAAGAGCGTTGTCTGTTATTCCTTATTATTGTTATATACCATGATTATCATGATATACTATCATTATCCTGATGTACACTATCATTATCCCGATATTTACTATCATTATCCCGATATATGCCATCAGCCCATATGCATCCCATCAATCTAACATTACCCAATCTAGATAAACTTGCTCATTTTTTTAGTTAATAGCGAAAACTACATTTCTCATCGGTTTTGTTGGCAATAAAGGAATATTTCAACAAGGTTTACCTGCATTGCTTGGGGATAAAGATCTTCTCATACATCTTGGCTTTTTTGCATTGTGCTTTTCAGGATTATGTATAAATGAACTTTTTTACAGTTTGCTGGTAAGTATTTTTTAAGTAAAGTTTTAATTTATATCACTGAATAAGATTTGTGAAAGAAAATAAACCTTCATAGTAATATATTTATCACAAACTTGACTCAATGAAAGTTAAAACTGTTTATTACTAAAATGGGTAACGAATATTTTCATCAGTTATTAGATGTTGTTTTGCGTGAAGAAACCTTAGTGAATGTGGTTCGCAGTGTAACAAGAAATGGACGATCTATTATCCTAACTGCGTTACTTGCCCTCATTCTTGTTTACTTATTTTCCATCGTTGGATTTCTCTTCTTGAAAGATGATTTCGTTGTTGAAGCTGAAGCAAGAATTCAAGGAAATATCGGTAGTAGTTCCATTCCTCCTAAGGATTTTCGAGAAATTTTTCCTAAAGATATGTGTATGTTATGTGTGACTATCTGAATAATCCACTGAGTGGTTTAATAAGAGACTGGAGAGAGTGAATTATGTAGTTAGATATGTACATGTGATTCTGACAAGTGCAGGTCATTCTTTCTTCATCATTATGTTATATATATGCAATGTCTTCACATTTACTATTTTGAAGGTGGATCAAGTGATAGCAAAGGTCATTGTTCTGCTTCAAAACCTTGGGAACAACAAATTGATCCCAGTAACGATGAAGACACAGTTGTGTCTGTAAAAGAACACGCGTGTGAAACGTTAGTGTTGTGTATTATCACAACTTTAAACAAAGGATTACGTAACGGTGGTGGTATTGGTGACGTATTACGTCCACCTTCTCTGAAGGTGAGCGAAGTACTGGGAACTACTTTGTGTTTTTTGTGCGAAATTATTTTTGCTTTTCAGTAGTAATGATTAAGATGTTTAGCGAAAATGTCTATGCACAATGCTTGTGTAACTCCTTAGCAAATATTGTGTTTATTTTCCATCTGTTAGGAGCCGATGTTTATTGGTCGAGTCATATACGATATGTTGTTCTTCTTCATCGTTATAATCATCGTTCTTAATCTAATATTTGGTGTTATTATCGACACATTTGCTGATCTTCGTAGTGAGAAACAGAATAAGGAAGAAATATTAAAAAACAGCTGTTTTATATGCGGTAAGGTTAATGTTTGTCTACATTTCGTATTCACTTTAACATTTTTGTATTTATCCATACATACTTTTCTTTGTACAGGTTTGGGTCGATCAGAATTTGTAAACAAAGTTGTGTCTTTCGATGATCATATAAAAGAGAACACAATTTATGGCATTACTTGTACTTTATTGTATTGTTGAAATTGAAGAAGCGAACTGATTTTACGGGTCCACAGAGCTATGTACAGGAGTTAATAAGGGTAATTTTTATCAGTTACAAATCATCGTTGGTTAGAAATTCATTACTGATATAGTTATCAATGAAAAAGTCTTCTGTTTCCGAATTTTTTATGCAATATCTTACCTTCGAAACCCAATCTTTACAGCAAAAAAACTTGGCATGGTTTCCCCGAATGCGAACTCTTTCCTTGGCAGTGGATGCTGAAGGCGAGTCGGAACAAAATGATGTGAAATTATTGCAAGAAAAGTTGGATAACACGACGAAAGAAGTGCAAGCACTTTCAAGTCAATTAAAGGAATTACGTGAACAGGTAGAAATATGTCTTCTGAGCTGAAATTTATTTTCATCGTGTGTTTTATTTTTTACCAATATGCTATGATGTTATACTCGATATGGAACATGTGTGAGATTTGAAACTAAGAGAGGGAGGGAGGCCCTAGAAAGATTTAAAACTATGCGAGGGAGGGGAGGCCTAGAAAGATTAATTTGGTGTTTTACATGTTGTGCTATCACGTCTTTTAGATGTCAGAACAACGTAAATATAAACAACGTCACTCATTGCTTGTACCACAAACATCTTTCAACTATGGCTTGAATGGCATAATACCACCACGTTCGTAGCTTAAAGAAAACCCGATGTACGATTACATATTTTCATTATGCAGCACGCCTTACTGTATAAACTGTACTGTAGTACAGTCGATATAATAAAATTCCATGTAAAATATTAATTTTTATTTTATTGGTACACAATACGACATACTTTGTCAAGGTTAAACGTTATCTAGCTTTTATTTTGTAATAAATTTGTACAATTGTATTTACACAAAGTATGCTGTTACTATGAGATTACAATTCCCTGCAGCGAAAAGTTTAAACTGCAAATCTGCAAGTACCTTACAACTTTGCAAAGTTAGGATATGTGCATTGATTTCAGTGTCTGTCTGATTGCTATGAGAAAAGTTGTATTGACAATGTTCACATACACCCGAGTCTGGCATAAAGAAGTCTACACGTCAAGGACGCGCATTAGGGGCGAGCGATGTGACACGGCCAACGTAAAATATGAATAAAAAGTCGGTCAAAAAACTGACAGAGGACGTAAAAGTCAATCCTGCCTTAAATTGTGAGTTTTTTTATCAAAAACAAATGCTACAAGGTCTGTCCCAGAGCGTAGAACACGCCCTGCATTTTTGGGAGTGCACCACTTGTGTGATTATCAAACAAAGTCACTTTGTCAATCGAGAAACAATTGTTTAAAACGGTGCATGATATGTGAAAGACACTATAACGATTTTTTATCTCACATGAAAGTAACTTGATTCACGAATAACCTTACATTATTAAAATTTGAAAAAAAGAATTGCACAGTTAGATAGGTAAATGGTGTAAAAGCCGTTGTGGTAAACTGGTAAAGATCTGAAAATTATGAAGGATTGCACATTCATCAGCATCATAGCATCATCTTTCCATCGTTAGTTACAAATTTCATTATTCATGTTTCCAAAAATAGGTCGTGCGATTACAGCGTTTAGTAGGATATCATTTTACTTCCACACACCCCCTTTGTTTAATTTTTATCCAACCAGAAACTCATAAAATCTTGGTGTCCTACAGTCTTGAGTTCTGAACTTCGGCGCGTGATAATAGACTGTGTTTTTAGTCTAAAAGCTCCTGCTACTGCAAAATACTCTGAGAAGAGTAGCTATCATTAATCGTGATTTCGCCACGTAGCTCTCGGCCCACGCTTTTGCTTGTGCCCACTGTACCTCGTCTTCATGAATTTGTCTTCGATTATGGATCGTGAGTGGGTTCCTCCCAACTTACCGTCAAAATGTACATGGCATTTAGGCAGCAAAATTTCGGAGTCTCCTCACCATCACGAAAGGTATAGTAGTACATTTTTCTATGTATCTTGCTTGTACATATATATAGTACATTTCTTGCATATATACGCCCATACCGTAGTTGCCATCTTTCTCCTTTTATAGTCAAACGTGTTTATTGATACCACATGTGAAAATTCTTACTCCTCACTTATTAATTGTTGTTTTGTAGACATTTTGAGTTTAAGTACATTTATTCATAGAAAAGTAAAAACGTGCAAAATTATGCCAAATGTCCTTAGTGGAATTGGTGATACTCCGTTAGTAAGAATTAATCGTATTGGAAAGAGTTACGGATTAAAATGTGAAATCTGTAAGTAAATTTCAAGTTGCATGTGATTTTGTTGTGATATATATCCCCTAGCCTTAACACAAACATTCCATAGCCTTGCATCGGACATTGAGCCTTGAGGTTACCTAAGTAGCTTGTTGTGCAAATAAACAGCTATGTAGCTCAAACTCATTTTATATTCTAATATATATGAGAGAAATTATAGTATGTTTTGATGTATTGTGGATGAAAATTCTCTCATTATTTACTTATCTACACGTAATATCTTATGATTAACATGTGTTTGAAAGCAATTTATTCAGCCTAAGCTTTTCTAAATCATTATTGAAGTTTTCCTTTGCAAAGTTTATTTCCTCATTACCTTTGTGTAATAAAATGTATTTAAGTTATATAAAAGCAAGAAATTCTTAGGAACATTTGATATTCAATAATATTTCTTTGAAATGTTCAAATGTAGAACTTCAATAGAACCTTGAACCTTCTTCAGTTATTTTGTATTTGGTCTTGTGTGGTTTTAAGATCTACAGAATTTTGACTTTTCTTGGTTGGTCTTTTTTGCAAACAATGCTCTGCCAATATTGAAAGTTTCCTAATTTACCAAAAGAAAAATCTGCTTGCAGTGGCAAAATGTGAATATTTTAATTCTGGTGGCTCAGTAAAAGATAGAATTGGATTACGTATGGTGGAGGATGCTGAAAAAAAAGGAATATTGAAACCTGGAACCACTTTAATCGAACCAACATCAGGCAACACAGGTAAATGCTCTGAGCACCATGGAATGTGACATGTATAGAGTTTAAATGAAGAAATCATTCAATGAAATTGTCTTGATATTGTTTAAATTTTCTTTAGGAATTGGTATTGCTTTGGCAGCTGCTGTTAAAGGATATCGTTGTATAATTGTCATGCCAGAGAAAATGAGTCGAGAAAAAGTAATTGAAATGAATAGTTTTATAGTTTGTTTTTCAGGGAGGTTAGAATTATTGCAAGATCCCCATTTCAAAGACATACATGACCCCCCCCCCTAACACTTTTAAGGAATTGTCCTTCATATAAAATATTCACCATGTTTTCATTCAAGGTTGATGTGCTTCGAGCTTTGGGAGCAGAGATTGTAAGAACTCCTTCTTTGGCTGGGTATGATGCTCCAGGTATAAAAAAACTATTATATCAGTGTAAAATACATAATGGTTGATAATTTCCTATGATAATTGTTTATAGAGTCTCATATTGGTGTAGCACAAAGACTTAATAAGGAAATTGCTGATTCAGTAATTTTAGATCAGGTACGATTTTGTTGTACCTATGTATGCAATTATCAACAGGTTGCCTTGTTTGACTTTTACTTGGAATGACTAAGAGGTTCTTTCAAAAGCTGGTGGATTTATTTTTTGAAAAAACTTGAGTTTTGTTGAATTATATTAATGGATTTAATGAAAACACTCCTATTTCCCAATGTAATGCAATTTTACAAATGTTTCTGTGAATTGTGGCTGCATTAATACTGAAATGATGTAATTATCTGACATTTCTGACACTTTTTTCAGGAATTTTTCCTTAAAAAGCATGCCAACATAAATCTCTATTACATGTCCAATAACATCAACAGTTTACTAAATAATTTTTAGTATCGCAATGCTGGTAATCCTGTTGCCCATTATGATACAACAGCTGAAGAGATTCTAGAACAATGTGATGGTACGTTGTTAAAAAACGCAAGCTGTACATTGACCAGTTTTTGTTTTTTGACATTTTATTTGCAACGTTTAGACATTATTTCCCCTTCTTATGTACAATCCAGAAAAAAGCAGGTTGTTGAATTAGTTTGAAGTGCATTTCTTTGTAAAATGTCTGAAGTAAATTCTGAAAAATCTGTGGCCAGAGTTTTTTTATGTGTTTATGTACAACACATTTGACATAATAGAAAAACAATTGTGAAACGAAAATGCTTATATGTAATGGATACGAAAATCAGTCAATAAAAACTGTTATTGCTTAATTGAATCAACTATTTGTATTGTATGTTGATTTTTCATTAAATCGTGATATGGGATATATTTAAAGGAACTATGCTTTAACATAATGAAACTTCCCCTTCAGTAAGAATTCTTTACCATAAATCTTTATTTCTTTACAAGTAATAATTATCTATAAATGCCATGAATGAATGTTATTTACAACCCATGTTAATTTAAATTTATATATATTTTCTCATGTTTTTTTTTTGAAGGTAAATTGGACATGGTTGTTATTGGTGCTGGCACAGGTGGTACTGTTACTGGAATTGCTCGAAAAATGAAACAAAAATTACCAAATTGCAAGGTATGAAGTGTTTTTGGTAGTTGCTTTCTATCAAGAAAATGTCAAGTGCAGTAAGCATAATTTTCATAAATTACTGTTTTATTGAACAGTGAAGGTAATCAACAAAACATGGTTGTTTAACGTCTTCAGAAATCACCCCATTGATCGCTCTCACAAGTTTTCAACCTTTGATGTATTTTGTAGATTGTAGGCGTTGATCCGTATGGTTCTATATTGGCTGAACCTGATGAAATGAATGAGACAGATGTGACACTTTATCAGGTAAAGCATCTGCATGTATTCTTTCTTTATTTGAATTTATATGAGAAAATTTTTAACCACTTTTATATCAATGTTTGTGTTTGCAGTGATACAACACACCTATTTAAGAATCGAAGCTTTATATTTTGTCTTTTTATAGGTGGAAGGTATCGGTTATGATTTCATTCCAACGGTATTGGATAGGTCTTTAGTTGATAGCTGGATAAAAACTGAAGATAAAGAATCTTTTTTGATGTCAAGAAGATTGATCAAAGAGGAAGGATTGCTTTGTGGTAATAAAAAAAGTTAAATATGTGTTCTCTTGTTGCTGTTCTTTATTTTGCATTTTCTAATATCGAAGTATTAACTTTTTGAATCATGTCATGCCTACCTTTTATACATGTAATGTTTGGTTTGTAAGCTTTGATATGAGCCTAGTGACAGCTGTATAAAGACTGGTACTAGTATTCAAACGGAAGTTGATTACTTCATTACACTAATCTTTTTCAGCAGTTATTTTTAAAGTCTGTAATTCCCCCTTCCTCCAATCGTCAACACACATATGTACCAACAGATTTTCAAGAAATCATAAAGTCTACATAACTGCACAACAATATCAATTCAGTACAGCGAAATGGATTATTACTTATTTCCTTGTGACATGATCACGTTCAAATCATTTAACATTTATATACATTAGGTGGTTCAAGTGGTACAGCAATGGTAGCAGCCATGAAAGCTGCCAAAGTTTTGAAGGAAGGTCAACGTTGTGTTGTCATTTTACCTGATTCTGTCAGGAACTACATGTAAGTATATAATAAGACGTCAAAAATAGATGACAGGAGTTACAATATATTGTCTTTGTAGTCTCCTTTATTTACGGCTATAGACAAATGTTTCGAATATTTTTCAGGACGAAATTCCTCAGCGATGATTGGATGATTGAGCATAAATTTATTGAATACATTCCTCAAACTTCTGGGGAATTATGGTAAGATTTGCACTTCAAAATAATTAAATTAAATTATCTATTATGTGCCCTATTGCCTACCGCTCTCTCACTTAAGAATACTTTCTCTCTTTTCTTTCACCAACTTTCTTTTCAATATCCTAAATGCCACTTTGTCTTTGGCGTTAAGGCATTTTGTATTTTTACATTTAGGTGGTGGAAGGAAAAAATCAGCTGTCTTGATTTGCAACCACTTGTATCTGTTCTTTCATCGGTGACATGTCAACAAGTTATTGACATTTGTCACAAGTAAGTTTTCCTTTTCTCACGTGTCTGAAATCAAACATTTAAATTAAGCATTAAGCAGTTAAGAAACTGATTATTTTTTTAAGGGAATCTTACGATCAGCTTCCAGTGATAGCAGAAAGTGGGTAAGAAAAGTACAAAATGTTAAACATAGCATTAGTGTATGGATCAACGTTGTGTTTTTGCCATTTTCTTGACCTTTTTCATTAAAGAGGCTGAAGCAATGAAATAATTTTTTTCTGCCTAGAAAAATTCTTGGTGTGGTAACGGTTGGCCGTATTATATCAAAAATTGTTGGAGGCATCGCCAGCACTGACAGTTGTATTGCAGACATCATGTACACATCTTTTAATAAGGTGATGAACTTCAATACGCAGTATAACCGGTCAAAACAAACTATGACTGGAGGAGGTGGTGTAAACTTGTTACTACGTATGAAGAAATTAAAATGAAAATGAGGCATACGAAATTTTCCAACGTTATTAATGAAGTATTAGGGAGGGGAGGGTGACTGCAGGTTGACAAAGCTGACACTTCTCGATAATCATAAAAGTGTACAAATAATCATAAAAATGTATAAAGTAAAATGATTATAAAGTCGCTTGTTATCTTGAAAAAACGTACTCAAATTTTTACATAAATATGTGAGTATTTCGTATTAATAATATGTTCATCAATAGGTCACAACTGATATGACTTTGGGAGAATTGTCAAGATTGTTGGACAGTGATCATTTTGTCATCGTGATAGTGAAACAAGTTCTTTGTAAGTCTTCAAATACAAATATTATGTGCATCTTCGATTTTATTAAATATTTTTTGAATTGTTTGTAGACACGGGAGAGAAAGCAAAAGTACAAGAAATTGCGTCTGGTATTATCACACGCATTGATTTGCTCAATTTTATGAGCAACAATAGAAACGGAAAAAGTGTGCAGCTTTAAAGAAAGCAAGAAAACAATTATTTCGTATTATATGAGATACAATATGAAATTATCTGTGCGGCTAAATTGAATGCTAGATCTAGAGCTCAGTTTTAATCACGTTAGATTTCACGACTGCGTCCGAGTCGACTCAGTCGTGTATGTCGAAACTCCCCAGTCCAACCAATCAAAGCCTGGTTCTTATGTAGGCGTCCAATTGGTTTCAGTCTCCATAGTCGTTTCTGTCAGGCAACCCAAATACCCAATAGGACAGACCATTACGACGACTGAAGCGACTTGGACAAAATTATATCAAGCCTTTCTTCAAAAAATTTTTATAATATTAATTATAATTAAGTTGAGGTATTTTGTTTACTTTTGTTCAAAATATGGATTGACATAAATTGTGTTTATTTTAATGAAATGTACTCTATATGTTTGTAAACAATTAAATTAGCATTAGTAGTTTGTCTTATTAAAATGTCTATACATAAGTTTTGGTGTTTTTAAAGGTGATTTTTGCGGTGTTGGGAAAACTGCTAGTTTCTTGTCTTTCTTTTCTGCCAATGCAAGATCTCGAAGATTTGTCTATAATGTACATAAGCAAGTTTCTAAATTCGTTTTTAACATTTACATGATGCATAACATCTTTACCTTCATTGATAATATGGTTTCATAGAGGTTCTTGTTCTCTACAATTTTACATGAACATTTTATGAACAATTTATGCATTTCGTGCGTTTCAATTTTGAAAATTTACCTGATATAGGTAAATCAATTTGCTCTGGAATCCAACGCTGTGTGTTTCTGTCCCATTTTCTTGGTTGATATTTAGTTGTTTCCATGCGAAATGGAGAACTAAACTCTAAATCGTAGGTTGAGAGTCGGTGAAAAAGGTACTCTTTGCTATCTCCATCTAAGATGAATTTCAATCGTGACCCATTCTACATAAGAAATGAGATATCCACGTGGGAATTGCTGTTACACAATTACAAGCAGTTTTTTCCTCGAGAATTAAGCTGAGTTATTTGAACTTCGCTCAACAGTTTACTTTTCACTTCAGTAAAGCATTAACGTTGTCACTTCAGTAAATTTTACTTTGTTATCCAAATTTTCAATCAACCTTAATATCGGTACCAAATTCGTAAGAAAAAATCAACAAGCCCTAACCTGCTGTGTTATTCTGTTGTCGCACATTTCTCTCCAATCTCTCGTATAGCAAGGAGTGTCGTGTGTTTTGTAATCTTTCATATTCGTAGTGACGCAAGTCATTGTTCCTTTCGTAAACCGCTAATCAAAAGTAAAAGTTTAACTCAAAATGCGGTAAAAATCCAAATAGCCCATTATTTTGATGTCTGACTTAGCGGGTGTTTTACTGCATCAGATGAAAGTCTTCATTCTTTCTTTCTCGTAAAAATACAATGTTCCAAGTGTAAATTAGAACAATACATGGGGAAATTCACTTATAAAATTTGACAGTAAATGTTTCGTAATAAAAAATGTAAAACCATGTCTTAAGTTACCGTTTTTCTTTCCTCCAACCAATCACCAACTAGTGTTCGTGAAGAATAGCTTGGCTCAAATCTCCAACCAGGTAAATCCCATCGATTGACATTTTTCCGCTTCATACTTCCTCAAAAAACAGCTTTTCAATTAACGATTTTTGGAACAATTAGAAATGCCATTGTTACGTCATGATTACAATGTTGAAAGTGAAGAAAATTCGGCAATGGTAAAATCGTTTGTGAAAGATTTATTTAGTATTAAATAATAGATTATTTCGTTATTTAAAAATCCTATTTAGTACGTATAATAACAACGAGCATGTAGAAATATATGTAGAAATTTTTCAATTTTTTATCAAATTCTAACGATTTGCAATAACTCAAAAATAATTAGTCTAACGCCTGTACATAGTTTAACAAACTATAAAAACAATATTAATGTTAACAGGCAATACCTTCAAGGCCTCAATTTCCTTGTTTTAAAAGAATGTAAATTAAACTAACAAAAGATAATTTAGGCTGAGATTGATTTGCCCGAAGGAAGATATATGTTTATGACTACGAATCTTCGGCTGTATTTTTCTTTATTTTTTCTTACTTTGATTTTTCAAAATTACCTCTAGAACGAATGAAGCATTAAAATTTTAATTTTCAAATATAATTAACTAATAGAATAGAAAAGAAGATATAAACAGACAAGACGATAGTGAAGATGAAAAGTATGCTTTCTATAACATATATCTTCATGAATAGAAGCAAATCAAAATTCTCGCGCGAATTTCTCATATTCATCTCGAGCCCAATCAATTAACATGTTAATACTGTTTTATATTACACCATACATATCATAAAATAATCGATATCTTTCAAAATTAATGCTGGATTTTGTGGAAACATGTTCATCTCAATTCTTGGACTTAAAATCTTGTCAATGTAATTGGGAAATTCTCTGTTATCAAATAATCATCATTGAACACAACAACAATATTCACTTCAAATTCTGTAAAAAGAAATCAATGGCTAGACAAATCAAAGTAACATTATTACGTCGACATATTGGTAAAATCATAAGCTTCATGGAAAAACTGCATCATTGCTACCAAAATTATTCTTGGATTTTTTCGTCAGAAGTATCATCATGAAAACACTGCGAGATAATGAAAACTAAATGCTTACCAATTTTGAAATTTGGTGTAGCGATGGATGGACAAGTAAATAACCTTGGAAAAATCATGTAGATGGGTAGGGGGAGTTTTGGACACACATTTCCTTCGCCAACCTTATATAAAAATAAAACTCAGATTCAAAATACACACTGAAGGAAAATGAAATCTAAACTTCAACCAAACCTGAATATTTTGAATTTCTGTGGCTAAAAAAATAAAACGACATTCAACAATAACGATTAAAACGTAGAAAAATTGCACGAGCAAAATATTTAATCGTTACCATCTTTAGAATATCCCTCGGCACAACCTAGAATAAAATTCTAAATCTTTAAGAATGACGATAGTTTTTTATCCTCATTCATAAAGATTATTCGGCAAAAATCTTCACCGTACGTAACATATACTCTAAACTAACCACAGGTTTCCACTCTTACAAGCTGTAACTCAATGGATTTAATTGGTAGTTCGGAGTTGACCACAGTGATCTGAGAAATATTGAAAAATGTAACTTTAAAACCTAGTTCGATGCCTGGATAGCTATATTAAGGAAAAGAACTGGATGATGACGAAGTTGATGTGCGGTTATCACTGAGTCATAACTATTATTTTGGTCGCATTAAAACGTGGTGAGAACCAAACTAGAGAGTCGTCATCATCAAAGGGATCACAGTACAGAAGAAAGTGCAGTGTAGGATAGCGCAAGGTAAAATTTTGATTAAACTTATGTATGTTGTCTGAAGATTTATGGAAATCAAAATGTATACCTCGCCTGTGAAAGGCTTTGTAATACAACAACTTGATGAATCTAATTTTCCTTTTATCAAGAAATTGGGAACTTTGGATTTCTAAAAAGAAAAAAATATTGTCGACTTCAAAAGTATAATACAGTAAAAATAAACAAGACTGTACTCAACACAAATTAACATCTCCTCCATTGGTTACCTCTTTAACATTCTCCAAAGATTCTGGGGTGATTTTGAACTGCAAAGGTTTCAAAGAACTGATCTGGTTTGGAAAGTTATCCTTCAGTAAAATATAACCAGTTAGCTCCACATTATGTTCATCTCAAATTGCTACTATACAACAGCATATTGGCCTGAAATCATCAACAGATATACCTCTGTGTACTCTACAATATACCTTTGTGTACTCTACAATATACCTTTGTGTACTCTACAATATACCTTTTTGTCTACAATACACCTTTTTGTACTCTACAATATACCTTTTTGTACTCTACAATATACCTTTTTGTACTCTACAATATACCTTTTTGTATTCCACAATATACCTTTTTGTACTCTACAATATACCTTTTTGTATTCCACAATATACCTTTTTGTACTCTACAATAAATTCACATGAAGCCAATAAGTCTTTGCTGAGCATGGGTCGTTTGATTTCACAACGAAGAGAATACTGAAACAGGTCAAGTGAATAGAAAATGGTGATTAATGAAGAATTTACGGGCAAAATAAAATATTTTTTGTCAAATACTAATGAATTGATAATTTAAGAAATAAAAGATTTTTACTGTGTTAGTGCAAGCTTAAGAAAAACAGAGGTGAACTTTGGGAGAAATTAAGAGTAATCAGTGTAAGCATTGTTTGAATATAATAATGTATTTAGTTTGAACAGTAGCCAAATCCAAGTTTTCAAAATTTGAACAAAAATATCAAAGTCTTTTATAAAAGCATTATTACCTGTATATTAACAAACACACCATGATAGGTTTCATACAATTGTTTGTTTGCTTTTCCTGTCAATGGAATCTCAAAGGCAATTCTGTCTTCCCAGCAGGCGTGGAGAGTCAGAAATAAATTTAGGTCATTTAAATCTTTTCAAATCAATGAATAGACAACAAGTAAAAATCTATACTTATTCTGTTGGAGACCCCCAGTAAAACAAAAAATCTTTAGTAACCTTGAGGAAACCATAAAAATCCTTAACCAACTGCTATTAAGTACAGGCAAAAACTCGAGGGGTGTTTTTCCTTTCTTAAGACCATTTTAAAGGAGCAATGAAATAGAAAACAAATAAACACAAATAATACAGAAACAAACAAATGGAGAGACAGAAAAACAAACAAACAAACACAAACTAATATTAAGAGAATGGTATAATTTTCCCATCTTTTGGATCTCCACAACTTGGTTGACCATTGTAATGGGCTTGATTGAATTATAAAATGCTTCAAAAACTCCAAAACTTTTAGAGCTCAGTTGCAAATTAACAACACCATCCATGGTTAAGCCAATACCATTGTGAGAAAGATCTGTCTTGCTCTGCACTATAATAACACCATGAACTTTTTCCTAAAGTCAAAGAATAATGCTACAATGGTGGGAGTTGTTTTCAAAGAGCAGAAGAGATCTGCAAGATGCAATGATCCCTCAAAAAGAAAAAAAATTAATCATCAGTGTTTCTTTTATTACATATATACGTGGTTTTAAAATACAACACCTGTATATGTTTCCTAGGAACCTATATATGTTTCCTAGGAAGCTTAGTTAACACTTCATTTTTAATTTGAATAACAACTCCTGTTCAACACTTTAAAGTTTTTAAGACCTCCAATTTTGAGTATTTCTACATATAAAGCACATTCTTATCTAACACACAGTTTTTAAAAGTAAAATTGCTTTCTGCAATTCCATATAAACTGAAAATGCAGAAGAGATTGTACTATTACAGTAGGCATTGATAATTTTAGCATAAAGACAATAGCATGGCAGGAAAAACTATTTTCACCTCTGCATGATAAATTTTATTGGCCCTTTTTACTTTGACTTCGACAGTTGCCATTTTGCAGTTTTATAGACGTTCTTGCAAACTTACTTTTGGGATACAAGCAGGGGGGGAGGGTCACTGGTCAAAAGCAATGAACGACAGTTCAGATGTTAGCTCTTGTTCATCTTTATAAACTTCATATTATAAATAAGAACATTCTACGTCTTGACTTGTGAAATCAAAGTCCTACTAATGATTTTATATCTTTTTTATTTCGTTTAAATCATAAATATTTACATTTTAGTCTTCTTTTTCATGATCCACACCCCTCCGGTAAAATTCAATCTTCTCACGTGGGAAATTGGGAATGAGGAGGAAGGCGCTGAGGGGAGGTTTGCTCGCTAAATTCGAAGATTTTACTCAACTTCTGTAGAAATGCGCAGGTATCTCTTAAAAATTTCTTTTACTTCAATTTTTGTTCAAGCTCAATAAACGTTCCGTTCACTTTCAGGGGCAGGATTGAACTAGGAGATGTAACACCTCACAACATCAAGCAATTGAGGAAATTAAATTCTGTAATCTTTCCAGTTAGTTATAATGACAAGGTAAAACACACAGACTTGCGAAATTATACATCGGAGTTGCAAATTTTATAATCTTTGTTAACACTTTAGAATAGACTCTGTTCTTTCTATTTTTGATAAACTGTTGACAGTTGATGGTGACATAATTACAAGGCCTTTCGTTTGTCAAGCTTAATCATTATTTTGTTTTACAGTGTGTGCATTTGTGTGTTTTGCCAGTTATATTATTACACTTTAATATTATCATGCATTTGTTTACAAAGTTCAAAGTTGATTATTTTTTAAGAAACTTTACTTCCACTAAAATATTTGGTTTGTTTAATATCCATAAATGAAAATGAACAGAAATATAAAATAATCATTAAGACAATCTTCATACTTTTTTTAGTTCTATAAAGATGTTTTGGAGGTTGGAGAGCTTGCAAAGTTAGGTATTTATGTTACTTTATTTGCTTTTGTGTAGATATAGTATGTTTTCTCGTGCAACTGAGAATCGCTATAGCCACTATTTTGCCAGCTTGACACTCATTAGTAGCCATAAATAAGTAGTCTTGAACACTAAAACTATTAATGACTTTGCTATCTGACAAATCAGTTGTTGGCACTCATGTCTCATGAGTGCAAATGCATCAACAAAATCCTGTTAACACCAATGTCCACTACAATTCACAATAGAGTTCACAGGAGTGTGTAAGAAAACTTTTGCATTTTTAAATTCTTTGCTCAGTCAATGGAATATAAAATTTTTGTAGCATATTATAATGACACTGTTGTTGGTGCAGTATGTTGTCGTGTTGATCAAATGGACCATACAAGACGTCTTTATATTATGACATTGGGATGTTTAGCACCTTATAGGAAACTTGGAATTGGTAAATATTTTTTTCTTCTTCCTCTTACAACTTCCCCCATTTTTCATCTATTGTTGTTATTCCTTTTTTTATATCTTATAAAGTGTTCACCTATATAAATTATTCATGATGGTACCATCTTTTTTATAGGTACAATTATTTTAGGTACGGAAATAGAGAATGTTTAATTTATTTATGTTATTGTAGGTACAGTAATGGTGGAACATGTTTTAAAGATTTGTGAGAAAGATGGAAATTTTGACAACATTTACCTGTAAGTCTTTATACATTTTTATCGTAAATTCAAAAATGTTAAATCATTCAGTGTTTATATTTGTGCCATATTTTTATATAGCTTTTATGATTTATCCACTTGTAGACTCATTATAATTATGTTGGACTCGTTTATTGATATAATTTGTTACATAAGAACAAACATCATGTATTAAATAGTAAAACATATTCCCCAAACTTTGCTCTATATTTTTGACTGTATAGAAAATTTCAGAAAAAGGATCTTTCAAATTTGTCTACCTGTGTTCAATAGAAGCCTCTTTTTGCTAGTATTGTATGATATGTCTTTTTATCACAATTACTTGTTACAGCCCTTGCACTATATAAGTGCACCTGGAGTGCTGGGTTGTTCAAGATTTAAAACATTTGTTTTCAGGTTTATATGTAATAAAGTCAAATTGCATAACAAGGATGAAAACTCATTGTTTGCTACAATAATCTATGAAGTTAGGAAAAATATTTGAACTCTCGCATGAACTTTGCAACAATAATCCCTAAATAAATATATTTTGAGAAAGGCACAGTTGTGATGTAATCGTTCAAATTTGACGTAGTGTGATGTTCATTTCATTTATGATTTTTAGTCACGTTCAAGTTAGCAATGAAGTTGCCATTGAATTTTATAAAAAATTCAACTTCGAAATTATCGACACGAAAAAGCAGTATTACAAAAGAATTGATCCAGCTGATGCATATGTTCTTCAAAAAACTTTACGAACGAAAAAAAATTGTTCCAGCTAGTGCATTTGCTCTTCAAAAAACTCTACATCCAAAAAAAGTGAATTATGAACTTGACAGCCTTGAAGATAATTGAAAACATCCTTCCTGTTGTGCCTGATGAGTGATTCGTTGCAATTTGCCATCCATTCATTTTAGGAAAGAATACAAGTCCATTGTATGTCATATTTTCCTTCCTAAATCATTATCAACCATTGTTTAATTTTCTCTTTTAAACCAAACTATTCGTAAATTTATGCTTATTTTGAAACACTTGCCTCTCATGAGAGAAAGTTTGCAGAACAAGGAATTATCAGTTTCAAAACGACTGCAAAAGAAACTTTAAAGCAATTTAGATATTTTAAGATTTTTCTGTCTTCGTTATCTTCCTTTCGTCTAAGATGATTGTGATATAAAAATGAGTTAAATCGTTTAAACTGGTTTAAACTATCTGACAGGACGCAGTTAAAACTAAGAATTAATACGCTTTTTATAACCTTATTTGAAAGTTTTTACACCATTGTTGATCAAATTAGGTCCAAATTCTTCCCAACTTTCTTACTCCAGTATTTTAGAATCATTTCTGTGTTTCTATTTAAAATCATCTTGGTACTGATAAATAAAGTAAAGTATTACTTTATTTATTATATAACAAACAACAAAAAATTACCATTTTCCGAAGCAGCTGTCTTCAACATGTAAAAAAGCAATAAAATCTCTTTTCAAGGAACTTTTTCAGTTTGTTTTTCATTTTTCTGTCTGATATCAGCAATCTGCATTCGACTCCTAAATTTCACCAATTTTGCGTTACATGTTTGTAAACATGTTTGTTACATGTTACAAACATGTAACGATACTCCCGGGTTCAAACCATTTACTTTATAATTTTGCGTTCCTTGGCCAATAGCCGAATCGGAACTGTGACGACAGGTGTGACGTCCTGTGTCGTCAACCGAATTTTTTTCATTTCAAATATAACACAATTGATTGGTTGATGTGTAATTGTTTATACAGTGTGGTGAGCTGCATGTCGTCTGTGATAAACTGTATCAGTTTTTATTATAAAAGTAGACTGTTGATGTCAAAGCACTAACATCACTCAACGTTTAAACTTTATGCTTTTGAATGTTTTCGGCATTGTGATTGAAAGATTGTCCATCGTGATCATTTTAAGTCATTGTTACCCATTGCCACTGTTACGAATCACAAAGTAATTCTGAAGATTGGACACCTTATGCTGAGTAGTTATGCTTGTTTCCTCAAGATCAAGCCGAAATAAAACTGTTTTTCTTTATGTTTTGTCAATCGTCGTTTGCGTTGTCTTGGGATCTACAATATGTATGTATCCGATTTTTTGCTGTGCCTTTGTTTTTTTTGTTTCGTCAAGTCTTTCACCTTGATGTGTTTAAATTGTAAAGTTACATGCCTGATATAAAAGAATCACTTTTTTGCTCTAGTAGTGAAACGAGAAATGAAGCCAGTTATATAACATAGTTTATAATATGTTAACTATATGCTAAAATTCTTCGCCATTGCTTGTAGTAAATGACGACTGCTTTAACATCAGTATCGAATTTTTAACTTCGTTTGAAACATCCAAAAAGTCACCCATTTTTATGTGAATATATTGAGAATGTCACAATACGTTGTTTGAAATCAAAAAATTAATGAGAAAGAAAAATATTTCATCCTTGGTCACTCATTTGAGTACAAATAATGTAAACACGTTTTGTTATTGCTCACTTTTGACACTGCACACTTTGGTTGACTGCATTTTTGAACAAACTTGATAGTTTTTATACAATAAAATGTGATGTTGTGGTAAATGTGTAGCTAAAAATGTGTGTGATAATATGCATTATGTTGTGTAGAAAATTCTGGAAATTTTGTTTACTAATGTCAGTCAAAGGTTAAGCATCACTACAGTTATAGCACAGCTTAAACAAGCCAGTTTCCAAGCTGTTATGCATTAAAATGCTTTTCCTTTTAGTTTCAAGTGTAGTTTTCTATTTTGTAGTATATGTTGGTCAATGATTGTATGAAGCCCTAAACAATGTGTTATGGAGATCTTTTCATGTGCAGAGCATCATAATTTTTGCTTTTGCGAAATAATAGTGCTTATAATTGTCATAAATATTCCATCATTTTATTGAGAATGCTGTTAGAACCCCAAATGACTTGACAATATTGATATTATGCAAACAATTAACAGATAAACATCAATAGCTGATAAATGCACAATAAGTCACCAATCCAAGGCCTCTAAATTCAGGTCATGTTGTGTGGAAGGCAAAAGGTTGCTGTCCTATAATGTCACTAGTCCAATTTTCCAATTTAGATTACAGAAAATTTAATACAATTTATTACTATTTGAAATCTGATTGATTTATAAGACTTTAATTAGATACACTAAATTTAATTTGTTACTGTATGTTTATGTTTTGTTTCACATGTGCTTTATGTGTAAAAAATTATCTTTGGGTTATGAAAAAAGTTATCTATGATAATATACACTGCCTCTAAATTAATATTTAAACATTCATGCATTGATGACATGATGTATTGTGGCCAAGAGACTGCTGTTTGTCATTATCACTTGAAAAACCAGGAAAAAGTTATATCAACTGGAATAGTAACTCCATATAAATGATATAAATGCTTTATTATAATTTATAAAATAAATGCAATGAAACGTGTGCACTGATTGGTCTTGAGCTGTGTTTGCATTAGCCTGTGCAAAACACATCTGAGCTCAACCAATCAAATCAATCAAAACAATCAATCAGTGAGAGAGAATTTGCAAGTCAATCATGAATACATTTTAGAGGAAAAATTAAATATCTGTCTTTTTTCCATTATTGTTATTTTATAAAAGAAATAAAAGATGTTTTTCGTTTGCATTTAATATATATTGCACTTTTCTATTCATATTGCATCATTTTCATACCCTCCCTCTCCCTCGTTGACCCATCGTTCCAGTTGACATTACAGCTCAAATAAGATTTTGTGTCAACATTTTGTTTAAAATAATTGAATTACTTTTAAAACTCAAGTTGATGCACATGAGCACTTTGCTCTTCAGTTGAAAGAGCAATGCTTGCTTTCTAATTTAAGTGGCCAACAATTATGAACTGATTAGTTTACCATTGTTTTTAAAGTTGTGGAACGTGGATCTTCACATACCTTTGATTGTGATGTAAATATAACTGGCAACAACAGTGTCAAATTCACTCACAATGGTATGGAAATAATTGCTAGTGAAAGAATCAAGCTGTTGAGGACATCTTTAATCATTTCCAATGTCATACTGCTTGATAATGGTGAATATAAGTGTTTCTTTCTTTCTAAAATGGTCCAAACTTGGGTGCTACTTAGCACAGAAAGAGGTAAGTTTGTTTTTCAAATCTTTTTCTGTTTTGTTTACAATTAGTGCTATCATTTTTATAGATGCACACCAAACCTGCATAATTGGAGCAGTGCTATATAGGCTAATATTTGAGAAGAAAGCTGACATATATAAATTATAAATGTTTGATAATATGTTAAACATGGTTCATAATGCTCAGTTTTGCCATAAATCATGATTATTGTAAAATTGGAATCTTCCTATTTATATATGTCAAACTTTGTTAAAAAGTGTTTTCACCCAGAGCCTGCTTGGTGCTTAGTCACTGAATGAAGATCAATAGATAGAAAAGCGATTTTTTCAATCATTTTTAATTGTTAGATGAATTTTTCTTATTGAATGAAACTGCGATAAAACTACAATGTAATACAGTTGTGCTGGGATGTAGAAAGATCAATAATTGAAGGGGAGGGTATCATATGTGGATGATATGTCTTTTTAACTGTCTTTGAAATTAATTGTTTTCTAATGATTATAAGATGTATATATAGATATTCCCCCCAAACAAAATATAGATATGCTTCCCTCCCCTCCCCTCCCCCAACAATTATTGATATTACAGTTGCTTTGCGAAATTACGTTTTACAAGGGGTATCAACTGAACCTCATTCCATTGCCACAATGGCACAAGAACCTCGACTTAATTTTAGGGATCTTTCGGTAATTTGCTCAAGATGTTGCAATTATACTCTGCTCTATACGTGCAAAGTTAAAAAAAAAGTAAATAGATGTTACTACGGCCATGAAGTCATGTACTCAAGGTCACTAATTAGTTTATTACTTCTGTTGTCTTGATGGATTACTTTGTGTTTATTATTAAATAGTTGTAGTTTTGTGGTATCTAAACTTGTGTATTTTGATACTTACTTTTATAGCGAAATTACGTATGAATCCAGCTACTAAGAGCAATACAGTTACCGAAGGTTCCGACTTTGTATTTAGCTGTGAATACACCAAAAATTCAAATATAAAATGGCAAAGATTTCACGAAATAAATGGGACAGAAATCATGTATACTATTCTGGATAATCTTATTACTGATAAAAGTACGGATGAAAAAAGAATTGAAGAGTATCGTATCGAAAACGTGTCAATTGCTGACTCTGGTAGATACCAATGTGAATAGTTGATAACAGTAATAAGAAAGTAACAGAGTGGCGTGTTTTGACGGTGAGAGGTATATGAAACTACTTTACAAAAGTCGCGTTGTTAGCGCTTTAACGTATAATTTGACTTTGCATTTTGGTTAAAACTTTATTATACATTAATTGCCTTAAAATACCTACTATAGGTGAGGTTTCTAAGCTAGTGTATGTTATGTAATTGAAAGCATTTATGTCTTGAACTCTCTGTTAAATGTTCTTTTTATTCAACAGAAAGAAATGCTCCCGAGTTTGAAAAGTGAAAGACTTTTCACTTTTAACACAAATGAAAGGGTAATATAAGGTTGACTGTGATGGGTACTCCTTCTCCAAATATTACTTGCTACAAAGATAATAAAGAAATCATATTTTGCTCTGGCAAAGATATAGATAGTGCTGATTTGAACACTCAAGGTGCAACTCCATTGGCCTGTGATCGTGATCGATATGGATTAAACGGTGTACCTGAGTTAATTATTGAATCAATTTCTTTTGTGAGAGATGATGGAAACTACACATGCGTCGCCACTAATCCTGTCGGAAAGGACGTTGTTTCGTTTTATGTCGATGTAACAGGTATGAATGTTCATATTTAATTGATTTTATGATCTGACTTTCGTGTTTTCATGGTATAAAATTGGGTTGATTACCTGGTTGTTTCATATATAAAGATTATAAATAATACACGTTTTCTGTGGGGCAAAATCGATTTTTGGGTGTTAAGCTACAGTGGCCAACTGTGATTTTTTTACTTTTTTTGTGTATATTATGCGTAGATACTTTAGTCAATTTTATCACAATAAATTTTGTTGAACTATGTTTTTTCCTTTTATCGTAGTTTTAGATGGTTTAAACCACACGTATTTTGCAAAACGTGTTTGTAAAACAAGTCGTGAGTGTTGCTTGATAAAAAGACTTTTTTCTTTAATTCAACTGCTTATAGACTTCAAAAAACATATATTTACCATTTATACTGTAAAAATGGAGTTGTAAAAACAGAAGAACTAGGAAGAACGATATATGTTTTCATCGCTTATAGTTTAATGAAAACATATAAAGAATACGGAGGTTATAAAAAACACATGATTATTATGTAACAGCTCGCGAAAAAGACATTTACTAACTCTTTAAATTGATAAAATTAACACCTAACCCTACACCCACCCCTACCCCCCAACTCTGCGTCCTCCTAATTCTTCAGCAATGCAACCTCTAGTATTATCTATAATATCTGTGGTTCATAAACGTCTGTGTCATAAACATTCAGTTGTGGTCAGTGATGATCATTTTGTAAAACTTTGCTAAACCCTCTTAGCTAAACCCACATTTCGCTAAACCTAAGTGGGTTTTCTTATTAATAATGAGTTGATTCATGTTATCAATTTTTGCAGTGCCACCATCCATCAGCAGAGGAAATAGTGAATATTTCACAGCGCGACACAACACTGAAGGCGAGATTAAATGTATGATAAGATGGTCTAATCCAAGACCCAATATAACTTGGTATCAACAGATTGTTAGCAACAACAATGAACCTGTTTCAAATAACTGGATCCCTTCACAGTATAAGTCTTCGTTTAAAAAAGGAAATAACAAAGGACAATATGAAAGTGTTTTAAAGATACCAGCGACTGCTAAACAAGCTTCAATGTTGTTCAGATGTTTTGCTCAAAACATTCATGGAAATGACAGTAGAATGTTTAGGTTTCTGCGATTCGGTAAGATTTTCTTTTTATTTACATGAAAAATATTGTTTATTATTATTACATTGATTGATAGTGAAACGTTCGTTTCTTTGCTTTAGGAGATGATCCATTTAATGTTTTTCCTTCTGGGGATGTAATTTTAAATGAAAACGATGACTTTATGGCAATTTGCAGAGTAGATCTTTCGATTCGTAGTAATATTGCGTTTTACAAAGAAAATCCTCGTCGTGAAGTGATAAATAATGAAAGAACAAACATCACCATAAGTAGAAATCCTCAATATCGTAATGTTACAATGAAAATACGAAATATCAACATCAATGATTCTGGAACTTACAGATGTAGTGAAAAAGATGCTCTCAGTAATGAACGTGCTGTTGTAACATTGAATGTACGAGGTTAGTTGCTTTGAAATTTTTATCACCAAAAACATTAAAAAAAAGTTCGTAAAAAATATAGCGAATTCTCGCTGTTCAACACAAGGAACATACTTTTATCTTAGCATGAACTATCTAAACGTGTGAAATTTTGATATTATTTTTCTTTGACTTTGAAAGGTTATTCATTAACCACTTATGTATCTCTTTTGCATAGGTTTTCTTTGATTGCGATATAAATACAGTATGGCAGTTGACCTTTTAAAACGTCTTTAAAACGAAAGTAAAACTTAATAATTTTTGTAAAACATTGAGTCGAAATTTTAACGAACGATTATCCTAAACGATTATATATAAATTATACTTTGTGGTTAAAAACGTTCACAATAAGTACGACTAGCTCTTCCTTACTTAGGTTTGATAGAAAATGTCGATGTGTTTGGCTACCTACAGTAATTGTTTGTTTGCGAATCACATCCATACTGTTTGTAATTCAAACAAATTTTTTGTTTTACTATTCTACAGGAATATATCCTCCTGTAATTTATCAGATGAAAGATTCTACAGTGAATAAGGATAAAGATAAAGACGCAGAGTTGATTTGTAATGTGTCAGGTAATCCTCGACCCGAAGTAACATGGTCAAGAAATGGTGAAGAAATTGGTCGTGTTAGAATCACAAATTGTGAAACCCAAGTTCCTAACTATTACTTGAAGAATGATGGAACAACTCTTATTATTTGTGGCGTTGATATTTCACATTCGGGAAACTACACATGCTTTGCAAAAAACCAGTTAGGAAACGTCACAGCAACTGTTTATCTTAATGTTACTGGTAGGTTGACAATGTTTACACTGTTAGATTTTCTAAATGATAAAGTTTCATTGTGTTGCAATGAAAGTATATACGTCCTTCAACAAAATAATTTAAGGTTCATATGAAAATGTAGTAAGAATAGTTGTGCAATTTTTATTTAGGTAAACCAAAGATCGACGAACCATCAACTTTAATAGATGAAAGTCTTCTTGCCAATGAAAAGGAAAGGTTTAGTTGTGTAGCAAGCGGTAATCCTACACCTTGGGTACAATGGATTTCTATCGATAGTGATGTGAAGCTCACAGCTATAGCAAAGAAGGAAATAGTTTTGACAGTTGAAAAAATGAATAAATCTTACATCGGAAATTATTCTTGTAAGGCATGGAACTCGTTTGGTATTACAGAGAAGCGTTTGTTGTCACTAAGACTTCGACCTCAAGGTTGGTTGGAGATTTTGTTTTATGATTTAGCAGGATTTGCAGATTTTCATTTAGGGGATGTTTTATATTGACTTTTGCACTTATGAGTATTTTTCTTCATGCGGCGAAGTTGTGTATTAGAATATGAATTTTACAATTAGCACCTTTGTCTCAAATTTAGTAGTTCTAGCTGCATTAAAATCATTGATTTAGAATGCGTTTTTCAAATTCCTAGACAGAACATGGGCCATGCAAATACCTAAATATTTTTAACTTCTGTTTTTTGTGTAGATCCTACAGCGACGATCCAAAACGACGATGGTACATCACCAGGAACCATTGCAGGGATAGTTATTGGTGTTTCCGTAGTCATCATATTAATTATCATCATTGTTCTCTATAGAAAACAAAAACAAAAATTATCATTCTACAAACATCAGTATTTTCTACGTACTGGAAATTATTCAGTGAGTTGCAAATAGTTATTATTTTAGCTATGTAGTCTCGTTACACGAAACTTTTAATTCTTGCAAAAAATCAACTGCAATACAATTACTCCAATAACATATGGTTTCCAATCGCTCAATAAAAAATTCCTGAAGATTTAGCTTTCATCTTATTTCTTTGGTTTAGTCTAAACTGTGTCTAAAACTGCAGCGTATTTTTCTTTTTCAGATTGACCCCAGTATAACGCTTAATGAGCAAAGTATGAATTTACCGTACGACTCTGATTGGGAATTTCCTTTGAAAGACTCGTTATGGGTGATCGTCTTGGTGCTGGAGCCTTTGGAGAAGTTTACAAAGCTGAAGCAATGGGAATTTTAGCTTTAAATCCACGCGATAAAAGCAGCATTGCTGGTAAGAGAAGATCGAAAATACGTCGTACTTTAAGGGCAAGTCAAAGACCTAAAAAGAAAGACCATTTACAGCCTAATTCAACCAATGCCATTGTTGCTGTAAAAACTGTTAAAGGTGAGAAATTCTATTGAGAAAATTATGTGTTATTTTACAAACATTGAAATTTTGAGTTTTTGTTGTTCTCTTTTGAAAAAAACTTTGTTGTTCCTGTAGCTCATGCAACAGAAAGCGAAATACGTGATTTAGCAGAGGAACTGAAAATAATGATTCACATTGGTGAAAATAAAAATATCGTTAATTTACTCGGCGCTTGTACGAAGGGACGGCAACTTTATGTAATCTTAGAATTTTGTCCTCATGGAAACTTGCTGACATTTTTAAGATCCAAAAGATCTTTTTATGAAAGTACCTGGGAAAAGAAAATTTATGATCCAGAGAAAGAGTTTACTTTAATTGATATTGTTGGTGCTGCTTTTCAAATTGCCAAAGGAATGGAGTTTCTTGCTTCACGAAAGGTAAAATTATCATGTAAACATTTCATAAAATACATTTTTTAACAGATCTTACATGAAGTTTATGAATTAAAAACAATTTCTAATCCTATAATAACTATTCATAAGTAACTAACGCTCATTGCTTTCACAATAGTTTGTATTAAAACTAGAACATTGATAGAAGATTTATAATCTTTAATTATTTTCAGTTAATACATCGTGATCTTGCTGCCCGTAACATTCTTGTTGCTGAAGAATACGTCATGAAAATATCAGATTTTGGTCTGGCACGAGATATATATAAAAGCGATGTTTATGTGAAGACATCCAGTGGTATGTTACCTGTAAAATGGATGGC